GCTTCCCTCTCCTCCGTACACAGATAACCAGCCAGGTGAACCCACTAGAACAGACGTTGGATCCAGTCTTTGGAGTGTGCAAGACTTTTCCTGTCCTAGGGGCTGTGGAGGTCCATTTGCACTGTTTTCCTGCCATGGTGCTCCTCCATATCTACTGCCTTGTATGACTCCTGGGCACTTCCTCACACCAGGATCCTGGTGCCCCTGTGCCTACCCCTCATGCTGCTTAGAGCCAGGCTGCTCTTGGAAATACTTCTCCTTACTTACCTCTAGGGCTCTCCATGTCCCTCTCCCCAGGACTGTGGCAGGCAAGAGCAGAATGGGGACACTGGGGAGTCACTGAAGTGACCTGGAGTGGCATTTGGGGAACAGCCCTTTGCAAATGCATCTGTGGGTGCTGTGTGGAGGAGATGGGGAAGATGGTCAGGAGGCCCCTCCTGTGTGGTGGCAGGGATGGAGCTGGGGAGGCAGAGTCAGGGGCTCTAGGATAGGACTTGACAGAGGTGTCAGGTAAGCTGGTTGTGGGGTGGGCAGCTGTGGGTGGAATGCTGAAGGAAGCTCTTTGTGGCAGCAGTGTAGGAGGAAAGGGTGTGGTAGGTGTGGGCATGAGGCATCTGAAGAGCTGGGCACATTTAAGATGGGCAACAGAGGCAGTGGGACATGAGGGGTGGTGCCCAGGAGAGGGCTGGGCTAGGGGAAGAAGGGCCAATGAGGCCTACAGCGTGGTATGGCTGCTGAGGGAAGGCCATGCATAGGAAGAGAGGCGCTGAGGCCAGCACAGTGACTTTGAACTTAAAACTCAGGCTCTCTGACTTCTTAGCTGAGGGGACATTTAGCATCATCACTGTTCTGTAAGGTAGAGGTGGAAGAGCCACCTGCCCCAGGGACTTAGCTATCTCTGACTCCTCAAAATGGAGCCTGGGCATGGCACCCACAGCAGTATGAGATCGGTTGCTTGGCTTTCTGTAGAGTAGGGTCTCTCTCACCATGTCACACATGGAGGCCACCTTGTGCCTGATAGTGTACTGAGATCCAGGCTTCATGCAGAACAGCATGGGCTGCTAGATCCTCTGCCCCTCCTCCACTGGGCCAGGAGTGTGTCCAAGGGCCCCTTTGGTAGAAGGAGTCAGCCATAGCTAGCCAGGGCTGTAGCCAGAGCCCTCAGGACAGCACATAGGGCTGTGACAGATGCTTAGTGAGTGACAGTGATGTGGTTTGTGAAGATGTATGTAGCACAGATGAGCCAGGAACCCAAAACAGGGCCAGGTGGACACCTCACCTCCTTTCCTTTTCTTTTCCTTTTGGCATTGACTTGCTCTTCTCCCCAGCCATTACTGTACAGTGGGGGATGGGCCAGTCCTGTGGTGTAAATACCCCCACCATGGCTTAGTTCAAGTTACCAACAGTTTGAAAAATTCCTGAAAATTTAACAATTAGCACTGTGAGCCAGTATAAGATGGGCTTAGGTTGTCTTCCCTCTCTAGTGACATTTCTTCTCCCTGCTCCCATATCTTATACCTGGAACCAGGTAATTTTTAAAGAGTAGGGGTTTATTTGGTTCCTGGTTCTAGAGGCTGGGAGGTCCAAAAGCATGATGCTGTCATCTGGTGAGGGCCTTCTTGCTGCATCATGACATGGCAAGACAGAGCAAGTGTGCTTGGGTCCCTCCTCCCTCTCCCCCTCCTGGCCCCCTCCTTTTTTCAGAAGGGGTTAGGGTTAGCAGGACCTTGTGCTTGCTGGGCAAACACTCTACTACTTGAGCCAAGTCCCCACCTCTCTTTCTCTTCTTATAAAGCCACTAATGCCAGGATGGAGGCTCCACCCACAAAACTTCATCTAATCCTATTACTTCCCAAAGGCCCATCATCAATTCATCAACGTATGAATTCGGGGATTAAGTTTCCAACACAAAAATCTTTGAGGAGCACATTCAAAGTGTAGCAGCATGTCTTTTAAATTTCTTGTGATGATTTACTGCGGTGAATATCTCACGAGGACTAGGACGGGATGACTGAGGGCATGGTGTATAAAGCCAAAAACGCACCCATTCTGATGTGTGAGTTTTAAACTAAGAAATCAAAATCAAATTTCCTGCTGGTGGAGTGGCTCAAGTGGTAGAGTGCTCTCGCCTGGCAATCATGAAGCCCTGAGTTCAAACCTCAATACCACACACACACACACACAAAAAAGCAACAACAAAATCAAATTTCTTACAGGACTGGAGTATATTATTCACTGGACATATACAAAGGGACCTCCAAGAATTGCCCTCAGCCTCCCCATGAGGAGTCAGGGGGAGGAGAGGCTATATTTGGTGGCTCCAGACTGTCCTGGGACGGCACTCACCTAAGGCCAAATGGAGGCAGCTCCACCTCACAGCTTTCTGGCCCCACCATGGCCTTGTCCCTTGTCATATAGGCTCACAGTTGTATCCTTTACTATGTATGTGGTTTTTTAAAATTGAGATACAATTCACACATATCGTAAAATTCCCCTTTTAAAAGTATATGGTTCAGTGGTTTTTAGTATATTCACAAGGTTGTGCAACCATCACCACTCATTCCAAAACGTTTTTATCATTCCCAAAAGAAACCCTGAACCCACTGACAATCAATCCCCATTTCCCCTCAGCCTCTGCAACCACTGAGATGCTTTCTGTCTACAGATTTGCCTGCTCTGGACATTTCATATAAATGGAGTTGTGCAATACGTAGCCTTTTTCACTTGGTTTCTTTAATTAGCATAACATTTTCAAGGTCCAACCATGTCGTGTGACTCAGTACTTCACACCTTTTTTTCACTAAGTAATATTCCATCGTATGGATAGATCATATTTGGTTTATCCATTTGTTTATGGTGGACATTCAAGTCATTTCTGCTTTTTGTTTGTTATGTAAGGATGTCTTTATACGAGTTTTTTTTGTACAAACATATATTTTCTCATTTTCTTTCTTTTTTCTAAAATTTTCTCATTTCTTAAAAATATACTTAGGACTAAACTTTTTGGGGCGTATGGTAACTCTATGTTTGATTTTTGTTGAGAAATGTCAAGCTGTTTTTTAAGTAACTGTCCAATTTTGCATCTATATTTATACAATTCTATACCAGGAACATATGAGGGTTCCAGTTTCTCAGCATCATTATTAACCAGACTTACTGTCTGGTTTAGTCCGTGTGAAATGGTGTTACGTGACGGTTTTGATTTTCATTTCCCTTGTCATGCTCTTACTGACCACTTGTATATTTTCTTTCAGGAAATGTCTGTTCAAATCCTTGGCTCATGTTTAAATTGAGTGACCTTTTTCTGGTTGAATTATAAGAGTTCTTTATATATTTGTATAAAGCTAAAAAAAAAAAGAGATTCTCCAAAGAATAATGATATTTATTTGGGACTGGCAGAGTGTTGTATGGGAATGTGTGCCTCAGCAATGTTTGTGAGCCAAACAGGTTGAGTCAAGGGGAAGTTTTTAAAGATAAAAATGCAGAAGATCCATCAGATACTTTGGAGCAGTAGTGCTTAGATACTGGAGTCACCTGATCCTGGTCTTTTCTCTGTGGGAAGGTTTTTGATTAATAACTCAATTTCTTTACTTGTTACAAGGCTATTCAGATTTTTGATTTCTTCTTGAGTGTCAGTTTTTGGTAGTTTGTGTCATTCTAGTAATTTGTCCTTTTTATAGGGCTTATTTAATTTGTTGGCATGTAATTGTGAGCTGTTAGTGCTCCGTTCTGCTCCTTCTTAAATGGCATGCAGGCTGTTATTTTTCAAGGCAGCCATGGAGTTAGGGAGCAGAGACCAGGGACTAAGATAAATTATGACATTACACAGCTCACTTACTCTTAAAAAGGCTCATCTGTTTTTCTTCACCGAATGCTCCAAGGGTTACTGTAAGTCTTCGGTTAATTTGCCAAAAGAAAAAAGAAAGTAGATTCTAACCAGGTTTGCAATGTTTTTATTTTATTTTTTCTGCTTTTACGGAGGGATAAATTTCCAGAGGTCCTTGCTCTGTCATTTTTGCTGATGTCAATCTTACATTTTCTCAACGGTCTCCTCTCCAGCTAAGAGTGTTGCTTGGGGAGTTCAGCATGGCCCCCACACCATCCCTGAAGCAGGAGTAGCTGCAGAACAGGTCATTAACTGGCCTTCAGCGCTGTGCAGAGACTGGGAATTTGGGTTCAGTCAAACTTGGGATACTGGGACCCAGCCCCTTCCTCTCCACTTTCTCAGTTTCTAGCCTCTGGTGTCGCCTTTACAGTAAACGCTCATTGATTAGCGCTCATTGGTAATCTTGCCCTCCAACTTCATCTACTCATTACGTTGTACAAAACGCTTGTGACTAAAGCTTCTGTGTCAGTTCTCCGTCACCATAACAAACACCTGAGATAATCAAATTATCAAGAGAAAAGGCTTATTTTGCCCATTGATTTCAGAGGTTCTCTCAGTCCATGATTGTTTGATTCTGTCGCTTTGGTCTGTGGTGACACAACATTGCAGCAGTGCATGCAAAACAAACCATCTACATCAAGGCCCCCAAGCCAGAGCAAGGGGCTGAGCTTGCACTGTCTCCTAAGAGGACATGCTCTCAGTGACCTGAAAACCTCCCCCTACCCCCCACCAAGAGTCCACCACCTCCCAACAGCAGCATGGGCTGGGGACCAAGCATTAACACCTGGCCTTTAGGACATTCCAGATCCAAACTATAGCAGCCTCCTTCCAGGTTTATGGTGGCCCTGGTGCCAGGGAACAAATGTTCCCTCTTTAAATAAAATGGTGGCTTATCTCAGAGTTCTGGGTTCTAGCCGTTCAGGATTTCCACATGGGAGGGGCTGAGCCAGATGAGGCATGAAGGGCCCAAGTCCTGGGGCAATGACTTGAAGCTGCCAAACACAGTGTTCTTTCAGAGCTTGCTTTTTTTTTTTTTCTTTTTGGTGGGACTGGGGTTAGAACCCAGGCTTTATGCTTGCAAAGTAGGTGCTCTACCACTTGAGTCACACCTTCAGTTCACTTTTGCTCTGCTTATTTTGGAGATGGGAGTCTCACAAACTATTTGCCTGAGCTGGCCTCAAACCTTCATCCTTTGGATCTCAGTCACCTTAAAAAATATTTGTTGAATTGATCAGTGTTGGGTCACTTTGAAATTGGGCTGCATTTACAAATTACACTGTGGTCAGCTGACCGCATTTTGAGGCTGAACCCAGAGTGGTTAATGAACACTTCCCCATCTTTGGATTGGCTGGGGGAGGTGTGCTCCCTTGCTGTGTGGACCTGGCATTTCTGTCTTCCCAGTTTGGGACCATCAACTGTCTGGAGCGATGGCCACTGTCTCTTTCTTTGTGACGATGAAGGAAAATGGTATTGTGCTTTCTGACCTGCTGGAAAGGTTTTCAGGAAGATGGAACCAGGACTGAAAGTTCCTATGAGCACCCTAGATCTTTATTTTATTGAGGACCACAGTGACTGCTTGGCCAGCAGTGGCCACAGCTCCCACGCGGACTTGGGTGCTCGCATTTGGAGGACAGATAGCCCTGGTAACTTGCAGGTAAAAATCCTGTGCTTCTGTCTTGCCAGCTGGAGATGTTCTCTTCTAAGTTTTGATAGTTGGACCTGCTTTGGGTGCTTGGCTCTTTGAACTGCCCTGGTCTGGGTGTCCTACATGACATTCCTGGCGGCACACTCTCAGGGAAGGGAGCAAAGTGGAAAGTGGGCAGGTGTGGGTTCCTTCATCAGTTTCTTTCAAGGATTCCCAAACTGGCCTAGGCTCAAACTGCCCACCTCGGCATGACCATGGGTTCAGCGTTCTCTCTTGCAAAGAAGGCGCCCTGCCCTGTCATGGTGGACCTCACCTTAGTGCCTTTGGGACCTCCCCAGCCCAGTCCCCTCCCCAGCGGTGACCCAGCCCAGCCAGCCTGAGCTGTCAGCGAGCTGCCCCCGCAGGCACGAACAATATCTTTTCTATTTGGAGTTGACCCCGCTGCCCTTCGGAGATCCAGAGCGAAACGTGAGCTCCTGCCCAGCGCGGGGGAGGCGCCACGCGCGGGTCCCGTCGCGGTGCTTGGCGGAGGTGGCCGCGCCCGGTCACTGCTCCGAGGCCGGGGGTCTGACGACGCCCGGTGCACCAAGCCGCCCGACCACCGCCGCGACTGGACTGCGGCCCCGCCATGGCTGCCCGGCTGGGCGCGCTGGCCGCGTCGGGGTTGTACCGGCGGCGCCAGCACCGGCCGAGCCAGACGCCCATCGCGTCCGGGTAGGTGGCCAGGGCTGGGCGGGGTCGCGGGGGACAATGGCCGGAAAGCTGCTTGCAGACCTTGCTCGGAAACTCCGCCTGGACCTGGACCTTCCGACGGCCTTGGACCTGGCTGCCTAGGGTGCGGGGACAAGGCCTGTGTTGGCAACAGGGCGGCGGGTGCCTCTTAATGGAGCTGGTTTTGATGGTTCTGTGGTCAGCTCTTTTGGGTAGGGTCCCTGGGGATGAGAGATCATTTGTTCTCTGACACCCCATCTTTGCTTTCTGACTGGGGTGATTTTACTGTCACTGTATAGAGGAAGAAGCTGGTCCAGGACATCATACAGCCAAAAAATGGCTAACTGTGATTTGAACCAGGTGGGAGTGACTCTAAAGCTTGCAGCTGCTTTATTCCCAGGAGAACTGCCTGTGCATGCAGTCTCCTTTGGGTTTGGAAGCCGGGATCAGGGTTCAGGAGTTCTCTGAGGGCAGGCTAACCTGGGGTGAGAAAGGTAGTGGAGAACCTGAGTGGGGAAAAAGACCAAGGGAGGGACATGTTGAGTTTGCAGTGCCTGTGGGGCCATGTGGGAGAAAGGTCCAATAAAAAGCTGAGAGACACAGCAATGGGGACAGTGGTTGTGGGGTCACTGGACACCTCCAGAAAGTAGAGGAGAAAGAGGGGGAAGTGTAGAAGAAAACAGAGGTAGACAGATGGTGTCAGTGGGCAGTGGGCAGTGGGAACTGCCACTGTACAGTGGCTATCTATGGAACACCTGCTGCCAGCTAGGCTCACACACCTGCAGACCTATCACAGGTCAGGATGGGACCTGTGATCCCGTGGCTCAGATAGGGAACCTGAGGCTCAGGAAACTTGAGTAACTCATCTGAGCAGGGTCCAGCTAGAATGGAGCTCTCACTGGTCAGCCTCTGGACGTCTATGATTTGAACCATGGTACCAGGATGCGGGTGGCCAGGGCACTGCTGACCCCGAGGTCATGCTGGAGAGTGGTTGTCACCATAGGGATTTAATACAACATGGCCGAGGTGCAAGGCCATGGCCTGGTAATGAAACTCGGGGTTTCAGGGAGGTGCCATGCAGTGTGTACACACATCTATTTGCCACTCATCTTTTGCTTTGAACTTCTGGTTCAAGTCTTTTGTCAGTGCTCTCTGTCGGTGTGACAGTTTAAAGTGTACTTTATAAAAAGAAATGATGCTTCTGGAGCAAAGAGGTATGGCAGGGCTTCAGAAAAAGCTGTCATTTCAGGCGTTTTTCTATGAGCTTGACATGCCTTCAGTGGCGAGAATGCATCGTGTATAGCAGTGCAAGGCAGTGCATTAATTTTCCAGCCTCCCCGTGGTGGGGAATGTGGCTGGCTTTGTGTAAACTCCTGTTTACTCTGTGTACCCAGGTGACCCCTGATGCTGACCTCTGACTGGCCCCAGGGGGGAGGGCAGAGAGCAGGGTCAGGCAACTAGGAGCAGAGATGTTGGCTGTGGAAGCTCCCACTAAAGTTGCTCCACGCTGCAGAGCGACCCTTCCTTTCCCCACACCTGAAACAGCATGCGGGTGCCCATAGAGCACTCGTTGGATGAAGAAGGGAAGGCAGGCTGGCAGCTGTTTGTATGTAACATGGAATGTACTTGCAGGAATTACCTCACTCAACCCTCCTACTGTCCTTGGAGATAGCTGTTATGGGCCCATTTTTCAGGTGAGGGAGCTGAGGTTTAGAGAGTATTTTGTTGCAGCAGCAGAGCCAGAGAGCACCAGTGCCAGGCTGTGCCTGGCGATAGGGCTGATTTTAATCCTGTGTGACCAGGCCTCTTGTGGCCAGCCCCTGCCTCTTCCCAGGCTTTTAGTCTTGGGCTCATAGGAGGTGGGTTGGAGGAGGGTCTGGGTGATAATAGAAATGGAATCTGGAATATGACCATGCCTTTGTGATGCCGTGGGAGCTAAGGGGCCAGGGGGCACTGTGACTCTAATCCTGTGTGACCTTCAGCAGCTGCTTGCCCTCTCTGTGCTTCCATATCCTTGTCTGAGGCAACTGCCCCTCACAGAGACCTGGCAGAGAGAACTCCCCTCTCCCCCTGGCCTGCAGGTCACTGTCAAGCTCAAAGGCATCAGACAACAACTTAGCTTGTGTTGGCTGTCCAGATGGAGAGCATTTGGAGGTTCTGGGGAGGGCTGAGGAAAGGGAGCAAGAGGCTGAGTACCTCAAGTTCTGTCTGGGCTTTGGCCCTCAACAGTGTGTCAAGTTGTCACTGGGTTGTGTCTTCGGGGAGGATAGCTGGGTGGACTGTGTTCCCTGCTTTTGGGTGGAATGTGTGAAGGAGGACGTGGTACGTCCATGTGTCTGACCCTCTGTCCTCTCTCAGGGAGCACAGGCAGCCTGCAGGCCTTCCCTGGGCTGGTGACCAGGGGCTCTAAAAGGCTCCCAGCATTGCTGGAAAACCATAGCTCCCTTTCTCAGCATGCTCGCCTGCATGGCCGGTCCCGTGGCCAACCTCACACCCTTCGTTCTTCACATCGGCTCCTCCAGAGCGCTGACACTCTGGTGTTCCCCTGCACTGAAGAGGAAATGAGACCCAGAGAGGCCACTGTCCTCTTCCAGGTCCAGCCGCTATCAGGAGTGGAGTGGGTGGGCGAGTCTGGAGCCTCTGTCTGTCTGGCGGTGCCTGTCCTCCTCCCCTCCAGGAAGCTGGCCTTTGTTCTGATGGGCCAAGCGCCTGTCTGTACTTCTGTCTTCACCAGGAGACTGGAATGCTCTCTGATCCTGAGTAGGGTGGCTTGGGGACAAAGCCACAGAACTTCTCACAGAGCTGCTTTTGAGGTTCTGCTCTTTTGGACAGAGCCTAGGTTCTGCAGGGAACTTTGGAGGCCAAAAGGAAGACAGGCTAGGATATGAGTTCTCTTGGTGAAGGTGCAGAAGTCTGAGGTTATTGTATAGTATAAAGGCTGGGGCCAGACTTGAATCCTTAATTTGGCTTCCTTTCTGGGTCCTTGGAGTGGAGAATTCCAGGCCCACAGTTACAGAACTTTCTGTTGATTTTTGACCTCTCCAAGACCCATAAGATCATGATCATGATTTGGAGCATCCTCCCTGTAACCTTGGGTGTGTGCCTCGGAAGAGATGGCTCACAGTGTTCTCTGGGGAGGGAAACTTGCCTGTCCTAATGAAGTCCAGACCACCCTCTAGGGAGCTCAGGATGGTCAGTTCCCCATCCTCAATGGCCTGCTTGGACTTCAGCAGGAGCTGGGAGGCCTGGGCACAGAGCCTCCCTTTCATCTTGGGCTCTTTCTGACTCCTGCTACCACTGCCTGCTTCCTTGTTCCTCTGGTCTAAATAGGAGCTGGCTCAGGGGAGGCTGAGACGTGTGCAAGGCCAACATGAAGCTTTGCTGAATGGCCTTCTGGCTCTGCCTCTGCCAAGCAGAGAGGACAGGGCATCGCACCTGGAGCCCCATTCCAATCTCTAGTCTGTTTCCAGGTGGCAACACCTGCTGTAACACCGTGGCCCATGCCCATGCCAGAGGTAGCCCTGTCCCACACAGACTCTTCCTGCCCAAGGACCCTCCTCCCTGTAGCTGGCACCTTTCAGGCTTGCCCTCCAAGACCACACTCCTCACAAAAATCTTTGACAAGAGTGTGCCCAAGAGTGACAGATGGGATTTGGTCTCTGGGAGGCAGAACAGGCTAAAAAGAGATCCTGAAGGCGGCTCACTCTCATTATGCCATGCCTTGCTATATAACTGACCAGGTTACATCACTCCCCCTGGGCCCAGCCTTCCAGAAAGCCACCCCATTGGAGGTGATGCTTGAGACAGAACCTATTTGCTGCCCTTCTAGCAAAACTGAGGAGGCAGTTGGTGATGTTCGGGGGAATATCCTAATTACACTTAGAAGTCTGACCAGTCTTCCCTTATGGGGGCCTCAGGGTCCCGGGACTGGAGTAAGTATGGGTCTGGCTCGTTGTAGTCCCCTTATCTATGGGAGGGGAATACGTTCCAGGAACCCCAGTAGGTGTCTGAAACCACAAATAGTGCCAAACTCTTATGACACCATGTTTCCTCCAGTACTGTATGTACTTATAGCAGAGCGTGGAGAAGCTGGACAAAGGGACAGTCATGCCAGGGTGGAATGCAGGGGGTGGGTACTGTGAGATTTCAATCTGATACTTTCCACAGTGCACAATTTCAAACTTAGGATGCATTTATTTATAGAATTTTTTCTGTGGAGCTGGGGATGGAACCCAGGGTCTTGCACATGTTACCCCCAGCCCAGGATTTTAAAAAAAAATTATTAATTTTATTATTCATATGTGCATACAATGCTTGGGTCATTTCTCCTCCCTGCCCCACCCCCTCCCTTACCACCCACCCTGCCCCCTCCTTCTTTCCCCCACCCCCTCGATACCCGACAGAAACTATTTTGCCCTTATCTCTAATTTTGTTGAAGAGAGAGTATAAGCAATAATAGGAAGGAACAAGGGTTTTTGCTGGTTGAGATAAGGATAGCTATACAGGGAGTTGACTCACATTGATTTCCTGTGTATGTGTGTTACCTTCTAGCTTAATTCTTTTTGATCTAACCCTTTCTCTAGTTCCTGGTCTCCTTCTCTTATTGGCCTCAGTTGCTTTTAAGGTATCTGCTTTAGTTTCTCTTCGTTAAGGGCAACAAATGCTAGCTAATATGCTAGCTGATATCTCTCTTGTGTGCTCTCACTTTATCATGTACTCAAAGTCCAATCCCATTGTTGTGTTTGCCCTTGATCTAATGTCCGCATATGAGGGAGAACATACAATTTTTGGTCTTTTGGACCAGGCTAACCTCACTCAGAATGATGTTCTCCAATTCCATCCATTTACCAGCAAATGATAACATTTCGTTCTTCTTCATGGCTGCATAAAATTCCATTGTGTATAGATACCACATTTTCTTGATCCATTCGTCAGTGGTGGGGCATCTTGGCTGTTTCCATAACTTGGCAATTGTGAATAGTGCCGCAATAAACATGGGTGTGCAGGTGCCTCTGGAGTAACCTGTGTCACAGTCTTTTGGGTATATCCCCAAGAGTGATATCCAGCCCAGGATTTTTTTTTCAGTTCCAGGATTGAACAAATGGCTTCATAACTGCCAAGCATGTGCTATGGCACTGAGCTATGCCTCCAGTCTGGAATTTTCCATGTAGTATTTTCAGCCCATGACTGACAGTGAATAACTGAACTGAATTGAAAGTGAAACTGTAGCTCAGCTCAGAGTCCACTCTCTCTAAAGGACTCACCACTTACCCTGGAGACTGGCAGTGGCCCGGGATCGATGACAGCACCCTCCATCCCCAACTACAGATTCCTACTCTTGCCTTCTTTGTGTGTGTAGTACTAGAGTTTGAACTCAGGGCAAGTGCACTGCCACTGCCATGTCCTCAGCCCTCTTGTCTTATGGTAGGGTGGTTATAGAATTCTGGCAGTGGTTGAAAGAACCACTGAGCTCCAGCCAATGTGAGTCAAATCTGTCACCTCTGTGTGAGCTTGAGCAAGTTACCTAACCTCTCTGACTCTTAGGCCCATCATCTGGAAGACAGTAAGAATGATAGTGGCTGTAAGGTTGCCTTAAGGATTAAAGACAGTGAGAACGTGGAGCCTGAGCGTGGGTGCTATACCTAGGACCTTGATCCTCTCGAGAAGGGGCAATAGGAGGAGCAGAGGGAGCTGAGGTGACCCGACACCCCACAAAATGGCCCAGCACCAAGGAGTCTGGGCCAGGAGTACTGACCACCATGGCACCAGTCTTTGAGGGGCCTTACCATGGTCCAGGTGAGTGCCCAGGTGTGTCCCTTACCTCAGTGGCCTGAACCTGTTGCCACAATTGCATTATGGTCAGTCTGCAGCTGGGAGTGAGGGCCCAAGAGAACGGGACTGGCCCAGGCTGCATGGGAGCCTCAGCTAGGGCCCTGAATGTTCCCACAGGGAAGCCTGTATGGACAAGAACTGGGGGCTGCCCGGCGTGGCACAAAGACTGGAGGCTTTGGAATGGAGGTCTAATCTAGGCTCTGCCCCGCCTCCATCCATGACTACATAGGCTGCTGTGGTCTTGCAGGTGGCCCCAGGGATTGTACCTCCACCCCAGGTCTGCATGCACAGCAGGTGTGCAGATGAGCATGGGCAGCTGTGCTGCTTACTCAAGCTGGTGCTAGGTGGCTTGGTACCACTGAGTCCCATGGTGCCAAGGCTGCCGTTGGGGATGGAGAGAATGACTTTCCATATCCCATAATGAGTTTGCACCTTTTAAGAAGGGGTGTGTCCATGGGTGCAGCCCTCCCAGTCCATGCTATCTGACCCTGCTCAGTGCTGAACTCCCTCCTTCTCCCCGCCCAGCAACATGTCCGACGCCTTGGCCAATGCTGTGTGCCAGCGCTGCCAGGCCCACTTTGCCCCTGCCGAGCGCATCGTCAATAGCAATGGGGAGCTGTACCATGAGCACTGCTTCGTGTGCGCCCAGTGCTTCCGGCCGTTCCCTGAGGGGCTCTTCTACGAGGTGAGGATGCCCCCTGAGAAATGCTGGCCAACTGTTGAGGCAGTGGGAAGGCTGGGCAGAGTTCTGGGAGGGGGCTGTGTGCCCAGAACAAAGCCTGGCACACAGTAGGTGCTCAGGCAATATTGTGGCTGAATGAATTTAAATCTCTATTGCCTCTCTAGGTCACTGGGTAGGGCTGCATCTAGCTGATGTCTAAGAAGACACTCATTATGGAAAGCAGGAAAGCAAAATTAAAAAACAAAAACCCCGCAAACTTGTTAAGGGGAAGGCAGAGGCAGGCCACACTTTGGGCGCTCTTGGGGATAGCACATGGTCCTCACTGCCAGACAGCGGCTGCCTGGTGGATTCCGTACCAGCTCCTGCTGGCCACACCCGGATATCCCCCCAAGCAGGCCCTTCCTGTGTTCCCTTCCTTCTCCCCCCTCCATGGGTCCTTCAAGGCCTCTGTGGGGGAGCTGGACTGCTCACACAGGATGCAGGAAATTGGGCAAAAGGATGCATAAAATTCAAACTTGACCTCATCCTGCCCCACTCTCAGTCTGGCCATAGCACCAAGATCCCTAGCGTTCAGCAGGGGCCCTCAGAGAGCTGACCTGGGGGCCTCTGCATCTCCTATACTTTGTGCCCACCGTATGACGTGGACCAGTCTCCTGCTCCAGCCTGGGTCTGGAATGCCCTCCTTTCCTGCTGTGCCCCACCCCCTGCCTCAGGTTCCCTGCTGACACAGGCTCCTGAAATGATGTGTGATTTGCTTGTCTCCTGCCTGTGGTCCCATTTGCAGTTTGAGGGCCGGAAGTACTGTGAACATGACTTCCAAATGCTGTTTGCTCCATGCTGTGGATCCTGTGGTAAGAGCCGGCACCAACACTCACTCTGTGCCGTCTGGAAAGTGGGAGGAGGGCCGGTAGGGGCACAGGTTGGGGTGGGGGGTTGCACAAGACTGGCATAGGACTGGGACACTCGTCCCTGGTTGCCTCGCCCTGTCTCTCTAAGCATCTCCCTGCAGGCTCCCGTCAGGAACTCTCTTCCTATGCTGCAGGCTTGACACCTCGGACCAGGCTGAGCTTGGGAGGAGCGCTAGTGTGCATGGGCTTGGGAGGGGCCTGAGGGTGGGGCACGTGCTCTTCAATCAAGAAGGTCCTCCCTTCCAGGCGAGTTCATCATTGGACGAGTCATCAAGGCCATGAACACCAACTGGCACCCAGGGTGCTTCCGCTGCGAGCTATGTGACGTGGAGCTGGCCGACCTGGGCTTCGTGAAGAATGCGGGCAGGTGAGGTGGCTGTGTTGGGGCAGAGAGGAGGGCCCCTCACCACAAGTGCCAGGCTCTGTGTCCAGGCTCTGCGTCCTGTACAGTCATGGCTATAGACCCTTCTCCAACGCTGCAAAGTGGCCAGTATCACTCCCAGTGCTCAGGTGAGGACTGAGGTTGCGGGGAGTGAGGGTGAGAGCCTGGGTGGACGGACACAAGGGGTGCTCCTCGCCAATAGCCAATAGAAAGAATGGACCAGGGTGCCCCAGCAGGAGCCATGAGAGGGCCACAGTGGATAAGGAGCTTTGAGTTCAAGGAATTTCCTCACCATGATGACCATCTTCCCCCACCTGTACTCACACAGCTGATTGTTGCTAGAGAGAAATCACCCAACCATGTTGCTCAAATTTACTCTAAACCAGGGCCGTAAACCTCATCAGCACCTTCCAAGAAGTCTTACTTTTTTCTCCCTGCCCCTACTCCTCCTACTGCTGCCTCCACACCTCCCACCTGTCTGAGGCTGGCCTTAGGGGAGCCCCTGCCCCCTGTGTACTCCAGCTGCTCACTCTGCTCTGCATGGCCAGGGCCTTCCCAGCAGTGCCCACTGCAGCATCCCTCTACTGGAGGAAGCTCTGTGGGTTGCCAGTACCAGCTCAGTCTCTTCTTCTCTGGGGTGGGGGGCAGGTTGTTTGGGGCTTTGTGCTCTGCCCTTGCAGCTAAGGTCTCAGACCCCTACGTGGCATGTCAGAACCACTCGGGCACACGCAGACCTCTCCCTTGTTGTACTCAGCTGCCACAATGCCATCACCTCTTGAGGGCCACCAGGCATTCCAAATACAATGGGCCCCAATCTGAGCTGTGAGTTTCTCCTCCACTTATGATCATGTCTGCCTCTCCATTCAAACTCCCTTGTCGGACACCCCAGCTGTCCATTGGACTGCCACACCGTCTCCTGCCTGAGCACTTGTTCTCTATCACGGCACCTATTGTCCCTCCTGTCATGGCTGCAACGATTGACTGTGTGCATTAATTTGCTACTCCACAAGAGATGCACATGGCCTTGTGTCGGTCCTGGTGTCTGCAGGACCAGCACAGTGCCCGGTCCTCAGCATGTTGTCTTGGTGAGGGGCAGACAGTGCAGTGGAGGGGTCAAGGGACAATACTGGGTGGGGGATCAGTGCTGATCAGTAGGGTCACCAACCAGGTGTGTGCCTAGAGTGAGTCCTGGCCCCTTCTGGAGCCAAGACTTGACCTTGGCTACTGCCCCACTGACTGGCTGGAAAATTGGAGGAGACCAAAAGTGCTTTGGGAAGTACAAGGTTATAGAAAAGTATGTGTTTCTGTAATGATAGGCACAGGGTGGCAGCCAGAGGCTGAGTAACGTGAGCGGGGAAGGGAGAAGTTCTGGGGAGAGCATCATATCGAGTAATCGCAATAACCTCCTCCATCTTAAGGCAACACTTACATTTATGATCAGTACAAACAAGTACCAAAAAGGATGTGTTAGAGCAAAGCGTGTAACAGCTCAGAGCTCGGCCGGCTGAGGTTGGTGAAGGCCTCTTGGGAGGGAGTGGAGTTCAGGATGTCCCTGCTGGGTCTGGTTAGTGGTTTACATGCCTGGCCCTGCCTGAGGTAAGCACCCATGGCTGTCCGTCCATGCCATGTCAGGCGAGGGGCAGCTGTGTGTGTTTGGGTGGGGGATTTACAGCAGGAGGGAACAGGCGCCCAGAGCTGAGCTAATGTACTCCGTAGGTCGGGTTTGCTGGGGGGTCACGTGCACCCAGTGTGAAAAGTATTTACAGTGGCATTTGATTACCATTTGTAGTCCGTGTTCCCCTAAACTCAGAAAGGTGTCATTTGGCAAAGGAGCCATGAAGGGAACTCAGTGTATGTACCTTGTGCTACAAAGGAAATATTTAGACACCTCCCCAGTCTTCCCTTCAGATTCATGTGCCTCTTCACCTGGGGTCTAGCAGCCTGCCTCGTGAGTCTTTCTGAGGGCTTCACTGCCGTGCTTGTCTATAGAGGGAAGGAGGCTGAGAGCTTAGCCGGGAAAGAAAGACCCTCATTGTTCCAGAATCATTCTTCTGTCTCCCTTCCCCCCTTAGCATGGGTGAAGTCACTGAGTGTCTGGGAGCTGCAAGTAAGCAGGGTCAGCCCAGTCCCCAGGATCGGGTCAGCCCTCAGAGGAGTGACCAATCCATCCCCATTGTCAGCTTTCCTTTTTCAGGGAGAACACTGAGCTCCCATTGGGTGACCTTGGAAGGAGGAGTGGGGACCTGCTGAAATTCCAGGTTGTTTGCTCAGCAGGTGTCAGGAGAACTTCTCCTGCTGGGTCTGGCAGCAAACTTCCTAAGGGGCTGGTCCTCCTGTGACAGCCTGTGGCCAGCCCAAGGGCAGCACCTTGCGGCTCACAGCTCTGACCTGGCGCTCAGTGAGCTCTCGTTGGTCTTCCCTTCGAAGCTGGGGGGTGGGCCTGTGAGCCTCTTGCCACAGAGCAAGTTGCACAAGGCGTGGCGGAACTTCTCAGCCACGAAGAAGTACATGACAGGGTCGAGGGCCCCGTTGAGGCTGGTGAGGCAGGAGGTGATTCGGTTCCCTAGGGCCAGGACACGCTGGGCGGTGCAGGAGGTCCCGCCACCGCGGTAGTGTAGCACGTAGACAGAGCGGTGGACGTGGTAGGGCACGAAACAGACCAGGAAGATAGCCAGCACCATGGCGATCATGCGGACAGCTTTGTTCTTGAGCCGCTTCTCCACACGGGGGCCCTGCCGCAGGCTGCGGATGATTAGCAGGTAGCAGGTGACCGTAGTGACAAAAGGGAAGGTGAAGGCCACAGCCAGGGAGGCGAGGGCGCGGTGGGAGGCCTTCTCCCGGTATAGCTGCAGGCAGACCACCGTGTGGTTGGTCTGCACCGTCTGAGTGCTCACCAGCAGCGGGGCCATGGCCAAAGCCACCACCACCCACAGGAAGGCACAGGCCAGGTGGGCATAGAGAGGCCTGCGCAGCTTAAGGGACTTGACTGGGTGCACAATGGCCAGGAAGCGGTCAGCGCTGATGCAGGTGAGGAAGTAGATGCTGGCATACATGTTGAGGTAGAACAGGAAGCCGGTGAGTCGGCATGGGATTTCCCCAAATGGCCAGTGGTTCCCAGAGAAGTGGTAGACGAGGCGGGTGGGCAGGACCAGCACACAGGACAAGTCAGCCACAGCCAGGTGCATCAGGAACACATTGGCTGGGGTGCCTGACTTGCGGTCCCGGATGAAAAGCCACAGGGCCAGGGCATTGCCCACAAAAGCCAGGATGAAATCCAGGAGGTAGAAGCAGGCAAACAGCATGTTCTCCAGCGGTGTCTCCTGCCCACATTGCTCAGCAGCCGCAGAAGAGTTGTCAGTTAGACTTGGGGAGACCACCTCGAGGCCATTCATGCTTTGGCCGGAGGCAGAGCTTGGGACACACCTGGAGGGAACATGCCAACAGGTTGTGGGGAGCCCAGGACGGCAAAACTTCATATTCCCCAAAAGTCAGAGTAAGACCTCTGACACCCTCAGAACCTTCCACCAACGGAGCTGCTCCAGGCTGGTCATCATGCACAGGTGACTGCAGGGACCTCCTGTGTCATTTGTAACTGGCTGAGCATCAGAACTGGGGTCTGGGGTTTCCCCACTGAGCAGCCATGTCACTGCCAAAGGCCTGGAGTCATTACTGAGAGACCCAGAAATCTGAAGTGGAGCACACTGGGCCTCTGTCTGCACAGAGGTGGGCCCCAACTGCCTGTGGCTCTGGAGAGTACTCCCAGGTGTGCCATCTGAATGTCAAGTGAGCCCTGCTTCCCAGGGGTGAATTGGTGGCATCGGTGCTTGGAAGCCACCTTCAGCCCCTGCGTTGCTGGGGCCCTCCCTGGCCTGCCTGCCCAGCTCTCTCAACCTTTCCACAGCTGCAGGGAGCAGAGTGCTCTGGCTGCCCCAGCCAGCCCCTGACACCAGTGGGGCTACAGCAGGTGTGCAGTGGGCTGCTCTGTCCTCCAGCAGTGACAGCCCCAGTCTCTTGGGATGCTTTCTGCCCTCTGCCCACCATCTCTATTCTGGACATCCTAACAAGGGTGTCGGAACTTAGGAAGACCTTGGACTGGGCCTCAGGCCAGCAGGGTGTCTTTTCCCCTTCAGGGTTGTTCCACAGTCAGGTGGCAAGATCTTTCCAGGAGGCAAAGAGCCTGTACCCGGAGGCAGAGAGACTGGCCAGGATTTTCCTGTGAAGATCTATAGCTCCAGAGAGGCTCCAGGGGCTGCCTAGTGTGACCCCAGCTGAGGGCTGAGCTCAGAGCCCTGCCAGCCTCGGTAACCAGTTGTTTATACCTTTCACATCCCAGATCTGGTGCTCCCTATTGCTTCCTACCAGCTAGAGAAACTGATCTCTGTTTTGACTTTAATCCCTCAAGAGATCCAAGAAGAAGGGGCTCCCAAACACCGTGCTTCCCCTCACCTGGGCCTGGGAGTGGAGAGTATGGGCAAGAAGGGCAGGTGTAGGACCAGAGCAGCCACAGCCCAGAGTTGGAGCAGGAGGCTGCTGTCAGCCCTGCCTTCTTATCCCTGCCCCTGTGGGAACCCAGGTCTGGAAAGAGCCAAGCTGGGTGCCCTCCACCCTGGCTGCCCCTGACTTTGCTTTGCAGCACAGTTATCATCTGACCACTCCAGAAGGGCAGCTTGCAGGTGTGACCCCCACCCCGACCCTGCATGGCGAGGGCCTCCCTACGCTGGCTTACAGTCCTAAGAGGTGGGCATCAGTGGTAGCAGACACCTGTAATACTAGCTGCTTGGGAAGCAGAGACAGGAGAATGGCAGTTCAAGGCCAGCCAGGCAAAATTAGCACAAACTTCTCAAGGCTCCCTCTGTTCAGACTGCCAGCCAAGCCTGTGTCACTGGGGGGCGGGGGACACATAGAATATGAGCAGGGCCTGAGGCAGTGTCGAGTCCCAGGGCTGTGAGTCAGATAAGCGTTGTAATATAGATCTAGGGCCTCCATGGTGGGGCATGTGGGCAGGTGTGGCTGTAGGAGGAAGCCGTAGTGGCAGCACTGTGCCAGAGCAGTGGTGGTGTCCTCTGCATTGGGCATCTCTCCCTCCCTGGCCCAAGTCCTGCTTCCAGACAGTCTCCTTCACCTGGCTGCTCTTTGTGCTAAGGTAGCCTAGAGGCAAATGGCATGGATGCTGGTTCCAACTGACCATTTGTGGGTGTATGGACAAGCTCCTTGCCCTCCTTAAGCCCCAGATGGACAAAAACATGGCTCTCTGGGTTGTTCTCAGGTCAGACCATGATTAGCCTTTGATACATAGGTCATACCATCATCAAAGAGACAGAGACAAGAGATGTCCTCCACCCCAGCATGGCGTCCCCTGCTCTGAGTTGCCTATGCCTGGCCTGGGCTCTTGCTTGCCCCGCCCGCCCCTGCCCCTTACCTCTTGTAGCTGATCCAGGAGGAAAAGGCAGGAGTCTAGGGGTGGCAGGTGAGCGGGGGGCCAGGGTGATGGTGCCAGTGGTGGGCTCCGTGCAGCTGGGGATGGAGGCTGGCTATTTAAGGAGAACAAGGGTGGCTGCAGCCCCTCTGGTCCTGAAAGGCCGCTTCATTCCTGAGGGGGTCTCTTGTGGGGTGGGCCGCTCCTCCGGCTGCCTGTGCTGCCACAGGGGCTGTGAATATTCCAGTGTGTCCTCAGACTCTGCACACCCCCGCCCCTCAGCTTGGTCACCAAGTGTCACAGTGTGTGACTGTTTTGGGAGCCTGGGAGTGGGCAAGGGCTGGGGCCGAGTGGGGTCTTGGGCTGGGAACTGACAGACACAACAGGACGTTTGAGAAGGGGATGATTTCCTATTAATGGGTAGGGGGGTTGGGAAGGAGGGGCCAGCCGCCATGGCAACAGGCCAGACTCCCAAGCCTGCTGGACTCCGGGAGGGATGTCGTGAATGCAGAGGGGATTCTTTCAGGGTCCTTGTGTCCTGCCCTGTATAATTAGGCACCGTTCGGGTGTGTGGAATAAATCATGGCCTTTATGTGTAGCTGGACACAGCTGCAGGCCGCCTCATAATGGGTCGCTGTCTGTCCCGTGAGGACACAGCTCAGCCCGGCAGGCCTGGCCCTCGCCTCTGCAGGCCCCTCCTCTGCACAGGAGCTGTCTGTAGCCCACTGACCACTGGCCCCCAAGACTCCTCTCTGAGGTGGCTTGAGGTAGGGTTGTGTTGGATGTCACCAGTGGCTGTTCCTGGACTTAGTGAACCAAGCTTGTCATTTCTGTCTTTTCAAAAATGATACATTAGAAACCAGCATTCCTAGTTTCAAAAGACTTTTCAGTTTTTTAGTTAAAACTGGCTAGCATTTTGGGAGAACCTACCACCTGCCCTATATTAAATTTGTCTTTTCACATAGCCCTGTGCAGCTGGAAATTTTGCTCCATTTGACAGATAAGGAAACCTAGGCTCAGACAGTAGCAAGTGGCAGAGCCAGGATTTGAAGCCGAGCCTTTTCCTACAGAAGTGACACTTGGTGGTTGTTTTGTTTTTCTGCTGCATCGTGATGCTAGAATTCTAAGATTCCATTTTAATTCTACCTGAATTCTGAAGGTCACCTTTGGATCTGGTGCTGGGACCTAGTCTGCTGTTTCCTATCTGCATTTCCTGTGAGAACGACTGGCTGCTTAATCTGTCTTGTCTGAGGGCCAGCAGGGTGTGCACCAGGGAGCATGTCCCTTCTCCATCGTGCCCCAGGAGTGGCTATTTGGAAGTACTGGCTCACACTGGCTGTAGATATGGGCTTTGAAACTGGCTGCCCTGAGCAGGGCACTTCTGGGCTTACAGACTTTTTGTTCTTTTGCCGTGCTACAGATGAACCCGCGGCCTTGTACATGCTAAGTGAGCACTCCACCTCTGAGCTACGTCCCCAGTCCACAGTATTACAGTGACCATTGTAATAGGAGTTTTGGGAGTTGATGCTGGCAGAATGGCTCAAATGGTAGAGTGCTTGCCTAGAAATCATGAGGCCTTGAGTTCAAACCCCAGTACTGCCAAAAAAAAAAAAAATTAGGAATTGAGTAAATTTTGATTGCGTATGGTTTTTGTTTGTTTGTTTGTTTTTGAGACAGGATCTTGCCATGTAGTGCAGGCTGATCTCAAACTCACAAACCTCCTTCCTCAGCTTCCCAAGCTGGGATGCATACACTACCACACCTGGATATGTTGAACTAATTTCTGTATCTTTGAAATAGATTTATTCTATATGGTTTGAATGTTGTACTCATGCTAAGGAGAGGAGTTGCACAATTTGGAGTGAGGTTATGGATAATAAAGCCATGACTGTGACAGAGACACAGGCAGGGGCATGGGCTAGCCACTGTGGGTGGCTGCGGAGGGCTGCTCAGCCCTGGGCCTGCTGTGGAGGTTGACCTAGATGGGGTCTGGGACACAGGTATTCAAGGGTGGGTGGGCTCCAGGGGTCACAGTGGTAAGGGCTGTAGTCAAAGGCTATATCTGCTGCCAGGAATCCAGGACCAGGAGACTGGCTCCAGTCTTGGCTCGGCCATGTTGTCACAGGGAGATGGAACCCACTGTCCCTCCCTTCCTGTCTTGTGCGGTCACTTGTTTGTACACATACTACCCCAGGCTGAACACCCGGGTCTGTAGCTTAGCAAGTAACTACCAGGCTCCTTTCTTGGGCTCTTTGCTCTGCTGCTCACAAACTGGCAAGGCAAGACCCCAGGTGAGTAGAGAGCAGTGGTCTTTAGGATGGAGTCAAGGCCCAAACCAAGGGAGGTGTCCAAGCTGGGGATGCTGAATTGGTAGTCCAGGTAATGGACTCTGCCCATAATATCTGGTTGGGGGTGTCTCAAGTGCAAGTCAATCTGTAATGCAAACTCCCTGACCAGCCTGTAAAAGGGACTGATTGTCAGGTGACTGTGGAGGCCAGTGAAGGGTGGAGAGGCATCCCTTGGATCGTGGGCCTGAGAAGGAGAGCCCAGCTGCATCGGGACTACATTAGATTGGGGTGGCAGGTGGGGACTGGGGAACAGGGGTGTTGGATTGAGGTCTTTGTGCATCTTTGCCTGGGGACCCTGATTCTAAATTCTTGCCACTTTGAGGACAAGAAAACAGAAGCCATGTTGATTTCTCTCTTGGTTGAGACCACAGCTGTTGCCCAGTGCAGGGAGCAGCATCAGAAATGGCTCTGTGATGACAAAAAAGACTCTGTGATGACAGTCCCTGGGTTCAGGGGCCTCCATATGACACAGCTGCGCTTGTCTGTGAAGACAGAAAGCGCCTTTGCATACCAGGGCCCCTCTTCATCCGGCAGACCTCAAATGAAGGGGGTGAGCAGGCCGCACGGTCCTGCACTCGTCGGCCACAGCGCTGAGCACAGTGGTTTTTAAGGCTAACATTCACTGTAGCACATTTGTGTTAAAAGACATTTGAGAATAAACGAATTTTTCAGCAAATGTCAACTAAATGTTTCATCTATGCCACACAATATTCTAGGCTCAGGAAAACTGGAAAGAAGAAATATACCATCCAACCACAATGTGCATTCTGTTGTATTTCCAGTCTTCCTGAGCATAGGAGGCATCCCTTTTAGGAGGCCCTGTGGCCTTCCAGGCCTCGTGATTGGGCAGCTGGCTTTTCTTCACCCCTGGCTGGTTCCCTTTGAAGCACCCAGGCTCTCCCTGAGCAGCATCCTGGGCTCTCTTCTCCTGGACATGGCCTGGCTGTCCTGGGAGGAGGTGCAGGAGACATCGACCTACCGCTAACACTACCCTTGTCTCCCACAGACACCTCTGTCGGCCTTGCCACAACCGGGAGAAGGCCAAGGGCCTGGGTAAGTACATCTGTCAGCGGTGCCACCTGGTCATTGATGAGCAGCCCCTCATGTTCAGGAATGATGCCTACCACCCGGACCACTTCAACTGCTCCCACTGTGGGTAGGTGCCCAGCCCTGACCTTGTGGGGGGCGTGGAAACCCAGGACTGTCATCATAGTGCAGGGATGGTGGGACCCCCCCCCCCGCCCCAATCCAGGCCTGTAAAAGTTGAGTCAGTCAGGCGTAGAGTGTCCGGTGTATGGAGGCAGAGGTGGAATGGGGGCTGGGGAGCTCCTCTTTCTGGGCTTTGTTCAGGGGCACTTGGAATTTGGTGGCGGGACGGGGCGGGGGAGCGGTGGGGTGCGCAATGTAAGGTGGCCCCTAGACTGCAGGGACTATGGTTGAGATGTAGCAGAGAGAAAGAAGTAGAGTGAGGTTGGTGCTGGTGTTGGGGAGGGGCGGGGAGCAGAGAGAAGCTGCAGATCTCCTCTGGTCCCCTGTGGTTCCCTCCATGCCTGTCCCAGACACCCAGTCTGGTTTGGAGGAGGAGGGGGGCCCCCAAGAACAGACCTGCTTCTCAAAAGGTTGGTGGGGCAGAACACAGGCGCCCTTCTGCTAGGCCTGTGTCGGAATTCTGTGCTCTAGGGCCTGTCTGGGGCACACACAGGAAATCTCCAGAGTCCAGAGATCAGAGAGAGCTGCCGCTCAGCCTGAGTGGGGCTTCTCGGGGTGCAGGGTGCTGGGCTAGAGGGGCCGTAGTAACCCCGGAGAAGGACAGGGTGGTATCTGGGGACTCTTTTGTCTTCCAGGAAGGAGCTGACTGCCGAAGCCCGAGAGCTGAAGGGTGAGCTCTACTGCCTGCCTTGCCATGACAAGATGGGCGTCCCCATCTGTGGGGCCTGCCGCCGACCCATTGAGGGTCGTGTGGTCAATGCACTGGGCAAGCGGTGGCATGTGGAGGTGAGCAGGCCACAGCCTGTGGCTTCAGGTTTGGGGTGCCCTGGTTCACAGGCCCCTGGGGTCCATGCCCCAGCCCAGGCCATGTACTGGTTCCCAGAAAGGACATTGTTCTGGGTATGGCCTCTCCTTGCACTGGCCAGGGACTCCAGCCCATCCATGGGAGCATGGGAGCTGGCCCACGGGCCATGGTTGGCAGCCACACCCAGCTTCCCTCTTGCCCCTGGTGGCAGTTAGAGGATTCCAGAATCAGGAGCAAGCCTTGGGGCCTGTGGAGTTGTAGTCGACAGAATTGCCGTGTGCACAGCCCCACATAGACACTGAGCTCACCTGGGCCACCTGGAGCTCTTGCCCTGGACTGAGGGTGCCATTGCTCTTATGGACCTACTTGGAAAGGAAGTTTGCATCCCCAGTTGCCTGGCCATCTCTGCATCCAGAAGCTGTGCCTTGAGTGGCCTGTTTGGGAAGGTTCTGCAGGAGACCATGGGCTATGCTGCTCTGAGACAAGCCTGGTCCCCTCTACTGGGGGAGACTGGAGACTGTGTCCTGCCATGCTTCTCTGTTTCCCCAGGCTTGTGTGGGACACGGGAGGCACCTGGCTGATAGTAGGGAGGCTCCCATATGTGAGGGCCACAGCACCTTGCTAGCCCATGGCTGTTTGGGCTAAAGATGACAACAGGGAGCTCAGGGACACAGGATGTCATCTGTGTGAGTTCAAGAAGGAGCAGGCTCTTTTGACTCTCACGGGAGTGTCAGTCCCTTTCCAGCTGTGAGTCCTACCCACCTCCTGTTTCTTGGGTCTTGCTATAATTCTGAAGCCTCTTGGCCACCCTCTCTCCCCCAGCACTTTGTCTGTGCCAAGTGCGAGAAGCCCTTCCTGGGACACCGGCATTATGAGAAAAAGGGCCTGGCCTACTGTGAGACCCACTACAACCAGGTAGGGCTGGGGCAGAGCCTGCAAGGACGTGGGTCTGGAGGTCTCTGAGGTAGCCTGGGAAGTCTGCTGAGAGGACAGAAGCCGGGCCTTCGTGCTCAGTTCCCGAGTCCGAAGCTTAGAGCCTGAGACATGGCCAGCTTTGTTTACTCGGTGACTTTAGTTGAAAGATGGGAACTTCTGGTCTCAGAGGCTGATGGGACAAGGTCACACACCAGCCATATCCTCTCAGGACGTCAGGAGGAGCAATGGGGCCTTTTGGGGAAATATTCCTTAGTCTGTGGCCCTCACCAGGGTTGACTCTAATGAGCCAGGTGGCCTCACCACAGGCCTGAGGCTGTACCCAGCAGGAAGTGTTCAGGACAACCTTAAAGTGGCACATGGGGAGCTCCTGGGCTGGGGCACGGTGCCCACAGCAGCACTGACAGTCTGTTCTGTACACAGCTCTTTGGGGATGTCTGCTACAACTGCAGTCATGTGATCGAGGGTGATGGTAAGGCCTCTCTGTCCTTGACCCCCCTGTCTCTGTCCCCACCTGCCTGCTGTCTCTCGGGCTGTGGGTTCTGCAGCTGCGGGTCCAGCTGGCTCTGACTTTGCACAGTTGGGTCTCTGGCTGGCCTGGTAGGAGCCTACTATAAGCTCTCGTCTGCCCTCACAGTGGTGTCAGCCCTCAACAAGGCCTGGTGTGTGAACTGCTTCTCCTGTTCCACCTGCAACAGCAAGCTCACCTTAAAGTGAGTCGTGTGGTGTCCTTCCTTTTCTCAGCCTGATCTTGCCCACACATGTAGTCAGACCCTAGGAAGGTGGGGAGACCAGGGGCAGCACAGATAGGTGGAGACAGGTTCAGGGACCCCAGGGCATGGTGGTGGTGTGGGCAGTAACACGCCTGCAAGGACCCTGGGTTCTGGAGAGGGAAGGGCATGTATGCAAAGGCAAATGTGTCACATGGCTGGCTCTCCCAGGAAGCCTGGAGGGGTGGAGGGTGACTACAGTTGTGAGAGGTAAGGGGTGGCTCAAGTTAACCAGGGCACCAAGGAGCTAAAGAGGGTTCTGGAGTGTCAGAACCTGAGAAGCCTCTAGGAGGGAGGGGAGGCCTGGAGGCCCATTTCTTCCTCCCCATGCCCTCCATTCAGAGGCTAATCCTGGGCCAGGGGCTGAGAAGCCCAGTCCTTTGCCTCCAGGTCACTATCTGGGATCAGGGTTGGTGAGGCATGGACTTCCTGGCTCCTTCCCCAGGAACAAGTTTGTGGAGTTCGATATGAAGCCTGTGTGTAAGAGATGCTACGAGAGGTTCCCACTGGAGCTAAAGAAACGACTGAAGAAGTTGTCTGACCTGACTTCCCGCAAGGCGCAGCCTAAGTCTGTGGATGTCAACTCTGCCTGAGGCTTCCTCCTCCTGGATTCCTGCCTTTGCCCCACTGCCTGCCTGCCTTTTCCTGGCCACCTCCCAGTCTCCTTTCTCCATCTCTTCTCTGTCCTGCCCTACCCTCTTACCACTCAAGCACGTCCTGCCTTTCCATTCCCTTGTCTGTTCCTGCTTCTTGTCTTCTCCCTGGCCAGATCCTCTCCTCCCTTCTCTGTGGGGGCCTGGCCCATACCCCACAGCCACTTCACCTGTGCCTACAAGAGACAAGAACAAACGGAAGTCTCTTGCTCCTGCTTGAATCGTGGTTCTCAGTTTGCCTGACACCTGTCCTTCCCCACAGAGGACCGGTTGGCCCCCATTCTCCTGAAGGAGCCTCAACCTCAGAGTGGTCCCACTATGTACACATGGCATCTGGGGCCCTGCAGCCAGGCCCATGCAGATGGAGGTGATGGGGGCACCCTTTAGTCCCTCAGCTACACACTCAGCCATGAAAGATCCCTGTACCCACACTGGGCCGGCAAGTCCTGCCATCCCACTTAACGAAACCAGCTGGAGGGACAAAGACCTCACTCCCTTCATCACTAAGAAGGCCTTGCAAAAATCCTGCTCTGGTTGTCCCGAGCCTGGGTTGAGCCTCTGGACATAGTCGGCTAGGAGGTGATAGGAAAGGGGTGACTTACTTCCATATCCTGGGATATATACTTCCATATCCCTTGCTCTGTGGCCAGCACAGATCTGGAACTGGACTCACACTTGCACAATGAAAGCTGATTCACATGCCCTCAATGGCCTGTGTGGTTTGTGGAGGAGGTGGAGTTACACACTGCTGATGGAGCCACAGACTTCAGACAGGCAGGCAGAAGAGTTAGGCCGGACCCAGACCTTCCCAGGCCAGACTGTCACTGGGGTTTGGAAGCAAGGCCAGCCAGGCTGGGTAGATGTACCCATGTAGGCTGGCCTGATAGGTGGAGTGGGTGTCTTTCAGACAGAGCTTAACAGTGGGATCTGGGTGTGGGAACCCAAGCTCTGTGTTCAGCTCTGCTTATTGCTGGGCACAGGCTGCCTTATGGTTAAGGTGCACCTCTACCCCTGCCCTCCTGGGAGCAGAGAAGGTATGGCAGAAAGGAGAAAGGGAAGGAGAAAAGTGTGGAGAGGAGCTTGGAAGCAGGAATCTCCAGGGAGTGCCTTCTCCTCAGTCTGAGAACCGGAAAGAAGGAAGGAAGGGAGGGGGTGGTGGGGAGAAGGAAAAAGAAAGGGCAGATGAAGTCATTCCTAGAGAATGCAGTTGTCATCTGGCTTTGGGAGAAGTCACAATGCTCTTTGCTCTTTCTAGAAGAAAGGGCAGGGCCTCCCAGGCCTGTTGCCCCCCCCCCCATACCCTTCACCCTTTCCCTCACAGATGCACTCACTCCCACTGCTTGATAAATGTTTATTAGACATTGGAGGAGGCGCCTTCCACCATTAGCTGAAGGCCCTCGAGACCTCCATGGTCAACACTGAAGAAAGGGGCCATCTGGGGTGCTGAGGGGAGTTGAGGGACAGCGTGGAAGGCAGGCCCTGAACTGAGGAGGGACCCCAGGTTGGGAGGGTGACTGAGGGGCAACTCCTGTTAGAAGCTGGTCAGGACCGTGGCTCCAGAGCTCTGCTGTTTGTTCATTGCACTCAGGAACTGATGCACATATGAGGACAGCAGGTCGTCCATCTTGTAACCCTGGACAGGAGGGGACAGGTGGGGGTCAGAGGCTAAGGGTACAAGGAAGGTTGATGGGGTGTTGGACTCGGGCACCTTGTAGTATCCAACATCTATTGCAGCAACACAGGCAGAGTAGGGTGTGGGGAAGAGGAAAGGAGGCACCAGCTGCGAGGGCCCTGCTGTTCTTACTAAGCCTAAGTCCCACCCCCCTCTTCAGAATGGACTGGGTCTACATGGAACCTTCTGCAAGGCCTTCCCACCATGGTTGTTGCTGCCAGTCCAGCAAGTGCCTGGCCTCTCTGAGGTCTCAGCTGGCCCAGCCTGGTCCTGCCTGATCCCTCATGATGGGTGGCAGTGAGGACAAGGGCTGGAAGTCCAGTCCCCAGTGTTTCTTGAGTTCTGTGACTGGGTTAAAGATGGGCCTGGGCTCACCAGAGAGGTCTCACACAGCAAGCGGTTGGCCCTGCCCAGGTTCCCCAGCACCATGTGGAAGTAGGTGCTGCCGCTGCTCCAGCTGGAAATCTTGGTGAAAGGATAGGTGATGAGCAGCTCCTAGGGACAGAAGTGGCAGTGAGCAGGAAGCCAGGATCACTGGCTGAGTGGGGTGTGGTCCAGAGGCAGGAGTGACATGGTAGAGCTGATAATTGCAGGGGTCCCGACTTCTAGGCCCCAGCCTGCTGCTGTACCTTGGTCTTGGGGTGAATGAGTAGCACCCCATGTCGGTTGATGGCAATGAGGACGATGTCCGGGTAGGAGGGCTCTGAAGTTTGCTGAGGAAGAGAAGGTATGGTGGTCATAGCCAGCCTGGGGGCCAGGTGGCCACTTTCTAGGCACTGACCTGGGGCCCATGCATGCACACTCACTCACACACATCCCTGTCAAACATGGCCGCCAGCCCCACTGCACCAGGTGTTTGGAGCTAGGCTAGTGGGTCTGCAGCTAGACCTACCTTCACCTCAAAGAAGGCAGACCCAAAGGTGGGCCAGCGGCAGATCCACTTGAGAAAGGCCACCTTGGCCTCCTGTACAGTCTTGTCTTTGTGCTTGTCGCATTCCAGAAGGAGGCTCTGGGGGAGGAGAGGGCTGGTGAGGGGCTAGGCAGGGCTGCCCTGTCTAGATAGAGTCTTCCATGCAGGGCATGAACACCCCAGGGGCCCCCAAACCCCAGCCCAAGCAGCACCCACCTACCTGAGAGCCAGTGTGGGCTAAAGTGGAGAAGGGGGGGGATAGGTAGGGTCTTAGCAGCACTGTGAGCAGGACGGGGAAAGGCAGGATGTCCACAGCCCCCCTGCCCATCGTGCCCAGGCAGGGTCCTTGCCTGAAGGTCACCTCCCAGCCCCATCAAGGACCTTTCTCCATTCTTCTGAGGACATCAGGCGTGTGAGGTTCTCAGGTACCAGTTCCCTCAGGATCTTGGGGATACTAGCCAGCTGGGACTGGTCATTGTCAAACTGGGCCTTGTAGATGAGGCCTGCCAGGTGTACAGCATCTTCCCGAGAACACTTATGGAACCCGCGCAGGTACTTGGGCAGCTCCTGACAGGTGGACATGCTGGGCCTCAGGCTGCGGGCCCACCTCCCACCTTTATGCACAGGTGGCAGTCTCCCACCCCCATCCAGGGGAGACTGAGCAAGCCAAAGGTTGAGGCTCTCAGAGTAGAGCTTCTGGCCAAGGGAATGACCACCATGTCAGGTCAGGGTTCCCTGCTGTCTTGCTATGGTGGCTGCAGCCTGCTCTATCCACATGTAATTAGCTCTTCAAGGCAGGCCTGGTGCACCAGGGTTTTAGGACCTTCTGTGTGCTCCCCTCCCCCAGCATCAGGCTTCAGATGTCAGTGCAGACAATGTCCCCAGATGCTGCTGTGTTCCTGGCTCCAGAACCCTTCAGGCCTGTCTACCTCCTGGGACTTTGTCACTGGTGCTCAGAGCAAAGTGGTCCCTGCCTTGGTCTCTACTCTCATGTCTCAGGGCAGGGGATGGGATGGTATGAGTGTGGCCCCAGTGACCACTGGGAGAGCAGCCTGCTGGATACCTGATGGTAGTGGAGTGTGGTGTCCGCATTCACATCCTTCCCTGGGACTACATTGAGCCACAATTTCCGCATGAAGTACACCTGGTAGGGGAGCGTCACAGGGGCCCCTGGACGAGGGGCAGCAGTGGGCACCAAGCCTGTTCCAACAAGACCTGCTGCCCACCTACCTGCCTACACTACACACTCCTGGCCCCCAAATCACTCCTGTTGCATCCTTGCTTGAAAAACCACTACCCCTCCTTTTCCCTGGCCCCCAACTCCTCCTCATCCTTTAGGACCAGTGTAGGGACCGCCTCCTCCAGGAATGTTGCTGGACCCACATGGGATTGGGCCCAGAACCCTTTATCACCCTGCAGTAAGTCACCTGTGTGTCCGGGGACACTGGTAGGGGGTGGGGGATCAGTGCATGAATAACTAAATAGATTTCAAGCCATGCAGGAGATGCCAGGGAGGCAGCCAGTACCCCTGTACCTTTACCATCCCAGCCACTCCACCCACAGAGACACCCTCACCTTCTTTCTGGGGTTTGTTCTTCTTTATCCAGTCAGACACCTGCCTCAAGCTGTCAAAGAAGAAGTCTCCTTCCTTCTGGCTGATGACCTGGGGTGGGAAAGGGCAGCAGGTGCAGTGGCCTCCAGGAGGTGTCCTCCTGGGAGACCCTCTTGGGTTTGGATCCAGGGCCATCTGCTCTGGCCTAGTAGACTGGGTGCCCTCTTGGGGTCAGAGTTGAGCTGTCTATGGTCAGCAGAATGTGGGGCCAGGGTTTGGGCTCTGTGACTCCCCCTCCCCCTTTGCCCCAATAGTACAGCTGTGCAGTGAGGAGCCCAGCCTTGCACAGCTGTACAAGGTAGGCTGAGGTCCAAAGGTCCAGTTGATATGGGAGACCCTCGCCCAACATCCTTCCACCCCTTGGCCTGCCAGGCTGGCACACCTTGTCTGCGATCTTGATGAAGAGGCTACAGCCCTCCCAGGAAGCCAGCTGTAGCCTGGAGGTGATGCTTTCACACACGTCTCGAACCCGGCTGTTGCTGCCCACCTCCAGCATCTGGGCAGAGAGGTGGCAGGTGAGGCCCAGGGCCCAGCCTGGGCCCAAGCAGCTGTTTGGGGCCACAGCACAGCACAAGGTGACCCTTTATTTCCTGGTGCCTTTGCTCCTTCATAATGTTTGGGCTAGATATGCTCTGTCCTGAGAAAGACAGGCCTCCCTCCAGAAAGCTGGCCAAATGTCACACTGCTTAGTCACAGCACTCTCTGTCTAGGATTCAGGCTGGACCTAGGAGGCCCAGACTTTTGAACTTGCTTTGAGAGCCCTGCAACCAGACTGTGAGAACTTTCTGTTATAGAACTCGACTGTCCCCAAGGCCACAAAGGCCACCAAGGCCCTGGGAAGGGTGTGAAGGTGGCACCACCAACCCTTCTTTGGCCCGACTCTTCTTTGCTGCCTCTTGGCAAGGGGCCTCTTTACACAGCTGGGACACACTGGTCTCCCACCTCCTACATGTCCCCTGCACCCTCCCCACAGCCAAGGCAGGCTCTGTACAGAGGCACATTAATGTTGAACACCTGCTCACTGTTGTTCCAGAAGACCCTACAGGTTCCTAAAACCTGGAGCTCAACCTTACCACTCCTCTTCTGGCCTCCTCTTTCCTTCATCCTCGGTCTAGAATCCCTAACTCACACCTCTGGAACAATCTCTGCTTCCAAGTGCACCAGCAGGCTCCTATGGCCCCAAACTGCCTCTCTGTTCACTCAGGGCAGTGCTGCCAAGTGCAGGTGGAGCCCAGGGGCAGACAGGTCGGGTAGGAGAGTGGTAAAGCTGAGACGGTCCACTTGAAACACTGCTCAAGTGACCAAGGGGCACACCGGGCCAGTGAGAGGGTGCCCCTCAGCCTTCCGAGACTTGCTGTGGGCACACAGCAGGGGGACTCACCACACTAGTGTCATTGGGGAAGTACACCTGGTGGCGTATTCGGGAGACATTCTGTTCAGCGGTCTTCACTTCTACTTCATGTGGGGGTTGCTTCCGAGGCCCGGTCCTGAGTAGGACAGTGAACATTGTGGATGTCACTCCTGCCACCAACCCACCCCCCAACCCAGCCATCAGGTTTTAGAGGGGTAGGGCTCCCCTGAACTCAGGCTGGGCTGGAGCGCGAAGGCTGTATGCTCACTTCAGGACCCTCTGGAGACGGCGGCTGCAGTCGGGGGCCAGCAGCTTCTTCCTTCGAGTGTCTATGAACTTCTGGGTATGGGGCAGAAGTGCCTTGCCCGGCGGGAAGAGACCCGTGCACAGCCATAGCAGCTGCCAGCCTCGCTCCTCGCTGTACCTGGAGGGTGGCACCTGTCAGGGCAAAGGGCTCTCGCCTGGGGCCCAGGCCAGCTAGGCCCATGAGGAGGAGAGAAGTGAGAACTGCTGGGGCCTGGGAGCCTGCGGCCCTGGCCAGGGGAGGAGGCAGTGGGCACAAGCAAGGCTACGTCATACCATCCTAGTACCCAGCTGCCCATGGTTCCAGGGCTTTCATGCCCCAGAGAAGAGGGTGTCATTGTGTCAGTTTTGTAGACACAGAGGTTCAGAGAGGCTACAGCCTGCCCAGGTCATTCAGAGGAAGGGTGAGAGTGGCTAGGGAATGGGGACAGGACCGTTCACCGTGCCAAGCACCCTGGGGACACTAGCAGAGCAGGCCATAGCTCAGGCCTTCCTCCTGAGCCTTCACCCTACCATTCCTGGCAGACCTGTTGGAGTTGTGCGTCAGCTGCTTCAGGATCTGACAGTAGACCTCATCCTGCAGAGAGGCGTCCTGAAGTGCCAGTGAGAAGATCTGGTCTGTGAGCTCCAGGGTGGACCAAGCCTGCCGAGAGGGGTAGTCACCCATGTACTTGAAGATGGGTACGGCCGTCAAGGAGAACAGTGCTGGGGGGCAGCCCCAGGCAGACCACCTGACCAGGCCTGCATGTGTCCTCACTGAGCCCAGCATCCTTGCAGGGGGCTGTGTGTTGGCTCTGCCTGTGCTGAGTGGAGGCTTGGCTCCCTTGCCTCAGCTGTGGGGCTGAGAGGGGAAGTGCCTGGTGCTGTGCATGTGGTGAGGGCAGGCTGGCTGGGAAAGGATATCGAGGAAGATCAGACAAGCGATATCCCGCAGGTCAGCTTTGTCATGGACACGCTTGAGCAATGGCTGCCGGAGTGGCTCTGAGGAGTAGGCCCATAGGTGTCCCTGCCTGCGGGTCAGGGGCAGCATAGCTCTGCTGATGGTCTCCTTCTCTGGGGCCCTGTTAGGGATGGAGGAGGTATGAGGCTCTGCCCTGAGGCCTTCTTTGCCTCTTGCTTCTCCTTTTCTTCTGTCCCACCTCCCAGTGGGAGGATCAAAGGGTTCCTTCCCTGCCATGAGTCCCTCCTGGCTCCCCCTTGCCCTGGAAGCCCAGTAGCTCCTGAACCTGCCACCAGGCCTCCCTGCAAAAACCTCTGGTGGGATGGCACCTGAAGAACAGGTAGGAGAACTCCTCCAGAGTGTGCGGTGCCTCCATGCTCTGCTCCTCGGGTAGAGACTCTGAAGGCTGCCCCTCCAGCTTCCGCTTCTCTGGTGACATGGCCAGCAAACTCTGTAGGGGGTCACAGGCCTGTGGGTACCCAGGAGCCACTGCCCACGAGGCCCTTCCCATGGGCTCCCCTGGCCTTGCTGCCTCAAACCACAGATTGGACCACAGGGCCTGGACCTACCCCTCTGTTTCATCTGCTGTGTGATCCAGGCCCAGTGACTCAACCTCTCTGAGCCTGTTTCCATTCCCTTAGAAGGATGAATACCTGTGACCTCTATCCTGAAGGGCCATGGCAAACACAAACCTCTACTTCAGCCTACCCTGTTCTCCGGGTGTGGCCAATCTGGGCCTCTCAGGCCCTCCCTCCCCTTCCTTAGAGTGCTTTTCCTCAGGGGCACCCCTCATCCTGCTCTACTTGCCTGGTCCCCATCAACATCTCTCCCTCAGGATGCCTTCCTAGACAAGGCAAGGCCTCCACTCTATTATTTCACCCCACACAACCAGTGGTCCTTTTTGGGGACACTGTGGACACTTGCCATCAGCTCATCATTATCTGTCCAGTGTCTGCCCCCTCCCCGAGGGTAGAGCTGCTGTGAAGTGCAACCCTGAGTTGGTGTGTGCATGTTAGAAGGCCACCTGTTCCTGGCTTCCACGAGGCTGTTCTTGGGGACTGGTATAGGTGGTTCTCAGGGCTTATGCAACCTGGGGTCACACATTAACTATGGCAGAGGCTAGGGATGGCTGATTTTGTCCCCAGGACACATCCTGACAGGAGAAAGGAAAGGAATGCCCATTTCTTGAGCATCTACTAAGTTCTGAGCACTGTGCGGTGCCCAGTTCACTGTCACTTCCAGGGATTACAGGAACTGGTAGAGCTCCCTGGTGCCAGGTGGCTCTCCAAGCCCTCTCTGAGGTGTGGTGCAGGCTGCTGAGTTAGACCCCAGGCTGGCTGCCCCAGGCTGGCTGCCCCAGGCTGGCACACAGTGTCTCAGCTGGGCAGAGGTGAGCATGCAACATACCAGCAACTTGGCGGAGGGCTTGACAAGTGTAGGGATGGCATAGAGACAGGCTGTGGGCACCAACCCCGTCTTGCCCGTCCTATCGTTCTGGCCCATGGTCCAGTTCTCAGAGGCCAGCAGCCCCTGATTCTTGGTCAGGATCAACAAGTCTCCTTTCTTGAAGGGCAGGAGAGTAACATCATCTGCAAGTCCACGTCACACATGTGGGGATAAAAAATGCCACATTTGCTAAGGGCGGTGCAGGGGTCCAGGGCTGTGCTGGCCTTTTAAGGATTTTCTGCTTTTACAGATGAGGAAACTGAGGCTCAGAGTTGTGGACTAATGGCTACTCTGTGGTGCTGGAATTGGATCTTCAGTGACAATACCTCCTGTGGTGATTGTGAGGACTAATGGCATGACAGGGTGACACAGTCTGGGCTGATTCTTCTCCCTGCCAGAAGAGCCCTCACAGCCCCTTCCTCTGTACTGGTGAGCCCCTCTGAAGCCCTGCCCACACCTCTACATTCATCATCCATGATGCCTGCCAACTGGTCTGTTGGACTGAGGTCCTGGGCCCAGCCACGCACCCCATCAGCCACAGGCTACAGCTCAGTTCTTGCTGGAATGCTGGCTTTTTGGGAAGCTGAGAACAAGGCTGAGCTTGTGTGATCCTGGGTGAGCCACTTTCTGCCCTAAGCCAGGTGCCCTATGTATAAAATGGGAAACTGAGGTGGCTTTGGGGATGGTGGTCAACCCCCTCCAGGTGGGGATCAGCCTTGCCCATCATTATGTAAGCAAAAGTGGCCTTGGAGAGGTTGAGACCACTGCAAATAGGGGCCAAGAGAAGGGAAGACCTTGCTCAAAGCCAACCTTCTCCTTCACCCTCTGTTCAAGTCCTGGAGCCCTGCTCTGTGCCACATGGCTACCCTCCCTGGGCCCTCCCATGCAGTGAGCGAGCACCTGTGGCCTTCCTGTCCTGAAGTGCCATGGCAAACACGGACCTCTCCTTCAGCCCTCCCAGAAATAGGGCCACCAGCTCAGCAATGGACACACAGCTGGGGGTCATGAACTCGTACTCTTCATACAGTGTGGATAGCAGCAGTCTCTGCCCACCTGGGGCCTCCCTGAGGGGACAAAGGGTGCAACATGATCAGAAACCTCCTCAGTCCTCCCTCATTTTAGCCTCCAATGACCTCAGAGAAAAAGAACAGCCCCTCCAGGGCCACTGGCAGAGTAGGGTTGAGCTCAGTTTTGGTCCAAGTCCCACACACCTCTGCAGGAGGTGGGCGAGTGTCCTCAGAAGCAGTGGGTGACACGTGGGTTTGCTGTGGGCAGGGAACAAGACAGTTGGGGGTCTCGGATACCACAGAGAGGTTGAGAGCTGAGAAAAGGCACTGGCTCCACTACAGGCTCTCTGGGATGCTGTGTGCTTCAGGTTACTCTCTGCAGTTTGGGTAATACCTTGGGGGCTTCATGTCATGCAGGGAAGTGCCCTGCACAGTCAGTCTCAGTCATGCCACACTGCAGTGTACTTTAAACCTTGGGCCACTCTGGCAGAACAAAGGAAGAGCTACCCAAAGAGTTCAGAAGAGTGTCCAGTAGATAAGAGCTATGGAGAGCCACTGGGATGGGGTTTCAGAGGCCCAGCTCCCTGGATGGCCACACCTCACACTGCCCTAGTCCCTGCCTTTCCCTCTCCTCTCCAAGACCACACACAGCATCTGCATGGCCAGTTCTTGCCCAAGAAGGCAAGGAGATTGCTAAGTGCTAGAGAGGCTGGCAGGCTGCCACGCCTTTCCAGGTGGGTCAGGGTTTCAGAGCAGCTGATGGGGCAGTGCTGAGGCACAGATGGGGTACTTAACAGGCAGTGAGGGTTGGCACAGAGTGGGGGTTTCCACGTCCAGTGGCTGCTGCACATGTTGATCCTTGTCCCTCTACCCCAGCCCAGCTACCAGTGACAACATACCTGTTGGTCATCAGGCCCATGATCTCTGGGAAGGACAGTTCCAGCAGCGTCCTCTCCCGCTGGTCCAGGAAGTACAGTCCCTTCCAGTTTACAGCCAAGATTAGCTGTGTCTTGGGGAGTCGGGGGCCTGGCCAGAGGAGACCACAGAGTGAAGGCTGGGCTGGTCCAGGGTGCCTGACCAACCTCTGCCCCACCCCATCAGATGTTGTTACCAGAGAGTGTGGTGACTTCAAAGAGCCGGGAAAAGAGCAGAGGCCACTGCAGGCGTGCGTTGTCCACCACCTGCTCCTGCACAGCCAGTGGTGCAGCTCGCGTCTGAGTGTATGGGGCCTGCAGAGGGACCCAGGTGTCACCTCCACCACCCAGCTTCCATAGGTAATCCCTTGCCCCGTGCTCAAGGTGATTACTCAGCCTCTACTTAACATGTGCCAGAGTCTGGCAAGACATGCTCCTGGGATGGACTGGGGACAGGCCCAGCCCTATTGGACCCTGGGGGAGAACCAGTTAGAAGGTGTTCTGAGAAGGGCAGAAGGCCTTTGCCTCGTTAGCATCAGGATGCAGAGGCTGAGGGTCCACAGAAGGCTCCGCATGTCTGGGGCCTTGTGTCTGCATGTCCCAGCTTCTGTTTTTTGATGGTTTGGATCTTAAATGTCCCCCAAAGGCCATGTGTTGAGGCTTGGCTGCCAGCCTGTGGTGTTATTGGGGGTGGGGGTGAAACCCTTGATAGGTGAGGTCTAGAAAATTAAGTCATTGGGACTGTGCCTTGGAAGTAGATATTGGGAACTAACCTCTTCCTCTCTTTGCTTCCTGGCTGCCATGAGGTGAGCAGCTTTGCTCCAATACATGCTTCCTGCCATGATATTCTGCCTCACCACAGGCCCAAAAAACAATGGATCCACGTGGCCATGGACTAAGACCTCTGAAATTCTGAGCCAAAAGAAAACTTTCCTCCTTTTAAGTTGATTATCTCAGGCATTTTGTCACAGCAAATGAAAGCTGACTAACACAGGCTTGCTCTTACAAGGCTCTTGCATGCCTGCAGGTCTGCGTCTTGCATGAATGAGGATCATCTTGCTGTGTGTCCCTGGGTCCCGGATACCCCTCTGTCTTTCTTCTCTGGAGTTCTTCTGCATACCTGGGAGCCTTTTTCAGGGACCTTTGTCTCCACCATCCCCTCTAGTTCCTTCCTCCCTCTGGCTTGTCTCTTTCCCTTCTTTACCTTCTTCTGTCTTTGTTGCACTGTGTCTGTAACTGAGCTTTCTTTTCTCTGTTTGTTGGAACAAATGTCATTTCTCTTGTTCCCACTTTAAAAAGAGGCTGGATGATAGTCACATGTGGCTTTGGAGATGCAAATGAGTACATCATGTGTGAAGGGTGATTTGGCTACATGCAACATGTATCAAACATTTAGGATGTCCACACCCTCTGACACAGGAGTTCCCATGTGCTTGGTGAGGGGATACCGAGAGACTGGGGGATGAGAAGGGGAGACCCTGAGGACAGGTCTGGCACAGTGACAACAGCATGGTCAGCAGTCAGCAGCTGTGATGGCCTCTGTTGTTGAGAGGCCTGAGCCAGGCAGATTCTGTAGTATACACTAGTTTAAGACCAAGCAGCCAACTTGGAAGGAGGAAGGCAGGTGGCTGGAGCCTGTGATAAGAGATGAACTGAAGATGTCTGTTTAAAAATTAAGAGTCAGGGAGAGGGCTGAGTGCATGGCTCAATTGGAGAAGTGCCTGCCTAGCAAGCTTGAGGCCCTGAATTCAAACCCCAGTACTGCAAAACAAACAAACAAACACACACACCCCCAAAACCAGTAAGGGCTATATCTGTCAGGTTTAAGCTTCCTGTTTTCCAGCATTGGGGGCTTGAAGGGGAGGGAATCCACCCCCTTTCCACACCCAGAGCCCCCACCATCCTGAAGCAGAGCCCAGGCTGCTACAGACCAACCTTGGCATGGGCAGTGATGACGAGGTTAGCCCACTTCTCTGGGGACTTGGTCTTGTACAGTTTGGAGGGGATGCAGCTGGGAAGCAGCTCCTGGATATCCTTGCTCCCTACTGAGGTGCCAAGCTGTATGTAGCAGTGCTGAGCCAGCAGTTCCACCAGCTCTTCCTCCTGCACGACCAGGGCACAGTGCAGCCGTGAGGGGAGGTGAGTGAGAGCCCACCCTACCCCATGATGCCCTCATCCTGTTGCCCACTTCTGCCCTAGGGTATGGCGTGACCAGCAGCTCAGGCAGGACCAGGAAGCAGAAGCAGCCATTCTGTTTTACATATCCACTAGACAGAACCTGTCCTTCCCCAGCAAACTGCCATGTGCCCAGGCTGGGTCTCGCTGCTCCTGTTGACAGCAGAGAGTTCCAGGCAACTTTGGCTTCCTCAGGCTTCCTCTCCCTGAGGATGGGGGCCTCCTCTCTGAGTCCCAGGAAGAGCCCCGCCATTGCTGCATTGAGTGGGGTGTAGGCAGATAAGGCCTTCATCTTGCCTTAGCACAGTCTTCCCTTGCCAAGAGAGCCCAGTGGCTGCCCTGCAGGGTCCTGCAAGGACTCAGTTCTGCAGGATCCTGTACAAGGCACCTGTGGCCCAGCATGGCAAGGATCCCAGCCACCCATTCTCTCTGGGAAATTAAAGCATCACACAGCCCTGTGGCCCATGCTGCTTGTGGCCCAGGCCCACAAGCCTCTTGACTTGGTTCAGGGATGTTTGCATGGTTGCTTCCACAACTTCAGTTGCACTGTTACCCTCCTCTACCCTCAGTTATTACAATCACCCTGTAAAGAACTACTGGCACCCTGTGCATTCTGGATGCAGGCTTAAGGCTTGGGGAGGTGACAGGATTTCCCAAGGTCATGTTGCCAGGGAGATGTAGAATGAGACTTGAACTCAGGCAACTGGGCTCCAAGGTCCAGGTCCTGCTGCTCCACAAGCAGTTGCTATGGGAGGCCTGGAGCAGGTCGGGGGGTCTCCCTGCCTGCCACTGCTGGCAATAAAGGCCCAGATGCCAGCGCAGGCTGTGACCCAAGGGAAGAAGAAATGGAGGCCTGGCCTGGAAGAGACAGCTGTGCCCAGTGGAGGAGGCCTTGGACTTGCTAGATGTGACCACCTTCCCTTCTCTGCCCTCCTCCTCCTCCCTGCCATAGTCCACACTGCCTCTGGTATTGGCTGGTTCATCCCCTGATGGCCACAGCCCAAGGTGACCCTGGAATGTGGATCTTTCTTAGACCCCCTTACCTTCTCGAACCTGTACTCGCCAGACCAGACTCCATGGAGGACTTGGTGGTAAATCAGCTCAGTGCTCACAGGGTCCTCCCGGGAATCATGCCAGGGTGTGAAGAATTCCTTCCGGAAGTAGACACGCCAGGGTGACTGGCGCTGGCTCTCACCCCTCTCCTGGGCCAGCTGTTCACACTGGGCCACAGCATCCATCAGGTGGTCTCGGCCACTGCCCAGGGACCAGAACTAAGGCCAGAATTGGAGATAGCAAAAGTGAGCCCTGTGCTGTGTTCCCCAGGGGATACCCACCCTCAGCTCCAGTATGTGCAGAACAGGGACTGGGACTTTGGAGACCAGTGTGGGCTGAGTGGACACTGCTGAGTCTACTGGGATACCTGAAGGGCTCTCTCCCTACCCGTCATTCCTCCCAAACATGCCTCCCTCCCTGCTTCTCCTCCCCAAGGAGGTAGAGCTTGACACTGATGGTGTGAGTTGGCCATGCACCTCAGCTGCTGATTGGTTTGAGTGTACTTGAGTCTGAGGATGAGGGCCCCTGGTGGGTGGTAGCAGGGTTCAGGTATGCCAGTATCTGTCTGCTGTAGCAGTGTGAGGGAGACTGGAGCTGGATGCTAGCATGAGCTCCCAGGGATGGCAGGAAGTGACAAGGAGTGCCTGGGTCCTGTCTGTGGCCCAGGCACAGCTGTTGGGCTTAGTATGTGAGCACACAGACAGGGAACAGGCTGCCTGATGTGAGGCATTTCTGGTGTGTGTGTGTTTATGCACATGCATGCATGCGTGTGTGCATATCTGCGTGCATGTGTCTGGCAGCTGGGCAGGCAGGTGGTGGCCAGGCTGACTAGATATGAAGGCTCCAGTTTCAAGATGCTCTGTCCCAGGTGTGTGAAGAAGGCAGGTAATGGATGGGACACCTGTTCATTACCTTATCATACACAGCAACCTGGAGGGAGAAGCCCAGTTGGTCACGGAGGCCCTGCTTTTGGGCAATGTGCGCGCAGATTTCCCATGATGTAGAGGCTGAGTCGACAGTGATGGTCAGGCTCTCTCCAGTCACCAAGATGACTTGGATGGGGATGTGCTTCTTGGACTTAACAGCCTGGGGACAGATGAAGACTCAGAGCCCTCCAGCTTAGAGGACCCTGGGCTCAGGTGCCCTGGAGCCCAGAACTCTTGGATGGGAGGCTGCCCCTACCTTCTCTCTCAACTTCCCCTGCCTGCCCATCCTCATGGGATCCTGACGGTGGGGCCTTCAGAAGCCCCATGGTTGTCTGTGGCTCAGTACAGAGTTACTAAGTTCAGGCCCACAGTCAGCCATGGTGAGATCAGTGCTCCTGGTGCACGCCTGGCGATGTTCATCTCAGCAACCCCCTGGCTGCAGCCTGTGGGCTGTAATAGTCCCACTTTCAGATGTGGATCCTGACATTGCTGAGGTTTTGTGACTCAGGCTCACACAATAGTTCTGGGTCCTGAGGTTCCTTGTGTGACACTGAATATTCAGTTGTCACAAGTTCACCTGCAGTTCCAGGGCTCATGTAAGGGAGTTCCCATGGACTTGGGAAGTTGGGTGAGAACAAGAAGTATTCTGGGTGGCCAGAGGTGACCCACAGCTCCCAGTATAGGGAGCCACAGGGCCATGGGGTGAGCACCCTTTAAACTTGGGGTCAGAGCTGAGGGTTGAGCCAGGGCTAGGTGTGTGCCCTCCACCCTTGCTGTTCAGAATGATCTTTTCTAAAGACATTGTGAGAATATATTGATGTCACAGGTACAAAACAGGTGGAGGTGGCACTTGCTCCCAACAGCAGTGCCACCAAAGAGGACAACTTGGGCCTGACCACTACCTTCTTGACAAATGCAAATTGGGAGGTGTAACACTGGGAGTAATTACTCATCCACACTGTAATGCTAATGAGCACTCTACTTTCCCCTTCAGCTAGGAGGGTGCAGAGGAATGTGCATTTAGAGGTAGGAAGAGGAGCTCTAAAACCTGGGGGCCTCACAGGGACAACTGGCACAGAGGCGATTTGGAGGAGGTGGAGGAACACCCAGGACAAATTCATCCCCAGCTGTGCTTCAAGAGCCACGGGGACCACACCACCCACTTTCTCCTCGTCTCCCATCTCTGCTAGCCCTTACCTGCAGCTCCAACCAGGTGGGGGGCTCTGCACGCACCCCATTGGCATAGGTCCGCCGCAGGCGTTCTGCACAGAAGGGCCCATAGCTGACTGGTCCTTGATCAATGAAGTTCAGCAGATACTGGTGGGTGAGGAGGGGAGGGGAAGACACTCAGAATGGAGGCCAATCTCTACTTTTTGCCCTGACTGATTTTAATAATTGTCAACCTCAAGTCTGTAAAGGTGTGTTCAGACAGGCCCTTTCCGTTCACCATGAGAAGGAATATAAATTGGTACATATCGGAGGAGCAGTTTGGTGATACATTTTGAGTGCCTTGTCTTAAAGTATGCATGCTATCTGACCCACTAATTTGAACCTATCCTAAAGGCAAACATGCATTTTTGGACTGGTGTCTATGGTGACGACTACAGGACGATGGACCCTAAATGTCTATCAACAAGTTCAATACCTTCTGGAATATCTGGGCATGGAAGCTGGTGTTTGGGAAGTTCATTCCAGGAGATAATACAGTGGAGACAAGGACGTGAAAAATCCAGGAGTGTCCAGAGGCACCTGCACACCCATGTTTATTGCGGCACTATTCACAATAGCCAAGTTATGGAAACAGCCAAGATGCCCCAGCACTGACGAATGGATTAAGAAAATGTGGTATCTATACACAATGGAATTCTATGCAGCCATGAAGAAGAACGAAATGTTATCATTCGCTGGTAAATGGATGGAATTGGAGAACATCATTCTGAGTGAGGTTAGCCTGGCTCAAAAAACCAAAAATTGTATGTTCTCCCTCATATGTGGACATTAGATCAAGGGCAAACACAACAAGGGGACTGGACTATGAGCACATGATAAAAGCGAGAGCACACAAGGGAGGGGTGAGGATAGGTAAGACACCTAAAAAACTAGCTAGCATTTGTTGCCCTTAATGCAGAGAAACTAAAGCAGATACCTTAAAGCAATTGAGGCCAATAGGAAAAGGGGAACAGGTACTAGAGAAAAGGTTAGATCAAAAAGAATTAACCTAGAAGGTAACACCCACGCACAGGAAATCAATGTGAGTCAATGCCCTGTATAGCTATCCTTATCTCAACCAGCAAAACCCCTTGTTCCTTCCTATTATTGCTTATACTCTCTCTACAACAAAATTAGAGATAAGGGCAAAATAGTTTCTGCTGGGTATTGGGGGGGGGAACGGGAGGGGGCGGAGTGGGTGGTAAGGGAGGGGGTGGGGGCAGGGGGGAGAAATGAACCAAGCCTTGTATTCACATATGAATAATAAAAGAAAAATGAAGAAAAAAAAAATCCAGGAGTGTCAATGTCCAATATACGTTTGACAAGATGTGTGGAAAATGTTTTTATCTCACAGGGGAAAGGTTTACTGGTATTGGGAGTGGCCCAATGCCCAGGACAGATGGCCAGGGTGACCTTGTTCCCGTGTGCTTGAGTTTTCTGTATGACCACAAGTATGACACCATAACACCACAAGAGGATGGAAGAAAATATTAATGAAAGTTACCTCTGTGCATGGTCATGACTTTTATTTTTGTTTTAGATTTCTAGGTTCCCACCTTATTTTTATCACAACCTAAAGTATATTAAGGCAGCTAAACCTGGGGCCTCTAACACTTGGAAGTGCCTGTTATCCTTCCTTCATTTTTAGTTCTAAGGAGCAGAAAGAGGCCTGGCAGCCAGTCTCCTGGGATACCTGCCTTTTCAGGGCCCATTTTATCTGCCATCTCATTTTAGTCTTGAAGAGCCATCTGGGGCCTGAGACCAAGGGCAATGGCCCTACAGATTCTGGATAGGGATTGGAAGGAGACAGGTGTAAGCATCCTCTTTTACAGATGGGGAAACTGAAGTGTAGAGAGGCACAGGCATTCCTGGATATCAGCCCATAGGTGTAGCAAGATCCAGCCATGAACTGAGATTTCTGGACCTGCTCCAGAGCCCAGCCACCTCCTCCCCTTCTTCTTGCCCTGCCCCAATCCCAGCTCTCCCCACCTTCATGAACCTCTCCGAGGGTGGGAAGCAACCCAGACAGAGGCTGAGCAGGATCCAGCCCCGGGCCACACTGCTCATTTTGTAGTTCTCCGAGAGCTGCTTGCAGATCTGGCAGTAAATCTCATCCCTGAAAGACACAGACCACTGGGAGGGAAGGCTGGGAGCTGGCTCTGGGGGAGGAAAGAAATGGGGAGCCTGGGCACTCTTTATGCACCCTTGGGTGGGGATCCCCCTCCAGTGCTCAGGCCCCCTCCTCATGGCCAACAGCTGTGCCTGCCTGATGACCTGCCAGGGCTCTATGGCCCACACCCTCTAGCCCTGACTTCTTAGCTCATGGAGGTCCTACCCTCGAGCCTCCCTCCCAGGTATCTCACCCCTCAGGTCTTTGCTCCCTCCCTCACCCTTCTGCCCTCACACTCTTGCCCCTATGCTATTGCTTGGCCTTTTCTCCATGGTTCTGTTCCTTTATCTAAACTCACTTATTTGAAATGATACTGCTTTCTCTGTCTGGGGCCCTGAATATTCCCTGAATATGCCAGCCCTTCCAGTGAAGAGAGAAAAGTGGGGACTTCATGGACCACCCTTCAACCTCACCTCCAGAAATGTCCCATTCCAACAGGCTTCTGAGTCCCTTCTCTCTCTTCTCTTTTTGAGGGGCTTGCTTGGGTCCTTTCCCAAGAACTCGAACCTCTATTATCTTATAAAGGATCCCATTAATCCCTTAAGCAAAACATATTCAGAAGCCAGCCTCTTCCTCCTAACACTCAGTGGTAAATGTTTATCAACTAACTCTGTTGAGGGAAAAGCCCACATTCATTGCACTTGCCGATTTTATTATTTGGCAGTACTGAGGATTTGAACTCAGGGCCTCATGCTTGCTAAACTGGCACTCTACTACTGAGCCACTCCACCAGCTTCTTTTAAGAGATAGGGTCTTGTGAACTATTTGCTGGGGCTGGCTTCAAACCATTTTTCTCCTGATCTCTGCCTTCTGAGTAGCTAGGATTACAGGCTTGAGCCACTGGTGCCTAGCCCCAATTTCTGTAGTGTAGATGTTCCCACCAAGGCCAGCTTCAAGCCGGCAACATGCTATTTCTGAATACAGAGTTGGGAAGAGATGTGTGCAACTGGCTCAGGAAAACTGGTGTCACCTCCAGCACACTCCTCCTTCCACAGTCTCCAGGTATCACCATCAACCATTCACCCCAACTGAAAACCTGGGAGTCATCCTAGGCTACTTTCCTCCCTCCATTCTCCAAATCCAATCAGCGGCCATGTTCTGCCCTCTGTCTCCTGGGTGTGTTTTTCCTCTCCACCTCTGTTACTTGAGCCATTCCTCATCAGCTCTCTGGACCTCTGCTGCAGCCCCTCCTGCCTTCCATGTCATTGCTAGAGAAAGGAGCTTCTGGAAGTCACATGTGGTCATGGTCCTTTCCTGCTTAATCTTTTCCTCCATTGCTCTTAGGATTGAATCCAGACACCATGCTCCAGTCGTGAAAAACTGCTTAGAACTCCAGACCATTTGAGCTATTTCAGGGCTCTGTGACCTTCTGCCTGGTGAACACCCCTCCTTTTTTCCACCTTGCTTGGTCCTGGCAGGCATTAAGACTGCTCCTTCTTGGTGGCCTGCTGGACCCGAATAGAGCCCCATCTGACCATCTACTCTTGTAGTGGGTTTCCTGATCCTCTCATGCTTCCTGCCATGTTCTGGATAAGTATCCCTCAAAGCTTATGTGTTAAAGGCTTGGTCATCAGTCTGCAGTGCTATTTAAGAGGTGGATGGAACCTTTAGGAGGCAGAAAATGGGAGAAAGTTAGGTCATTGGAGGCTGGCCAATTGAAGAGAATATTGGGACTCTGGTCCCTTTCTGCCTCTCTCTTTACGTCCCAGCAGCTGTGAGGTATACAACTTTCTCTGGCACATGCTTTCACCACAGACCCAAAGGCATCAGTGCCAAGTGATATGGACTGAAACTATGATCCAAATAAACCCTTCTTCCTTATAATTTGACTATCTTAGGTATACTGTCATAGTAATGGAAAGCTGACTAACTCACTTCTCAACTAAAGGGTGAGTTCCTTGAGGACAGAGAGCATATTTTGTTTATCTTAGCATCTCCAGTCCTTAGCCAGGGCTTCACACTGAGCAGGTACTTACTTAGTGTGTGTCAAACATGTGACAGCTGGGTGCAGGTGGTTCATGCCTATAATCCTAGCTATTGGGAGACTGAGATTGGGAGGATTGTGATTTGAGGCCAGCATGGGCAAATAGTTTGCAAGGCCCCCATCTCCAAAATAACCAGAGCAAAATGGGCTGGAGTTATGGCTCAAGTGGTAGAGCACCTGCTTTGCAAGTGTGCATCTCTGAGTTCAAACTCAGGGAATGGAGCATTTACTTTGCTCCAGAATGTGGTTAAGACTCTAGAGCCAAGGATAGATGGATAGTAATATCTAACATGTGAAAGAAAAATATTTTTGTAAGATTTATTAAACAATGGCACAGCCAGTCCAGCCATTATGCCACCTCTATCTTACACAAGGAAAAGTGACGCTTGGAAGTCACTTCATGTGTGTAGAGAGATCTGAGCTCATTTTTTTCTATATACATGTGATGAGGGAATGAGGGGGACCCCAAGAGAACTGCCAGTAGAAATAGAGGCTGACTACCAGAGATGAAGCCCATCTCATTCTCCATCTGAGACATGCTGAGCCCCACAATCCTTTCATACTGAGTGCTCAAATGGAGCATGGTGACAGAAGTGTTGCCACATCTTGTCCTGCTTCCTGTGGAGTTGAGAACTTCCATGAAAAAGAGACTAAAGGTGACTTCTTTCTGGACAATTTTGAGCCCATCTTGATGGGCAAGGTGGAGAGGGATGAGTCAAGGGTTGGAGACCACACCTGTGTTGTGCAGTGAGGCACGTGAATTTTCTGTTGACGATGGGGGTGCCATGGAAGGAGGTATCATGATGAGATCCCACACAAGGAGGACCCTGCAGCCCATTACTTCAGAGGACCCCAGCAGCAAAAGGCTGTGCAATGTTCCCCTGGGAACTGAAGTCATCAGGAACTCTTAAGACATAAGAGAGGCGTCAGCACTCACTGGGTGCCAGCACTATATGGGATTGCCTGGAGGAGGTATCTGAAGACCCATGGTGCACCTCATTTGGACGTAGATTTCATATTTCTGCTACATTGGAGAGAATGGTTGCTGGTAAGGATTATCATGGGACCAACTAAATTAGAAGACTTGTTGGTAAGTCTTATTGACTTAAAGAACCAGAGAACAGAGGTTGGAGTACCTAGAGAAAGAGAGTCTTAAATTTTGCATATAAAATCTTCTTAGATCTTTGGATGGTCCTTATCTATGCATGAGATAAGGTAGACTCTAGGCAAACTAGCTAAGGCTAAAATAACTAAATGGGGGTCATTAAATGCCTCTGTTCAGGATTGGGGAGAGAGAGTTTGAATTCAGCCAAATTAACTGCTTTCCAAAACAAAGAAGCCCAACATCCTTTGAAAGAAAACAACAGAATTCAGAGTCTCTAATTAAATCATCCTCAATGTCCAGGATACAATCCAAAATTACCAGACTTATGGGGAAACAGGAGACTACGACCATCCTTCAGAGACCTGCAGTCAATGGAGACTGACTCCACTATGATTCAGATGTTAAATTTGCAGAACAGGTTTAAAAATTACTATGACTATGCTCAAGTACATGAAGGAAACTACACTCACAGCAAACGAACAGACAGGAAATCTTGGCAGAGGAGTAGAAATATTAAAAAAAAAAACCAAGAAAACTATAATAATATAATGTAACTAAAATGAATACATCTGAAATAAAAAAAATCTTATTGAATGGGTATCACAGCAGATTAGAGAAGACAAAGATAGTTTCTGTGAATTTGAAGACAGATCAACAGAAACTATTCAATCTAAAGAACAGAGAGAAAAGATGAACAGACTCTCTGGGACCTGAAGGCAAATAGCAAAATGTTTCATATGGCAGAATTAGAGTTTGGAGGGGCTGTGAGCAAAGGGAGAGGGAGAGGAAGAAAGAGAGAATGAGAGGTGATGGAGGGACGAAGGGAGGGTATTTGAAAAAATAACGGACAACATTTCCCCAAATTTGGTTAAAATAATAAAATACGCAAACCCGTAAAACACAGAAGTGTGTCTCTTAAAATAGCAAACATTTAAAAATTTATATGAAACTTAATTCCTGTAAATCAAGTTGCATATATATGTACATAACCAAGGAATCAAGAACTTGCTTATTTACAGGACCCTGCACTAAAATCTGTCCTGAAATGAGTCCCCAGCCATAATGAAATTGTTTTCCTAAAAACTCCTGAGTTGTGTTAATGCAGAGCAAGTACTGAACTTGGTGGCAATAGCCATCTGCCGTACTGAGACATAGCCTGCAGTCCCCAGGCCAGGGAGCGAAGAGAGGAAGGTGTCTTGACAGCAGGTGAGACAGCTGTGGCCATGGGCTGAGAGCTAAAGGGGTACCCAGTGTTCTGAACAGGGGAGTGGGAGTGAGGACTGACCTGAGGCCAGGCCGCAGGATGGCATAGCCCACGATGAAGTGCACCTTCTCCAAGTTGGACATAGGTCGGTCTGAGATGGGGCCATCAGGGTCAAATGTCTCCTCTCCAATGGTCAGTTGCTTGGCCACCTTGAAGTCAAAGATGGCTGTCAGGACAGCTGTAATTCTCCCCATTTGCCAAAGAGGAAACTGACACGGGGATGGAAGCGATCACCTGGAACCCTGCAGTAGGCTGGCACAGAGCTGGGAGCAGACTGTATGCCCTGGCTTTGGGGCTCACCTGACCAGTGATCCTGGAGGACCTCTTCAGCTTCATGGAGGAGATATCCTTGGTCCCTCTGCCCTTGAGGCTCTGTCTCTGTGGAAGGAGACGGTTACCAGGAGAATGAAAGCCTGATCAGTCCCTCAATGCTTCTGACACTACATCCATTTAGAGTGGAGCCAGAGCCCTTGTCACTCAGCCATGTCTTGGTCCAGTTTACAAAGCCAGGGGGAGGGTTTTGTACCAGCCACGCAGATATGTTGGTCTTCTTAGGTAGAGGCTGCATCTTGTCATAATGGTGTCATCATGAACATTTGCTGCTGAAATCAGAGCTCAAGTGTGGGACTGGGCTTCAGTTGGAATCAGCCCAGGGCCAGGGCCGAGCACTACCTCTGGCTCTGGTAAAGCTGGTTTTTGGTATGCAGACTAAGTGTGAAACACTAGCTGGCAAGTTCTGGGATGGAGGGCTAGACTTGCACAGCCCACTGCTGTGAGTGGGCCACAGGCAGGTACTTAACAGAATCTCAGGAAGGAAAACCTGAGATCTGACTTCTAGGAGCCAGTCCTCTGTCACTGTGTCCACCTTGCAGGGATGCAGCATGGCTAGACTGCCTTCCAGAGTCCCTTTCTTGGGCATTGCCAGCCTCCAAGGTGACATCCAGTGATCCAGGCCTTCTGACATTCCTGACCTATGTTTTTCTTACCCTAAAAGACATGTGACTTTCAAGACTTGACATTGGATCTTCCTTCTTGGATTACGAACACTGGGGGAAGCCATGTTGTGCGGATGCTCAAGTAGAGGAGAGGCCCACGTGGCAAGGAAATGAGGCCTTCCTCCAACAGCCATGTAAATGTGCCACTTTGGGAGTGGATCCAAGTCAAGCCTTCAGATGACTCCAGCCCTAGATGAAGGCTTGACAGCAATTTTGTGAGAGACCCTGTATCATTACTAACAATCCAAGCCACTCCTGACCCTCAGAGAAATGAATGTGTGCTCTCTTAAGATGCTATATCAGAGTGGAGGGTAACTTGTTACACAGCAATAGATAACTGATGTACGATAACTGATGTACTCGGCGCTTATGCCTTCAGAAATCAGAGAGATAGGGCCTGGGTCCAGAACTGCGTTGACAGTGCAGTCAGGGCTGCAGACTCCCTTAGACTGATCTGTAGTGAGTCTGCACACAGGACTTCATAGGTATCTGAACTGAGTTACCTGATGCTTGGGGCACTCCTGGGCTCTTGTGGCAGGTGGGCCCAAGTGCTGTCACTGTCGTGTAATTCCTTTGGACTGTTCTTGACTAGTCCTACTAAGATTACCACATGAAACTATGGCTTAGGAAGGACCTATGGCCAAAAATGAATGTGAGTTGATCTTTCCTTAGAAAGATTAGAGGGCAGAGTAGAACATAGATCAAGAACTTGGTTTTTGCACCTAAAAAACTAGCTAGCATTTGTTGCCCTTAACGCAGAGAAACTAAAGCAGATACCTTAAAAGCAACTGAGGCCAATAGGAAAAGGGGACCAGGAACTAGAGAAAAGGTTAGATCAAAAAGAATGAACCTAGAAGGCAACACCCACGCACAGGAAATCAATGAGAGTCAATGCCCTGTATAGCTATCCTTATCTCAACCAGCAAAAACCCTTGTTCCTTCCTATTATTGCTTATACTCTCTCTACAACAAAATTAGAAATAAAGGCAAAATAGTTTCTGCTGGGTATTGAGGGGGGGAAGGGAGGGGGCGGAGTGGGTGGTAAGGGAGGGGGTGGGGGCAGGGGGGAGAAATGACCCAAGCCTTGTATACACATATGAATAATAAAAGAAAAAAATAAATTAATTAAAAAAAAAAAGAACTCGGTCTTTGAATTCAGAAGAATAGGTTCAAAGCCAGCTCTAACTGGGATTTGCGGGGAAGTCATTTCACTTCTGTTTCATTAGCTTTAGATAAACATAATAATCCCTACCTTAACGGGATGTCTCAGCTGGGCACTAAACAAAGAGGGGCAACCAGCACACAGCAGGTTGTTAGTCAATATCAGTATCTGTTGTTATTGTTGTATGTATTCGAATTCGGTTCAAGTCAAACCCAATATTGAGAGTCCAGAGAATCCTGTCAGTGTCCAGGGTGCCATCCTTGATTCATAAATTCTCAAGTGTGATTCAAATTGAAAACACCCAGGTGTCCTGGCTTGTGGGTTTAGTGGGTGAAGCTGCAGAGAGGGCTCCAGGTCTGTATCTCCATCCCTCCCAGCTTCCTGAGGCCCAGGCCCTGGTGCACACCTGCCTGTTGCCCTGACCACATACCTGTGCAGATCTACCATGCTCTGGAGCCCTGGTGCTGCTCTCCTTGCCCAGTCTGTCATGGATCTGCCGCATCACCGAGCTGCCACTCAGGCTGTTCCTGGCATATAGCATGGGCTCCGGAAGGTCACCCATGAACCTCAGGATGATGTTCCACACGGCCAGGGCGGCCTGGGGAATGAGACAGAGGTCCTGGCTAGAACCCAGAGCCAAATACTAGGGACCACAGTTACCCAGGCCTCTGCCTTGTTCCCTTGTAACCACAGCTCAGACTCTAGACTCTGGCTGAGGGGTGGTCTGAGACACTAGAAACCAGAGAACAAATGGGTACCTCATAGTCGATGTCATTCTCATGGTAGAGCAGCGGATAGCGGAGGGGCTGCCGGATATGTGTGTGGCTGGCTGATTTCTGGAAGTAAGTCACAGCAAACTTCGGGAAGGTGTACTGGGAGAGGCCATCCATGTCCTCCATCGTTTCCTCCATCATGGGAACTGTGTCCAGGTCAATCTCAGGCAGTTTCTGGGTCTTTGCTTCCAGATCCTGAAGGGGCCAGTGAGGAAGGACATGGGTCTTGTGAATAAGAGTCAAGCTGTCAGCCAGTTGCCAGGGGACTGAGTAGTGCCAGGGCAAAGAGCCTGAGAAGGGCCCAGCTGCAGAGGCATCTGTCTGCTCCCTGGTGTCAGAGACCTCTCCCACTTTCCACACTTGGTGGGCTACCATACCCTCCCCTGCTCTCTACACTGTCCCCAGCCCTTCTCCTCAGTCCTTCTACTATCCTCTCCGCCTCTCAACACAGCTACACACCAGCAGCCCTGAGACTCCAAAGACACCTGGGAGGTGCTGCCTGCCTGAAGGCCCTACTGCTACCACTCTCACAGAAAAGACTCTTGGTCGCAGGGGAAAACACGTGAGGCCTGGCTCCAAAGGGTTTGGCTGTGAGAACCAGTCATGCTTTGTGCATGACTGCCCAGGCTGTAGAACACACTTGGCCACTTACTCTGGCAGCTTCTCCAGGAGTCAAGAGGTTGACTGAGGTCCAGGTCCGGATAGGGCCTCCCATTCCCACCTGGCTGTCTTACCTCAAAGCGTGTCGGAGCTGGGCCCTCCTGGCCCCCAATCAAGGATGGGAGGAAGCCGAACACTCTCTCCACCATCTCCGTGTCATTGACAGTGTCGTAGATGGACTTGCGCTTCTTGTCAGGGAAAGCACTTTGTCTCTTCTGTTCTTCAGCTGTGATGACCAGAGGTCCCTGCATATAACCCACAGGGAGAAGATGATCCACAGATCTCTGCCTACCCTCATAAGCAAGCACTTCCCAGAAGCCAAGTCAACCTTGTCCTGCTGTCATTTGTCCAAATCAACCTATTTTGCTCTAAAATAATACATTTTAACAGCTAGGATGAGAAGAGATCAGCCAGCTAGAGCTTTCCTTTCCTGATGATAATCAAGCCAGCTAGCTTGAGGCATCACCACAAACTTCCAAGATCCAGACCCCAGCTGCAAACCCACTACTCAGGCCAACTTGGTCCCTTCATTTACAAGGCACCAAGGGCAGATCCGTAGGCCCTGGACTAACTAATGCACAAGTCAGAGCTCTTTGCAGCCAGGCTGGACTCACCTGGGTACAAATCATGCTGCTGACTTGTTTCAGGGTCTATTCTCTCACTTGTCCTGCTCATTGTACTGGTAGTTTGTGTGGTAGACACGATTTTCATCCATGGAGCAGGCGTACATGTCATCCCACCCCCTTTGCCTCGTCATGATTCCCAGAGGAGCCAAGTTCAACCTGAGGTTGAGTCTTAGGTACCTCATGGAGGCAATAGGCTCCTGCAAGGCTGAGATTTCAAAATGCAGGGGTATGCATCTTGTCCTTCTGCTGCTCCCTGTCCTCTCAGCTTCCCTGACACTCCATGGCTGTCCTTGCTGCTTCTCTTTCCCTTGTGTTGTCATGCCTTTACAACCTTGCTTCACTCTCCTCCATGGAACACTGGCCTCCCACAGCTCATCTGGCTCAGATTTCCTGCCTCTCCAGGAGACTGAGCACCCCTGCTGGGAAATCATCCCAAGGCTAAGAGGAGGGGACCAAGGAATTCCAGGTATAAGGCTGTCTTGCTAATCTGTTGCCTGTCCCACACTATCCCTGTGAGCGCCTGAGTGGTGGCTGTCTCTCCAAATGATGGCATGAGCCCTGCAGTATAGATTATGGACAGAAAAGGAAAGGGGTCTCTTGTCTGTCTACATTGTAGCCCAGAAGGGGGTCTCCTAATTTGTTGTCTTGCTGTGTTCTTGAGTCATTGGAACACATTTAAACATCTTGGCTCAAGACTTCCCTAAAAGGGTTCTAGTGAGAGCTTTTCTTTTCTGCTCATTCTTCCCATTTGCCCTTTCCCACTTGCCCCTAGTCATCCCCACCTGCTTGACAGGCTGGTGACCACCTACATTGGCTTTCCGCTGCTGGAAGTTCCGCCGGGCAGCCATGCCCCTGGCATGTGCCTGGATGACTACCACTGCTTTCTTCTTGGCCTGGACTTGCTGGCGCACCAGGTAGCCCCTGCAGCGGGCCTGCAGCTGCACCATCCTCTGCCGCATGACCTGGAACTGCCTTGTTAGCAGGTGACCCCGGGCAATGGCCTGTAGGCGCTCGAAGCCCACTAGGACCTGCAGACAGGAGAGGGCACAGTGGCATTCCCCAGGAGACCTGGAAAGTTAGCTTTGCCGTCACCTGCTTCTCAGTATGTAGATGGTGCTACAATTATATACCATTAAGCATGAGCCTATTAAGTGAGTTATTACTTGCAACTTACTTAGAACAGTGCCTGCCATGTAAACAAGTGCTAAGGAAGCATTTATTAAATAGCATAAATAATAAAGTGGCCTCCTGGGGGGCATGGATGGAGAGAATTGGCATAGATTTCACATGGGTGATTGAACTCCAGAATCTTGCCTTTCATACCTGCCAGCCAAGTCTAGTCACCTAGTTGAACAGAGGCTCCTGTGGGGAGGCCTGTGGCTGGCTCCTTCAAGCTAACCCTTCAGTGCATCTTTAAAATAGGAGAGTAAGAAATGGATGAATGTTCACTCTATGCTGGGCCACAGCAGTCCCTGAGCCCCTGTGTTGAGCCTGCTGGCATCTCAAAGACCAATGCCACGGGTCGATTAAGAATTTGGAAGTCACACGGACTCACAAACGCCTGCTGTACCACTTGCTATCTGTATGCTCTTAGGAGTCTACTGAACCCCTCTGGGCCTCAGTTCCTTGACTTATAGGGTGGTTTAGTATTTAATGAAATGATGCATGCAAACCAACAGGCTCCAAGTAGCCCTTCCATACTCAGCAGCTACCTCCATGGTCTTTGTAAGCAAGGAATGCAGACAGACCTGGGGCCACTTCTGGTGATGTGATGATTTTATATCACAACCACAGTCACAGACAAAGACAAGCAGTCAAGCGAGGCCCAACAGGTCACAGCCATGGTTGTTCTGCTCCACAGTTGAGCAGATACTCATTAGCTAGTGCCTGTCATTAGGAGAAAAATCAGGAAGAGGTGCTTGAAACAGAATAATCAATCCATTTACTTATTTTGTTGCCTGCAAGTTGAGAAAAATTAGTCATTATCTCATTTCAGAGCAGGACACCACAGCTGAGCTTTAGGAATGCCCAAAATTCTGCAGGAGAATGTTCTGAAACCCACAAACCATGGGGCGGGGCCTAAGACTATGCTAAGAAGAGAGTGGTGGTGGGGGTCTTGCTGATGTCTGATCATCTAAAATCTATATTCCATATCTATTAGGGTGGGACCCTTCTGCCTGAGATCTCGCGTTCAGAGAAATAAACCTTAATATTTTTCTTCTATTGACAGTTGTCTGCTGCTTCTGAAGGGCCACCTTCCTACCCTCTTTCTTACCAGCTTGAAATTCTTTCTGTTGCAGTGGCCTCGCCACCCAGCCTGAAGGGTAACAGCCGCCCGCCTCTGCCTCAGGAACTCCTTCCTAGAGGGGAAACACAAGCCAGAGGCATGTTATAACCTGACACTGTAAAGCCTTTGAGGGGTGGGGGACTGATTCAGGGGGGAAGGAGATGACAAAATGTTGGGAAAGATGAATCCATACAAGACTTTCTCAGAAGGCTTTAGAGACAGTCCAGTTTTTAAATATTCAAGAAATCCCTCCTCATCTCTCCTCACTCTACCAAGATCTGTGAAAGGATAAAACCTATTTCTGGCTTTTTAAATTTTGCTAGACCCTCCTCCTTTGGCCACTAGCCCAGGGCTGAACCCAAAAGAGAATCTGCAAGTTGGTCTCTAGACAGGTAGGGACAACTCCAGGTGAGGTTGACCCATGTAGATTTCTTCCCACTTCCAATACTTTTCTAGAGGACTTTCTTAGGTTTGGAGTAGTTCATTTCAGCCATATAAAAACCACCTGAATACCTTCAATACTTAGTGATGCCTGGGTCCCAGCCATTCCAATTAAATTAGAACTTCTGCTATTTGTCTAGAGTACACACACACACACACACACACACACACTCACAGAGTCAGTCCTCTGACTGTATACACAAGAATCTAGATTCAACCACTCACAGATTGAAAATATTCAAGCCAAGTGCCGGTGGCTTGCACATATAATCCTAGCTACCCAGGAGGTAGAGATCAGGAGGATAGAGATTCGAAGCCAGCCTGGGCAAATAGCACATGAGACCCTATCTTGAAAAAACCCATCACAAAAAAAGGTCTGGTAGAATGGCTCAAGGTTTAGGCCCTGAGTTCAAGTCCCAGTACTGCAAGAAAAAAATTGCATTTGTACTGTACCTGTACAGACTTGTCATTATTCCTTAAACAATACAGTATAACAGCTATTTACATTGTAGTAGGTATTATAAGTAATAAGGAGCCAGACATGGTGGCATAAATCTGTAATCTCAGCACTCAGGAGATTGAAGCAGGAGCATCATGAGTTTGAGGACAGCCTGGGCTACACAGAGAGTCTGAGGTTAGCCTAGGCTACAATATTCAGTTCCTGTGTCAAAAACAGAAGACAAACTGGGAATGGTGGTACACACCTGTAAGCCCAGCTACCTGGGAAGAAGAGATTGAGAAGATAAAGGTCTGAGGCTGGCCCTGGGCAAAAATGTGAGAACCTATCTGAAAAATAACCACAGCATGAAAAGGGTTGGGGTTGTGGCTCAAAGTGCTCTATGCCTGCATAGAAAGTGCAAAGCCTTGACTTCAGTTCCTAGTACCACCCAAAACAAAGCAAAACAAAACCACAAAGGCCAAAACCCAACCAAAAATAAGTAATCTAGAGATGATCTAAATTATATGAGAGAATGTACATAGATTATATTCCAATGTTATACCACTTTTTTTTTAATGTTTTTGAAACAGGGTCTCACTACACAGCCCAGGTTGGCCTTGAACTTGAGATCTTCCTGCCTCTGCCTCCTGAGAGTCAGAATTACAGGGGTGTATCCCTGCCCAATGTCGTTCTACAGCATGTAGAGGAACTATGTGAGAAAATTATATTACAAATGGGAGAGGGTAAATGACATAAAAGGAATTGAGTTTCTGTATTTCACTCAAAGTGGCAAAATGATCATTTTACTTTTTATAACAGATTTGTGTATATTAGATATTAGTACGTAATAAAGTAGACAATTATCTGCATACCTTTTTTCTTTCTTTTTCTGATATTTCTAGGCTAATCCAATTTATCTGTGAGTTTTCTCAAATCATCACAAATCTCCAAAACTCCAAATCTGCAGGTAAGTGGACCTATGCCGTTTAAACCTGTGTGGCCAAGGGTCAGCTAAGCTGGTTATGACATCACCAGGCGATACTAACCTGAGGACTACCGTGTCACGCAACGCACAGCCATAGTACAGTACTTTCTTACTGACCGGACAACTGTGCCAAGGGACTTTTTCTCTCTAACACCAAATTACCTCATAACCCATGTCCACATGCTATTTCAGATGAGTGGAGGGGAACATCAACATGTAATTGGGCTCATAGCTCATGTTTCTGGAGTGTTTTTGTTTTTCCAGACATTCTAATAATTCTTTGGCCAATACTAGCTACAATGTCCTTGGTCAGTAGGTCTTGAGCTTGTTTATCTCCCAGGCTGCCCCAGAGGACATGGTGGGCAGGTGTGGGAGCTTGGAGTGGGGTTGTACCTGTATCTGTAACCTCGCAGGACTCGCTGGATGCTGACTGCTGCTTTGTTCAGGGCCTGGCCCCTCTGAATCTCCAGCAGAGTGTCCTGATGATCCTGGGGCGGGGGTGATACCATTATATGGCTGTCCCACTCTCACCTCCAACACCCCTGCTAGGGCTCAGGCTCTAGAGGTGAGCGCCCCTCAGGCTTTTCCCACAAGGGCAAGCATTTGACCTGATGTGGCTCAGAGAGAGCTGCAACTACACACCCCATCCCAATCCCAAACTTCCCATTTCAGTTTTTTCTTCTTGCTAAGTCAATCTGGCAACCTTCACTTATACTCTGGGGAGTCCAAGTGTGGGGCACAAAATTTCCCTGAGGTTGCATTTTATCTCCCAAAACGCACGGGGCATTTGCATTCAACTATACAACGAACCCATGCTTGGTTCAATATCAAAATGCTTCCCATAACCTGTGAGAGGATTCATAGGATAAGAGGATGGGTTGTTGTCATCCTTGGGCATGACCCCAGCCTTTGATCCCTTTCCCTTCCCCCACCTGATCTCTACCCTGAGATGAGAGGCACAGTCCTGCCATCTTGAGCCTGGGAAGGCAGAGACTGTCCTTGTAGGGCACAGAGCAGCACAACCCAGTGGCAGGTGGGGAGGAGAGGCTGAGGGCTTGATGGCATTTCCCCACTACCCTAAGTCCAACCATGAGGAAGCCTCTTTGTGTGCCCTAGCAAGCACTGGCATACAGCTGGTCTGGACCCTGGCTGTGGCTTTCAGGAGCAGCAGGGAAGGAAGGAATGCAGGGGTGGGCTCTCCTCGCTTGACCATCTTCCCACACTGACCTTACTGCTATGCCCATATAGCAGTCCCCACCTGTCCCACTTTCCTGGGACGCTCCCTTTGTTGGTGTCACCTCTCAACCAGATCAGAAGTCCCTCTGCTTCTCCCTTCCTAACCGGGTCACTGTGCCCCAGCATGGGTCTGACTAAGGCACAGGCAGAGGAAAAATAAACAGACCAGAGGGCTGGGGCCAGAATGAGGCCCTGTGGGGGAGGAAGAGGGAGCAGCAAAAACTGGGTGGGTGATGGAAGGTGTCCTCCTGGATCTGATCTCTCTGCCCTCTCCTCACTAAACTCACCCTCCCATGGCTTAGGAGGCTATGAGCTGATGATGCTGGCTCCTTGTGGTCTCACCTTAAGGAAAATTTTGTTTTTTCCCATTTTCCAGTCTTTGTCTGTCCCCAGGCACACATCAGTGATGTGCAAGGTCATCTGGCGGAACTTGTCTCGAAACTACATGGGAAAAATAGGGGTGGCTGGGTGCCAGTTGGAGCAGGGACTCTGGGGATGTTGGGGGGCTCCTCCAGGGTTTCCCAGTCCCTCTCCCACCTCCAGGTGTCACATCAGTTGGGCACAGGCACAGCCAGCATCTCAGATCAAGGAGTGGGCACAGGGCTCAGGACTCCCAGGCACTTGACCTGAGACCAGCCCAAACTTTAGGATGGCTGAAGGTTTCAGGAAGAATGGGAAGACCTCCTGCCCCACAGAGCTCCCTAGCCACACCTCCACTCCCCAGTTCTGCTGATAGGAGAGCAGAACTGTTCTTAGTAAGCTCCTAGACAGCGTCATCCAGACCCAGGGAAAGCCACTCACCTTTCTTTACAGCACTGGGAAATTTAAGAGAGAGTGGGAGGACAAAAGGAAGGCTAGACAGAGGTCATATCAAGTATGGGCAGTTCAGGGAGGGTCCTGAGCATCAGGAGGGCAGTAGGAGGATCCCCAGGGACGGGAGAGCTGGGTGGGGGAGCCCACCTGCATGCGCTCGGTGCTGGACAGCAGCACTCGGAACCTTTGGGAGAACTCGTCAAACGTGTAGCGGATGGGGAAGCCCGACTTGCGGATGTGCACAGTCTCCATCATGCCGGAGTAACGCAGCTGCTGGATGCACAGCTGGCGGTCGAAGAGCTGCGGGTGTAGCCAGCCCTGGTGAGTGAAGGCCATACCTCCCCACCACTCCTCCATCGCAGCCCACAGGAGGGGTCAGACACCCAGGAGGGGCTGCTCCCCCACCCACGAGAACTAAACAAATGCTTGACTGAATTAAAATGACATTTTGAAGAGGGTGGAAGTGGCTGTAAAGTGTTTCCCAGGAGACAGAAGTCGATGGTAGAAACTGCCACCAGCAACATCACCGTACTTCCATCGCTCAAGAAAAGCCAACGGTTTGGAATAGGAAAGACACGTGGACATCTCTAAAGAGGTTTTTATGCCCCTTGCTAATGTCCTGTTGGGCACTTTCCTGTCGTGCCTCCCACACCATAGTGGAAGGAAGAAATACAGCTCACACACTTAGAGGCAGAAGTTCCTCGTGTTGACAAATTCTCTCCCTTCCCCGAGATGGGCTAGGAGAGCTGGTGGTAGCAGTGACTGTAGGGAACTGAGCTGTCCCCTGCTTGGAGGCTGGCATGGCTTCCAGAAGGAATTTGGGAATGATGGTTCACCTGGTGCACCAGGCTTCCACGCTGGCCACAAGACTACCCTGGTTTGGCCTCTGGAGAGCTCTCCTTGACCTGGGGCACTAGAGGAGACACCTTCTAAGGGGACAATCCCCCTAAAGGACACTGTCCCCCTCCTGTATCAATGAAAGCATCAGAGACAACTACTCCAGGGATCTCAGCCACCATGATTAGCTCTGGGTAAGTAGTCAACTGCTATGAATTGAATATTTCCTATACCTGGTGTTTCTCACTTAATCTTAGTCTGGGCTTCTCCTCCACACTGCACAGCAAGGCAGCAGCCACTACTGACAAATGTTCTGACCAGAGACACCCACAGAACCTGAATCTCAGCTTAGGTTGCTTTACCTGTCCTGTAGTCACCTCAGTGAGCAGTGTGGGTGCTGAGAGGTGTCTGGGAGCACTGTGACTTCTCCCAGCAGTTAAGGAGCAAGAGAAGGTGTCTAACATGTGCCTGTTGTTACTGTAAGGAAGATAATGCTCAGCTTCGTGAGGCAACTCCAACTTATACGATTGCATGCTTTTCAAATTGCACGTCATTTCATGTACTCTTTATTCTTATTCCCTTGTAAGTCAGGGGTTTTTTTGTTGTTGTTATTTTTATGTCCTTTCAAATGGCATCTCCTAATTTGGGGAGTCTCTGTGTTGCAGCCTCTGATGAGGATTCTGCAGATCAGGGATTCCCAGGTTCCTGTCCCCTCCCCACAAACATGTGCAGAAAGGCACTGCAGGTCGCAGCCATCAGGAATGGCACTAGACTGAAGTTCTAGGCCTTTAGTAGCTGTGGCCATTTCGTGAGTATGCATGGGAGATGTGCTGCAATGTCAAGTCCCACCCTCCTGCAGCCACCTCACTGCAGGAGTCACCCTGACTTCTGCAAGTCAGACTCAGAGAAGCCAAGAACCTGGCTGAACACACAGTGCAGACAATGGCAGGGCTAAGGGAACTAGTGAGGTCTGGGTGCTCCGAAGCCCTGCAGGTCACTGACCTGAAACTGACCTACACTGATCTCCTTACCTTAGGGTGCTCATCTGTAAAGTGGGGGCAGATAACAGCTCTGGCAAAAGGAGCAACCAAGACCCTAGATGCCTTAGACAGTGCCTTTCTCCCCATATGCATCCTTGGCCTCCCCTGGTTTACCAGTGGCTTCTTGTACTCGTTGGGTTTGATGCAGCGGATGAAGTAGGGCTGACAGTTGGTCAGAATTTTCATCAGCTGCTCCAGGGACTGCTTGAACTGGCCTGCCAAGGTGGAGGGCCGCTTGGTGGAGTCTGTGTACTGGTGGGGAAACACAGGTATGAAGAGGACTCAGGAGCTGCAGCCTGAGCCACAGCTGACCTGTGGGGTATGAGGGCTGCTGTGGAAGCATTGCACTCACTCACTCTCTCACTCATTAACTCACTCACTCATTCATTGACTTACTCATCACTCACACACTCACTCATTCACCCACTTATCACTCAATCACTCATTCACTCACTCACTCACTCATCACTTACTCATTTACTCACTCATTCATTCACGCACTTATCCATTCATTCACTTATCCCTCACTCATTCACTCACTCAGAATGCACTCACTCATTCACTCTCTCATGTAACCATTCACTCACTCATCACTCACTCACTCATTCACTCACTCATCCACTCACTCATCCATCGCTCACTCGCTCATTCACTCTCATCTAACCATTCACTCACTCACTCACCGCTCAAGTCACTTATTCACTCACTTACAAATTCACTCATTCACTCACTCATCACTCACTCACTCACTCATCACTCACTCACTCATTCACTCACTCATCCATCGCTCACTCGCTCATTCACTCTCATCTAACCATTCACTCACTCACTCACCGCTCAAGTCACTTATTCACTCACTTACAAATTCACTCATTCACTCACTCATCACTCACTCACTCACTCATCACTCACTCACTCATCACTCATTCACTCACTCACTCATCTAACCATTCACTCACTCACTCACTCACTCATTCTCCCTTGGCACAGGACTCTCAGGGTTCTGTGGTGTGCTGGGGAGTAAATGGTTATCCTGGGAACATGGTTCTGGCCCTGTGGCCATCCCTGGTGGAGAGAGGCCCAGAGGGCCAGCGGGGGGTGCACTGGGAGCATACCTTGAAGAGCTGGCTCTCATCCTTTGCCCGGCGGATAGTACCATGGCCCAGCTTGGTGTCTGCTGACTCCACATTGAATATTTCCCTCAGGAATTTGTTTTTGGAAGACCGAACCAGGGTGAGGATATCTGTGTTAAGCATGTCTCGGTTCTTTTCCAGGAAGCCTATGGGAACAGTGGAAACCACAGGTCAGCTCAGCCACCACCCCCCACTCCACAGGGAGGATGAGATGCCCAGAGGGAACCCTGTAACAACCTCCTGAAGCCATGCTGCCTTTCCCTGCACCCAGGCACCCCCATCTCTACCCATCCCCACGTTGTTTCTGCCCTCTGAACTCTCAACCTCCCAGGTCCCCATGCCTCTCTGACCTTGTCACATAAGCTGACACAATTCCTCTGCCTTTGGGGCCTTGGGAGGTTCTGTCAGGGCTGGGGCCCCTTGTAACCTGAAGACTGAGCCTCCAGAAACGGGGAGCAGACGTTATGGACTGAATGGTGCTATCCCCAACTCAATAATTGAAATATTAGAATGTGTATGGCTCTCCTGTGTTTGGAGAGAAGGTCTTGAAAGAGGTGATTAAGGTAAAAAGGTCATGAGGGTGGGCCCTGATCCAGGATGAATGGTGTCATTATAAGAAGAAACCAACCCTGTGACACCTTGATCTCAGACTTCCAGCCTCCAGAACTGTGAGGCAATAATTTCTGTGGTATTTGTTACTGCCGCCCTAGCTAAGACAGGCATGGGCCAGGGATTAAAAGACTCACCTTTCCCCTCCAGCTATGAGTAAGACTGGCCTAGCTCTGAAATAGGGATAGAAACACGCAGAGAGGATGCTGAAGATGAGTTGCTTCTCACAGCCTGGCCAGAGGAAGCCAGGACCATGCTCCCTGGACAATGAGGGCTGACCCTCAACAGCACAACCCTGATCTTCCTCTCCCATTCTGCCCCCTCTAGGTTGCCCTGCCTTTGAGTGACATGCTCTGTCTGTACCTGTACAGCCTGGCATAGGACTGGGAAGGCAAGACAGGATAGGAGAAAGAAGGGGGCCTGTTGGCCCATCTCTGCCTACAGGTGTCTGTGAGGGGGCAGCATCCAGGGAGGGGCCTGTGCCAGGTACAGAGTGGATGGCACAAGGATCCTTGCAGAGTGGGGAGTGACAGGAGTGGTATGCACTGAAAAGCTGATGGGCAACTCCAGGCTACCTGTGAGGAGACAGCACGGAGCTCCTGCCCCACTGTGTGCTGGGACACTGCCCTCTGAAGACTGGGGATGAGGGGCTGCTACTCCACGACACCCACACCTCCTGGAGCTCAGGCAGAGCCTCCCTCTCCTGGGGTAAGGAGCTCCCTGAGCGTTTTTAGAGGGAGGGCAGGATTGAGGCACCCCTGAGCTTAATAGCCCCCCAGACAGAGTAGGTAGAGCTGAGGTTGTGGGCCTGGCAGGGAACCCCAAATAAAAAACAGACAGCTTTGCCTTAATGATTGTTTCTAGAATCTTGTAACCAGAAAATCTAGAATAAAGTTATCTGAATCTTAGCATACATGTGTAAGTTTCACGTCACTTCAAAAACATAAAACTCAGGCTGGCAGAGTGGCTCAAGTGATAGAATGCCTGCCTAGCAAGGATGGGCCCCTGAGTTCAAACCCAACGCCACCAAAACAACCCCCAAAAAATCAAAACCATAGAACTCAGCCTTGAGTTGCCCATGGAGGATGGGGGATGTGCTCAATGTCTTGTTTGGGTTCAGGGACCCTCCCTTTCTGAAGGACCCAAAGTCTGATCTGGAATCATGAAGGAGCCATTTCTCCTTCCCATTTCTCCAACAGAAACACCCACCTGCCAGCACCTCACTTCTTCTATATAAACAAGCAGTCCCTCCTGCCACTTTCTCCAGTGGAAAAGTTCACAAGCATCACCCCTGGATTTGTGTCTCCAGTTCAACAGGCCAGAGTGTGTCCTCCATTCTCCACACAGCTGCAGAGTGACGCTCGGCTGCCCTGCTTTCCTGACCACAGCTATATACTGGCCACCTTTCTCATTTTTCTAAGCACACCCGGCCTTTGCTTCTCCACTCAAAACCATGCTGACCCTACCTCAACACATGGCAAAAGTAATTCAAAATGGATCAGAGACCAAAAGTAAAAGCTAGACCTGAAAACCTCTTGTAAAAATGTGCAGGAACGAATCTTCATGATGCTGGATTTGAGAAGCAACAAAAGGAAAATGGATAAGTTGAACTTTATTTATTATTTATTTGCAGTACTGGGGTTTGAACTCAGGGCCTCACTCTTGCTAGGCAGGTGCTCTATCACTTGAGCCACTCCACCAGCCCTCCTGATGGCTGAATGTCACTTCATGTTCCTGTTGACCATTTGTATATCTTCTTGGGAAAAATGTCTATTCAAATCCATTTCCATGTTTTAATTGGGCTTGTCTTTTTTGCTATTGAGTTATAACAGTGCTTTATACATTCTGGACACAAGTACTTTATCAGATGTATTATTTGTGAACATTTTTTCATTCTGGGGATTGTCTTCTCGCTTTCTCAATGGTTTCCTCTGAAGCACAAAAGTTTTCCATTTTAAAGAAGGTCAATTTATCTAGCCGGGTGCCAGTGGCTCACACCTGTAATCCCAGATACTCAGGGGGCAGACATCAGGAGGATCACAGTGTGAAGCCAGCCGCAGGCAAATAGTTCACAAGAATCTATCTTGAAAAAACCCTTCACAAAAAAGAGCTGGCAGAGTGGCACAAGTGGTATAGCTCCTGCCTAGCAAGCATGAAGCCCTGAATTCAAATCCCAGTGCTGCCAAAAACCCAATATTGAGATATCACTTCAAAGCTACTAACTAGGACAGCTAAAAAAAAAAAAAAAGGCAAATAATAACATGTATTGGTAAGAGTGTAGACAAGCTGGAGCTCAGGTGAGAATGCAAAATAGTGCAGCCACTTTGGAAAAGAGTTTGGTGGGTCCTCAAAATATAAAACATAGAGTTACCATGTAGCAGGGAGGAGGATCAGAAGAAAACAGACTAGGCCTGTGTTCTGATAATGAGGCAGGGGGAAGGGATAGCATAGCAGAGAGATAAAACCTAAAGAATCCAAAGGTGAAGAGCGTCACATAGCAGTAGGGGTAGAGGGACACTAGCACTAGGCTGAAGTAGCCAATAGAATTGCATGGAACCATATATGGGTTAAACCTTGCTTTTTAATTTCATTGCTTCTGTAACCTGCTTACAAGGGTATATAAGGTGAGAACCCTTTGTTCTCAGGGCTCAGCCTTTGGACACGAGTCAGCTGGCTCTGTGCTGGCACAATAAATGTTGCTTCCTGCTAAACTGCCTCAGTGTCCCGTATCTCAGCTTGCAAATTCCCAAACCAGCCACATGACCTAGCGATTTCTTTGTGAGGTATATCCCCAGGAGAAGTGAAAACATATCTCCACACAAAAGCTTGTAAATGGCTGTGCATAGCTGCTTTATGAAGAATAGACACAAAGAAGAAACAACTGAAATGTCCTTCAGTTGGTGAAGAGATAAGCAAAATGCAATAGAATATTACCCTGCACTAAAAGGAAATGAAGAACTGATACAATCTGCCACATAGCTGAACCTTGAAAACATGACAAGTAAAAGAAACCAGCCACAAAGAACCACATCTGGTATGGTTCTGTTTAGATTAAATGTCCAGAACAGGCAAATCCATAGAGATGGAAATTAGTTCTTACCCATGGTTTGGAGGGTAATGGGGCAGATTCTTTCTGAGGTGATGAAAATATTCTAAAATTGTGGCAATTATCACTCAATTCTGTGAATATATTAAAAACCACTGAGCAGCTGAGTGTGGTGGTACACACCTGTAATCCCAGCACTTTGAAGACTGAGGCAAGAGGATTGTGAGTACCAGCTTGTGGTACATAGCAAGTCAAACAAACAAGCTCCAAAGCCCCCAAGCCCCACTTGAAGTGGATGAATACGGTATGTGAATTCTATCTCCAATATGAGCCACTATCAAAAGGAAAACAACCACTGCCTGGTCTATTCCCTTTCCTTTCTGTAGCAGAAGCCATGTTACTCATCCTGCCATCCCATTACTAGATCTCAAAAAACCCTGTACTCATGGCCTCCTTTCTGCAGTCTCCCTGGAATCTACTCCAGATCTGGACAGAGTAGTAACGGAACTGTACCCACCTTCTACCTGGTAGTACACCTTGCCTGCAAAGTGGGCAATGCCAAATCTGGTATCGTGGATGTTCTTGGGTTTCAGGAAAGCCTTGTTGTTGCCGTGAATGCTGTTCAATTTTTGCAGCATGGTGATGTCTGTCCCCTGCAAGACAAGACATTCTATATGGGCTGAGGCCCCAGAGTCTTGCCACAGGGCTCACAGGGGCGAAGCAAGCTGGGTTCTCTGCAGATGGGAAATTAACCTGCATGTGTCAGTGACTTGTAGTAAGTGAGGGCCTACCCGGGAACAGGGGCTGGGTCAGCTACTCCCACTGCCAGCTCTCCTGCTCCACCCTCTGGACAGTTGTCCAGGTACCCAGCAGACAGGGAAGCCTTCCTACGGGAAGGAGAGGAGGGTCTGGTTAGGTCCAACTTCATTTGCTTATTCCTGGCAGAGTCTCCAGCAATCCTGGTAGCAAGTATGCCACCAAATGGGGTTTGCTACCTTACAGAGGAGCCTCATAAGCAGGGCTTCGCCTGGAGGCCCGGACACACCTGTGGGAAGCGGCTTTCTTCATCCAGGAGGGAGATGATGCTCATCGGCCGGAGGGCCAGCAGGTCCAGGGTGGGCCGGTTGTCGCTGTAGTGGATATAGTCCCAGGCGATGTTCTCCGAGCGGTACTCCTCCTGCTCCATGGTGAACACGTGCCGCACAAAGAACTGCTGCAGGTGCTCATTGGCAAAGTTGATGCAGAGCTGCTCAAAGCTGTGGAAGCAACGCCACCACCCAGGAGGGGTGGAGCAGGGTCAGTGTGGTCCTGTTGCAGCTGGCAGGAACCCTGGGACACTGACCATCTGCACCTAGCCACATCTGCATATGCCCACTGATACACCTCCCTGTGCACACAGAGCTCTTGTGTGCACGCAGGTGCACCTTCCCTGCTCATGTCTCTTCTCTTCTCTGCCTCCATTACTGTCGCTGCCCCAACCCCACGGCAAACAGACTGACAGAAATGAGAAGGCCCAGTGTAGCATCAAGTCCTAGCCTTTGGTTTCTTACCCCCTACTGGGTCTTTTGACAAGCCTGCCTATCCTAACACTGAGGCTATTTCTATGAGGCCAAGTGCACACAAAAGCCCCAGCCCCATGGGTAAGCTGCCTTGGTATTGAGATGAGCTCCCAGAGATCTAGGCCTTTTTTTTTGGTGTGTGTGTGGGGGGGTACTGGGGTTTGAACTCAGGGACTCACGTTTTCTAGGCCAGCGCTCTACCACTTGAGCCACTCCGCCAGCCCCCAGAGGCCTCGTGTTGTCTTCTGGGCCCTTCAGAATTGACCAGCCTCTTCCCCATTTCCACCAGTCCTCCAACCCATTGCTCCTCCCAGGCTCCCTACAAGAGAAATGGCCTCTCTACCCACTACGCCTGGTTCAGGTCAGAAACCAAGACTTATGTTTGACTCTGTTTTTCCTCATCAATTCCTACCCTGAACTTAACACCTTGAACTGTTTGCTTCTTTTTGTTCACATCCCTGCTGCCCTAATCCAGGCCAGGTGCACTGCTCACCTGGGGCACAGGAATAGCCTCCAAACAGCTCTCCCTGCCGCCAGCCTCACCCCTCGTCATTCTCTATCTGGCCACCAGAGGGAGCTTTATGACCCGTAAATCAGATCCAGCTTCCTAATGCTTTCAGGATCCAGATAGTGACCACAGGAGGAAGTCCTGACCACCTCTCCAGCCTCACTGGGGGCCATTGTCTGGCTGTTCTGGACTTCTCACGGTGCCCTGAATGCTCCTGGTTCTTTCCTACCACCCAGTCTTGCTGCCTTTTCCTCTCTCACCTCTTGACAGCTCGTTCTCTTTAGGTCTCTCTTAGACATCTCGTCCTCAGGATGTGTCACCCATTAGGCAAAAGCTTATTATACCTGAGACCGTTCATTCATCTTTTAACCCAAAAGATGAGGGAACAGACCCACTATGCCCCCCACACTCAGCATGCTGTGTGGTGTTCCATGGACATTTGCAGAAACTGTGACTGCCTCGTAGCACCTCCTTCCCAGGCTGCCCCATCATACACCCAGCTGGTAGCCACTGGTGGCCTTTGTTCAGGAAGGAGTCTCTGCATACACGGTTAGCTCCCTAGAACCAACCACTCATCTACTTCCAAAGAGCACACAATGTGCTTGCTTATTTGTCCTTCCTTGGGGCCAGAAACCAAAGGTCTGATTCACACTTGAGTTTCGTGTGCCATAGAGCTCCCGTGGCAAGATTAGATCTGCCAGCCCTGTTCCCTTTTATGTGACTGCAGTGAGCAGGCCTCTGTCCCCAAACTCAGTTAACCTTGGGGAGGGGGAAGCCTCTGCTTGTTCTTGGAGTGGCTTGCGTCTGCCAATTCTGGATCCCAAGGCAACTTCTAAATCCCTCTCATGTCTGACATCACTTGGAGATAGGGCCTTGGATAAGGGCATGCCAAGGTCAGGCCAGCACTTTGGCTCTTTAGACAGGGCTCAGAGACCTCTGCTTTTTGGAACCAGTGGCCTGGGCTCTGTCTGCTAATTCTTTTACAAGAATCAGGCCCAGGTAAGCTGATTGCCTCTAAGATGCTTTCTGTCTCCTTGTGTCACAGGCATCTCTTCCCCATTTGACCATCTCTTGCCCATGACAATGCACTGGAACATCACCTGTCTGTTTATGGCTCCATTAACCACCATGTCCACTCCACCCACAGCCTTCATTAGTCTTCTCTCCTAGCAATGCTCTGATCTGCTTCCTGGTCTCAACTCTTCTGTGTCCAGTCATACTGAGAGTCAGGGGCAGAGGCGTCCTATCTTAACTTACTCCCTTCTACACTCAAAAGTCAGGGTTTGGTCCACATTAGTCCACAAACACTTCTCAGTTGAATCAATGTCATTGATTTTCATTGTCACTCTGACTGCATGTGATAAGTCACCCTGGTTCAAGAGCAGTGTCAGGGACTAGCGTCTCATCCTGGCTCTTGGAGATGGATTTTATCTATGGGGCCTTCTCTGGATGTGATGAGGTGATGGGAATGTACACGGGTCATTTCTGCAGAAGACTTGGGCCTTTTCAGAGATACTCTAGCATTGTGAGTGGCAGTGAGAGGTCCCTGCTCCTAGCCCAGCAGTGAGGGGTGGAATGAGATGGGAGATGGGGATGGGTATCATCTGGCTTGCTCTGTTAGAGTCCCTGCTCATCTTCCATTTTCTGAAAGCAGGTGGCCTAAGATCTTTATACCTATTATTCTGGAAATTCTCAAAGCCAAATATGTCCAGGAGACCGATGGCTCTCCGTACATTCTTTGGGTCTTGACTAGGGGGAGTGAAGATTGCAGTGTTGATCTTCTTGATGATCCACAGGAAGAGATGCCCATAGATGCCCTAGGGAGACATGGGGTGATACCTCTGGGCTTTGAGGCACAAGGGGAGACTGCCTCTTCTCCAAGTTTACCCAGAAAGGCGGCATGCAGACCAAATGTCACCGACATATTGAAGGATGTTACCCTGATTTAAAGACAAGAAACCCAGGCCAGACAAGATGAGAAGTCCATAGCCACTGGGTGGTTGACCAGAAGAGTTGGGACCTGCCCAGCAATCTCTGCTCTACCTTGACGAAGGCATCCCTCCGGTCTGCGGCCTGGGCGATGTTCAAGGGCCTGGTGACAAATTCCCCACGGATGAGGATGGTATGCTTGATCAGACAGTCCCGGAGTGCCTGGTGTTGCACCTGGGAAGGCAGGCAGGGCTCATTATGTCTGTGGAACAGAGACTGGCCCAGGACTCTCACCTGTTCCTGCCATGTCTTGTTCCCTCTTTTGACCAAACACCCCATATCCAGCACGTGAGGGTGGGTGGAGCCTGTGACCAGCGCTAGACCAATTGGAGCCACTATTAGGGACCCGGGAATGCTGGGCACAGAGCATGCAGGGAGGGTGTACCCATGTTTGGACCCTAGCATACTGATCACCTGAGACCTGGGAAAAGGGCAGGCCTCAGCAATGCCGTAACCAAAATCACCCTGCTGGAGACTGGAGGCCTGAAGGAACAAGGGGACTCTGGATGGACTGCCCTCTCCCACACCAAGCCTAAGCTGGCAAAACCCAACGTTTCTAGGTACCTGCTGTAGTTTGCAAGTGCCTCCAAAAGTTAACATATTGCAAACTTAATGGTATTTGGAGGTGAGACTTTGGGAGGTGACTGATTCATGAGGGCTCTGCCTTCATAAATGGATGGATCTATTCATAGAATTAAGGATTGCTGGATTAATGGATGATCTAGGAAGTGGCTCTGCTATAAAAGCGAGCTCTGGACAGGCACCCTGTAATCTTAACTATTCAGGAGGCAGAGATCAGGAGGATCGCGGTTTGAAGCCAGGCCAGGAAAATAGTTCTGTGAGACCCTATCTCAAAAAAACTCTTCACTAAAAAGGGCTAGTGGAGTGGCTCAAGATGTAGGTCCTGAGTTCAAACCCCAGTACTGCAAAAAGAAAAATTAAATTAAATTTACAAAAGCGAGCTCTGATGCCCTCCACCATATGTTATGGTCCAGCAAGGAAGCCTGACCAGATGCCATGCCCTTAGACTTCCCAGCCTCCAAAACTGTAAGCTAAGTCAATATCAGTTCTTTATAAATTATCCAGTTCCAGGTATTCTGTTATAGTGACAGAAAATGCACAAAGACAATGCTCTTAAATCTAGTGAACATTAACAGAAAAATGTGCCTGATATGTGACGGCATTTTTTTTTCCTTCTGACTCAATTAACTTCTCAGCAGAACTGTCAATGGGATGTGACATGAAAGGATGCTACAATGCCCTCAGTGCAAAGGTATGTCCCCACTCAGACCCCACTGCCCTCTTTCTGAGTTGAGGCTCCTTTGGGTCTCTGGAATGACATGAGGAGCTGATGGCACAAGCCATGGATGGACTCAGTGGCACATTCCACTTTCCCAGAACAGCACAACTCATGGGAGACAAGGACACAGGACAGGGACACTCTGATGTGGGTAGGGTTTATGTGCCTGAGTGGAGAATGAGGGTGCCGAGTGTAGGGCCGCTGTGGGGCAGGAGGGAACACGGAAAAGGGGCAGAAATACTTGTTAACTGGTCATTTCACTGCTTTGTTAATGACCAGCTTACACTCTTTCCCACCCCTGTGCCCCCTCTCAGGGGTCCATATGTGCAGAAGCGCACAGAGATTGAGCTCAGAGTCTGGGAGAGGGCAGGAGGCAGGGATGGGGACCTGGGCAGGGCTTCAAGACTCAGGTGCCAGGGGGTTGTCAGCCCACACTCCCAAGTCTTACAAAGACGGAAGGTAACAGACACAACAGCCCAGTACCTCCAGTAACTTCATCACAGTGGGAAAGGCGGGTGTCTCCATCACGTCGGAGGAATCCAAGTTCTCGAAGACTGCAGCTAGAGAGAGAAGCAGCAACCCTGAGTGGAAAAGTGTCTGAAGGGATGGGCAGAGGGTCTGGGAAGGCCTGGGCCCTTGGCAGCCCCATTTTCCTGCCTTAGCAAACACTGTCCTAGGTGAGCCCTGCATTTCCCTGGGCCCTCTCTTGGAGAGAGTGAATGTCCTCAGTGACCACAGCTATTGGCATCCTAGCTGTGAATGAATATAACAGATCATGGCCCCCTCTGCCTGGTGAGGTCAGGGTCCCAGGTCATAGAGAAGTTTGAAGAATTGCAGGCTTAATGGGGAGAGAGGACTGGGCTGGGATACCCAGCAGGCACTGGTGCTGATGGGCTGACTGGGGTCAAATTAGGGAAGAAGGTGAGCCACCATCCCTTCTTCAGGCCACTCTGCTGTCCACAAAAGCTGGGGCATTCATTTATCCATGAAGTCAAATGAAGCAAGCATTAATGGAGCACCATCTGTAAGCAACAGTCTTTGACCACCTCTCAACTTCTGTTTCCTTCTCTTTGAGCCAATGCCTACCTTAAGACTACTTGCTAGGATGGGTGTGGTTTATTTTTCTTTTGTAAACTTGAAAAAATTGTGAAATAAGACATACAGATTGAAAGTGCATCAAACACAAAGGATGTTGTAATTAATAAAATCGACACTGTGTGATAGTGAATAAAGCTATAGATGAGGCCAACACCAAAGCTAGGCACTTGTCCTTTTTTTCATGGAATCACTTCCTTGGTTTTTTGTCATGTTTTTATCGCCTATGCAGAGTTGCTACATAACATTTAGTTTTACTGGGTTGAAGTGCTACATTAGTGTCATCTCTCTGCCTGCATCCTCTGAGCCTGGTGCACCTCCATGTCCCAGGGGTCACTTCTGGTTAGTATGTGCCTTCCCTGACAGAAGTGCCTACTGTGGTTGATAGGTGACAGATCACTGAACTACCACCTGTCTTGAGGTGATCTTCTGATACCATGTGAGATAGTGGTCCAAGCTCATGTTCTCCGTGTGACACACACTGCTCCAGAACAGTTTCCTGTAAGTCTGTTTTTCCGTACTGCTCTGTGAGTTGATGTCTTCTACTGGTCCTAACACCAGCCATATCTCTTCAACTATTGCCTCTCTCTTCTCCACTAGGGTGCCAATGAAAGGTTTGCTATACCTTTTCCTAGCATCCTCTGGTTTCCAATCTTCTCTTTTATATTTTCCATCTTTTGCCCTCTGTGATGTACTCCCATGATTTCTTCTGAATTTTCCTCTAGCTTAAACATTTCCTCAACTGCTAAACCCATCCATTCAGTTTTTAAACTTTTTTTTTGCAGTACTGGGGCTTGAATTCAGAGCCTACACTTTGAGCCACTCCGCCAGACCTTTTTTGTGAAGGGTTTTTTTCGAAATAGCATCTCGTGGAACTATTTGCCTGGGCTGGCTTTGAACTGCAATCCTGATCTCTGCCTCCTGAGTAGCTAGGATTACAGGTGTGAGCCACCAGCGCTCAGCAGTTTTTATTATTTTTTTTAATGTTAGAATTTCCATGTAGTTCCTTTTAAAATGTTAGAATTTCCATTTCTCTGTCTAAATTTTCAAGCTTAGTTTTTTCTTTTCTTGAACAAGCAGAGTTGCTCTGTGTTCTGTGTTCAATATTTGAAATCTTCATGGATCTATTGCTATTGTTATTTCTGTTGGTTCCTGCTCATGGTACCTTGTTTCCTTGTTCCTATTTATTTCTGGATGCATGCTGGATGTTGTTATTAAAATATGTTTAGAAGGAATGGTTAGTAATCTAGGTTGCTAGCAGTTTCCTCTGGAGAATAATTTCTGTCAGGTGCTTGGTTAGACCAGATCACCTTGATCTTTGTGAACTGGTTTACAAGTTCATTCATGGATTTATTTATTCTGGTTAACCACGACCCCAAGAGAGTAGTCCTTTGAGTTCCCAGATAAAAGTGGAAGTTACTGATGAGTCTCTGTCCTTTGGAGGCCCCATGAGGCCTCCAAAATAAGAGCTACGTTTTTAGACGTCTTTTCTAAGACCAGTTTGGACCATGTGACCTGTGGGCCCTTTTGGCAGAAGCCCCAGAGACTTTTTCCTGCTGTTCCCCTCCCCCTGCCCTCCTCCCCAAGGGTGCAGCTGGAGTGGAAGCAGAATTACCCATGAACTCCACATTTCCCAGGTGGAGGATGGCCGCCAGCAGCTTGCTGATGTCCCAGTTCTCGGAGTCGGAGAACAGGAGGATCTTCATGGCTGAGCGGACGTGGGCAAAGTCCTTAGCGTCACTGAGCCCCTCGTAGGACGTGCAGTTTCCCTACGGGACAGGGCATCTCAGCTAATGTGGCCACCCCATGTCCCACCTTCCCCATCCAGAGGCCAGCAGGACTCAGCAGACTCAGAGACTCAGCAGAAGGCCCCTGAGAGTCACACTTTGTAGGTTCTGGGTGGACCCAGAAGAGTCACGTCCAGGCATAAGCTCGGAAAATAGATTAAAGGATTTCCAGAGGCAAAGCCACAATGCTACGAACATGGCATATCTGGGCCTGGCTGCCAGCACTGGCCACTGTGTGACCTCAGGCAAATCATTCCCTTCCTTGAGCCTCTTATCATCTGTCTGCGCTTAAGCCAGCCTCACCTGTCTCTAGGGAATACTGTGGGCTCTTTCCTTTAAAAAAAATCTTCCCAGGCTCACTACATGCCAGGCCCTGTGCTACTTGGTGGGAATTTGGAAATGGTGAGCCACAGTCCTGCTTGGCTGCTGTGCATTCAGGAGGAACAGGCAGGAAGCAAATGACCCTGTTATGGATGGCTATTACCGATGCTGAGACCAAAGAGGCCAGGCTAGTCCCATGGAAAGGTGGAAAAAGGCTTCCTGGAGGAAGTGTATGAGCTGGCCCCATATATGGATCCTCAAAGCAGCCCAGGGTGGAGAATGGCAGGAGCAAGCTGCAAGTGGGAGGCAGGGGCAGGGGCTACAAGGAGGGTGGGGGTCAGAGTTGAGAGGGGAGAAGTCAGCAGAGGATCAGATCCTGGAGGGACCTGGAAGTCATGTCAAGGTGCTTTGACTTTTAGCAAATAATTGTCATCAGAGACATGACACCATCAGATTTATATTGCAGGATGCTCCCCTCTGCTGCAGGTGGATGACACATCAGAGATCAAGATTGGCCTCAGAGATACCCATGAGGAAACTATTGCCATGGTCTAGGCAAGGACTGATGAAGACCGAAGGCAGTGACCACAGAGGGTCAAACAGGAGAGAGATCCATTGTCTTGTCAACCAGCATGAGCACATGACTGCTTGTGCCGGGCTGTCTCAGAAGGTGGGGACAAAGCCACAAGCAGGAGTAAGGCCTTGAATTCTGGGAGCTCATGGTCTAGGGGCACCAACAAGTACTGGAGTAGCAGGCATGTGGGTGACTCTCCATGGTCCACTGTACTGGAAGCCTTTTTCCGGTCCAGAGGGAACCAAAGGAAGGTAGTAGGTATATGGGGAAAGACCACAGGCTCTGCTTGGGGCCTGTAATAAACATGGGGGACTGGAAGGAGGAGGCGTGCAGCCAAGGGCAGGTCTAGGTCTCTGGCAATCATCAGGTTGCTTCCAAAAAGAAGGAGCTGCAACAGGGAAGGGAAAGGGGACGCTGCCTCAGGGGTCCAGCTAGAGCTGGGGCATTTCAGCAGCTGCAGACCAAGGCTTGAGCAGGTCCTGGCGCTTCCTCTCTCCATTCACTACTGAAGGGCGGGATGGGGTGGGAGCTCACCATGGTCAGGTAGTGGTACTCAGAAGGTGTCCCCAGGCCCAGCAGATTCTTCTCCTCTGCACTCATCCCCATGAGCATGCAGTAGAAGATGTGATAGTTCTGTTCCTCTGCAGCCTGGGAGAGAGGGGTCCAGAGAGACTTTGTAAGCAAGTCCCCTGAAGCCACCAGACCTCGCGAGTGTCCTGGCTTCAGCTGTAAGGTCTTCCTGCCAGGTGTGGCTCTGACATTGACCCAAGGGTGGGCCTGGGGTAACTGCTATTCACTTCCTGGGTCTCCAGGGCTGGCTCTTCATGAGTCCTACATTTCCTGCAATTTGGCCATACCTCCCAGCCTGGAAACTGTTGTGCACAAAGTCACAGGAGGCTCTCTAACCTCCCCATCCCATGCACTTGACAGCCACCCAGTGACCCACTGGAGAACTGACAGCCATTGGTTTACCTAGGCGTTCTGTATTTTTAAATTCCTTCTTTTTTTTTTTTTTTTGGCAGTACTGGAGTTTGAACTCAGGGTTTTGTGCTTGCAAGGCAGATGCCCTTTTGCCTGAGCCATGCCTCCAGCCTAATCCTTACACATTGACACTCACAATCCTCCTCCTCCTCCCTTTGAACTCTGCCCAGCATTCCACAGTATAGATATGGCATAATGTGTGTGTGTGTGGTGCTGGGATGGGACCCAGGGCCTTGCACAGGCTAAGCATGTGCTCTACCATTAACCTATAACCCAGCCTGTTCTATAATTTTAATATTGCTCTCTATCATGGTAAGGACTTGTTTCTAATCTGCTTTAGAAGTTTCTCATACAATTTGGGGTACCATTGTGAGGCATAAATTCTACGAATTCACGGACCACTATGGGAAGAAGGACGGGCCTCTGGGAAGGGCATGCCTCGGTCAGAGAGACTGAGCATACTAGCTCTGTGACTTGGGGCAAGTTATTTAATTGGCCTATCTGGACTCAGTTTCTTAATCTGAATAGTAGGGCTAAAGAGACCTGCCTTTCCTGGTTGTTGTGAAGATCCAATGAGATAATACAGGAGAAATGCCTGACACCAGGGGAGAGCGGGGGGGTTCACTAAATGTGACCTTCCTTCTCAGACTGTCTACAGTGCCAACAGGTCTATCTGTCCTCACACACAGCCCAGTCCCTCTGTTGGTGACATTTCCCCCTCTTAACCTTCCTGCGCATGCAGGTACGTTCACGTGCATGCTGTGTTGAGGGTTATTTTACATTTTACACAAACACATGCATTAATTCTGCTGTTATAGGTGCCATAAATAGGATCCCTGTCATTCAGGATTAGCTATCTGATTTGTGGGCCCACTGCAAAATGAAACTGTGGGGCGGGGCCCCTTGCTGAAAAGATAGTAAGAACTTCAAGATGGTGACAGAGTTCTAAACCAAGTGTGTGCCCTTCTGAGCACAGGGCCACAGACCATCACTGTCATCCAGGTCCCCCTGCTTTGACCCCCAATGCACCTGAAGATGCAATCGGAGACTGACTGGGCCTCAATTAATTCCAGTGGTGTGGCATGGTAAACACTAAAGAATGAAGAAAAGTTTATAGAGGGAAAATTCAAAACTGAGGCTATCCTATCGCTTATTTTGCTGCAATACTGGGGAGGCTCGCTGGTTCTGTGAGGCGGCTGGGGGCTGGAGGAGGGGTGAGAAAGACAATGGGACCCTCACCCTTGAGGCGGAGCCTCACCGGGGGCGGGGCCTCACCGTGGGCGGAGCCTCACCTGCCGGCAGACACGGGACTTCTCCAGCAGGAAGTGCTCGATGCGCGCGCTCACGATCACGCCGCTGGGGTTGAAGTAGATGTCGATGTACTTTCCGAAGCGGCTCGAGTTATCGTTGTGGATCGTCTTGGCGTTTCCGAAGGCTGATGGCAAGGGAGCGATGCCCATGACAAAAGACAGGAGAAAATACACCTTTAGGGAGGACGACTGGGTCGGTTCTGAGAGGAGGCGATCCCAGAATTGAAGCTTGGGAGAAGGTTGCGGGAGGAGAATGGCAGCCAAGGCACAATGCAGGAAAGGCTGGGTTTAGAAGACATGGTGGGATTGCTGAGTGAAAATGGGTCGGAGGAAGGACCAGGAGGACAGCAGTGGAAGGTGGACAGAGACAGTGGGAGAGGTCAGGGCCACCAAGCTTTGCATGGCAGCTCAGAATGTGGGGATTCTCCCTGCAGGCGCTGGTAGGCGATAAGGCTTCCGAGGGAGCGCGGGAGCAGGTGCGCGTCTTCCACGCCCAGGCGGCTGGGCCCAGGCTGGGCTGGACAGGGTGAGCTTGCAGGGAGAGCGGCTAGAGCCTCTGGACAGAGGATGTGACCCAAAGCGCCTTTCCTAGAGCTGTTGCTGCGTGCCATCCACAGTAAGAAAGATATTTTGTATAATGCCCTACTATGTACTGTGAAAGGTGTCAGGATCAAAATGGAGTCACTTATGTCAGGTCCTAACCAAAAATAAATAAATAAATAAAAATAAAGACCATGGAGGGAGGGCTGTCACGCACACATGTCTATGATAAAAACTGTTACAAAACATCCCTAAAAGGGGGCTGAGGATGTAGCTCAATGATAGAACACTTATGCATGAGACCTTGAGTTTGATTCCCCAGCACCACAAAAAAAGGGAGTGCTCTTATCCCCATATGCCTGTAACTAGAACTTTTGCCAAGGACTTTCCAAACTTAACCTTGAGACATGAGTCACAAGGATGGCACGAGACCATGTGTCTGGCATACTGTTTCTGCTAATGAATGGATGCTCCAAGATAAGCCCCTGTAACCAATGTTCTCTGTTTCAGAACAAATACACACACTTCTCTCTTTTGCCTTTAAAAGCTTCCGCTTGGAAGCTTCCTCCTTGGATATGCTGTGGTCTCCATAGCACACATACTGTCAGTCCGTAATCCTCAGCCTTTCCCAAATAAACTCAACATTCCTTAGAGTGTCTCTCCATTTGTTATTTGGGTTGACCATACACATTTCTATGTGAACACGCATGATTAAAACAAAATATTCAGTACCAGAGCTGGGCCTGGTGGTACATGCCTGTAATCTCAGCTCTTGGAAGGTTGGAGCAGGAGAACTGTTAGTTCAAGGCCAGTCTGAGCTATATAAGGAGACCCTGTCTTAAAAAAAAAAAATTCAGTGCCAGTTCTTACCAAAAGCATAGGAGAAAATCTTAGGATTAGGCAAAGCATTCTTAGATTCCACACCAAAAGCATGATCCAAAAAAGAAAAAAATAAATAAATTGAACTTAATTAAAATCTAAAACATTTGTCCTGCAAAAGACACTGTTAGGAGAATGAAAAAACAAGCCATAGCACCTGTGGTGTGGCACGCTTGTAATCTCCGCACTCAGGAGGTGGAGGCCAGAGGATAACGAGTTCAAGGTCAACCAGGGCTACTCATTAATAAGGAAGTATATTAATTAAAAGTAGACCAAAGATTTGAACAGATACTTCAACAGAGAAGCTGTCTAAAGGGGAACAGATGTCAGCATCATTATTTATTGTGGTGGGTACTACCCCACACATACCAAAGTGGCAAATATCACCTTGAAGGTGCCAAGGGGCAGAACAACTAGAACTCTCTTACTCTGTTGGTAGGGAAGCAAAGTGGTACAGCCCCTTTGGAAAACATTTTTGACAGTTTCTGCCCTACTTCAATGGATCACTCACCATTGAGGTAAAACATTTCACTCCTGAAATTTACTCAAGAGAAAAACGTGTTTACAGAGGTTCTATTCATAATCATTATAAATTATAAGCCACCAGATTTCCTTCAATTGGTAAACAAACTGTTATGGCCCTACCTTGGAATTATACTCAGCGTTAGAAAGGAAGAACCCTAAATGCATTACACTAGTTGAGGTAGCCAGACACAAAAGGTTATCAACTGAGTCATTTCATTTCTATGACATTCTGAAAAAGACAAAACTGCAGGTGAAAAAAGGACAAATAAATCTGGTTGCAGGGGTCAGGATTGGTTAACTACAAAGTTTGGGGAGTGGTGGGAGTTTTCTGTTTCATGTGATGGGGGGTTATGGAACTGAATGAGTTTGTTAAATCCACAAAAATGTACATCAGAAAGGTTAATGTTTATTGTATGAAAGCATATCTCAATTGTAAAGAAATAAGAGAGCTGGGCATGGTGGTGTACACCTGTAATCCCATGACTCGGGAGGCAGAGATTGGAACATTGAGAGTTCCAGATCAGCCTGGGCTACATAGCAAAACTGTCTCAAAAAGAAAAAAGAAAGAAGAAACAAGATAGATTGTGCTGTCCAGCAACTGCCAGCCTTAGGGCCAAGGTCACAAATTTCTGGGCCTCCCTCACCAGGAACTGAACCCTGGGGGACACTGACACAAAATGCAGGTGCCTGTAAGGGGCAGTTTGATCCAGAGCCTCTCGCTGGGTTGGCCAAGACCTTGTGGGTCCACTGCAAAATGAAACTGTGGGCCCTTGCTAAAACATTACTAAGAATTTCAAGAGGTCGACAACGGGACCTCTTCCCACCCAGTTCTGCTTCCTCTCCTCTTTCCTTTCCAAAGTGGTCAATCAGCATCCCAGTCTGCAGCCTTGCCTTGCCCTTTCCTGATTCCTCCCCCTTTATCTTCTGCAAGGCTAATCCCCTCAAGAAAATCCTTGCAGCCTAACTGTCTGTAAACCACAACTACTTCTCAGGGGCCCTGAACAAACACAGCTAGCATTTCCCAAATTGATTGATCTCAGGAACTCCTTAGTGTTTCCTATGGAAACACACATGATGAAAGTTTATGCAATCATTAGTTATCCCTTCATGCTGCCTGGGAGCCCAACACTACCATCAGCCCCACCCTGGTCCCTGCCCATGGTCACCTCTTGCTTGAAGGAAACCCATCAAAGGGCTGAGGGGGGGCTAGGTAGAAGAGGAGTCTGCTGGGAGACCACTCACCTTCCAGGATGGGGTTAGCCTCCAGGACTTGCTGCTCAATCCACGAATGCTGGCCGCTGACAGTGGCCAGAAACTGCAGGATGAGTTTGGTGGTTTCTGTCTTCCCAGCCCCAGACTCACCGCTGTCAAGAGAATGCAGGGACATGAGACCACAGAAGGACCCTTTCTAATACCCATGACTTTCCTGCAAGCCCACCCACACCTGCATACTTGGTCAGACTGACAGGGACACCTATTCCCCATGCAGAAATCCCATCGAGTTTGTCCTGGAGTCCCCTGTAGGTTTCAGACTGTATGCTGCAGAAATTGTTGGTGTGTTTGTCTTTTCTTCCCTACTCAGCTGCAAAGACCTTCAGCACAGTCAGAGCTGGCTTATTCCAGAGCAGCCAGGCTCAGAAACACAGATGATAGAGCAAGAAGACTCAATATCTTGCTAATGAAAGTGTGGCCTGTAGGCAGGCATGTGTCACCTGGCCAGAAATGTGGACTTACTGTGCTTTATCTGACCCGCAGTTTGCAAGACCTCTAAGAGGATTCCTGTGCTTTAAAGTTGGCACAGGCAACTCCTGCAGTCCCTTACCCAGCTGCAACTTCTGGCCAATTTTGCTTCTGTACTTATGCTTGTACCTGGGCTGGCCTCAGACCATCATACTCCTACCTGTACTTCCTGAGTAGCTGGGATTACAAGCATGTACCACTATATCTAGGTTAATTTTTTTTTGACATAGTGTCTCTTAACTAACTTTTTGCCCAGTCTGGTCTTGAACCATGATCCTTCTATCTCTGCCTCCTGCAATTATAACCTTTTGAAAAGGTCATGATCGATATATCCACATTCTCTATGCCAGCAAACCAGAGTCAGACCAACAAACCTCTGCTGATACTCAGACCCCTGTGAGTGCCTGATCAGTGCCAGGGATTTCTGCAAACACAAGTTGATCAAATAACTGCCAATGTAGAGCCAGATCCATGGAGGCAGAGAGCTTAGGGGACTTGCTCTGCGCCCTGGGAGATGCCAGGTGCTATGATTTGAATATCCACTCCAAAACCCATGTTGAAAGAAATTATTTTTGACATAGTGTCTCACTATGCTGCCCAAGCTGGTCTTAAACTCCTGGGCTTAAGCAATGCTCAGCCTCAACCTTCTGAGTAGCCGGGACTAGAGGTATGCTCCACTGTGCCCAGCTCATGTTGAAATTTAATTGCCACTGTGACAGTATTAAGAGATAGGATTTTGGGCTAGGTGGTATAGCTCAGTGGTAGAGCACTTGCTAGCATGCCTGAGACCTTGGGTTTGACCCTCAGCACCACAAGAAAGGAGGACTTTCAAAAGGTGATTAGGTAAAAGATGGAATAATGCCATTGCTTCAGGAGTGGGCTTCTGATAAAAAGCATAAATTCTGTTCTCTCTCTCTCCCCACGCCCCTGCACTCTCTTGCCATGTTATGACACAGCAGGAGGCTACTATCAGATGTGGCCCCTTGATCTTGGACTTCCAGCCTCCAGAACCACAAGCCAAATGCACTTCTATTGTTTCTAATATACCCAGTCTGGTATTCTGTTGTAGTAGCAGAACACGGACTAAGACACTAGCCTAAGAATACAATTTGACTCAGAATGACCAGCTATTTCCTGCAGGGATCCAGGTTAACCAGGGGGCTCTTTCCTCTCTTCTCAACCTGCCTCCCATCAGCTCTGCTGCAGCACAGCAGGAAGCCAGCCCTGTGGGTTTCTTGGCCCTTCAGCCTCAGGCCCAGCTCCACTCGGGAGGCCTCTTCCAGCAAGGCAGGTTCAGAGCTCTGGGTTTGAATCTTCCACTTCACTGCTGTGTGCCACTGGGAAAGGATCTCAAACTCTGATGGAAGGAAAAAACCCTTCTGAACGGGGTGAAGACATGGAATATGCTCATTCCCTGAGCACCTGTGTTGTAAGATGCCATTCTAGTCTCTGCTCAGAGAGGCTGTGGTTTCCCTCTCCCACCTAAAGAAGTGTCCCCTGTCATTTTATTGGCTCTCCTCCTGCCATGTTTTTCTTTAAACCTCTGACATAAAATGTGCTATTTATTGCCTGTCACCCCTTCTAGAACGTGAACTCCACAAGTAGGCTTTAGTCTCCCTGGATTTTAGTCCCTTTCACTTTATGTCTGTCCCACACGAGGCAATGAGGGCACACAGCTGACTTCTGGTAAGATCTTGAATGAATGAATGAATGAATGAATGAACAAATGCACGAGTGAGTGAGTGAGTGATCACTAGAGCACCAGGCCAGGTGCTCTGGAGTCAAATTCCCATTCCACCTCTCTTTGCCTCTCTCCCTCCCTCCCTCTCTCCCTCCCTCCCTCTCTCCTTCCCTCCCTCCCTCCCTCTCTCCCTCCTTCCCTCCCTCCCTCTCTCCCTCCTTCCCTCCCTCCCTCTCTCCCTCCCTCCCTCTCTCCCTCTCTCCTTCCCTCCTTCCCTTCTTTCTTCTTCCCTTTCTTTTTGTGGGACTGTGGTTTGAACTCAGGGCTCTGTGCTTGCAAAGCAGGTGCTCTACCACTTGAACCACACCTCTAGTCCATTTTGCTCTGGTTATTTGGAGATGGGGTCTCAAAAACCATTTGCCTGGGCTGGCCTTGAAATGAGTTCCTCCCAATCTCGGCCTCCAGAGTAGCTAGGATTACAGGTGTAAGCACTGGTGCCCAGCCCTGGGTCCCATTTCTGAAGGAGCATCCACATTTCTTCCTGGACTCAGGAAACATACACTGAGTGGATGGGCGACACGGGTCCCCAGGATGCAGTGAGAAACCAAATTCTGAAGGAAGGAAGCTCTGAGGGACATGTCGTCTGGGGGAGGCAAGGGGACATGTCTTTGAATGGCAGGAGAGCATGTCCTTGGGGACAAGGGAACATGTAGTCAGGGGGCAGGGGAACATGTCCCGGGGGAGGCAGGGGTACATGACCTGGGGGGGTGCAGGGGGACATGCTCTAGGAGTGTGGGGACAAGGGGACATATCTGTGGAGCACCAGAGGGCAGAATGTCCTTGAGGGGCAGGGTAGCTGGGGCAGTTCCAGGTAGGTGTGTGCCATGAAGAAGGGTGTTCACAGTAGAATAAGAGGAACCCTATCACACCTGCCTTGTGGGCATTTTAGTCTGGAGAGGTTTAGGGAGAGAGATGCCCCCTCCTTCACAGGATGCTTGGAGACCCCCACCTGATGACACAGCACTGGTCCCTCCTGTTCTTCTTCATGTTGAAGTAGCAGCTGTTAGCAATGGCGAAGACGTGCGGGGGCAGCTCACCCATGTGGTGACTGTAGTAAAGCTGCACCTGCTCCAGGGTGTAGAGGGGCAGCATCTGGAATGGGTTCACGGCCACCAGGATGGAGCCTGTGTATGTCTGGGGAAGGAGCAGATGGTTAGCACCCTCAACCCCAGGGCAGAGTTGCCTGGCTGTGGCCTTGGCCTTGAGTACAACCTCTTGAGGGTTGCCAGGACCCAACTACTCTTGTCAGGGGGAAGTGGGGTGTGTCTGGGCCAGGAGACAAAACTCTCAGTTGCTCAGCTGCTTCCCATAGGAAAATGGGATGTCCACCTTGAACATGAGCTTCTGAGAGCTTGTTCCCAAGAAGATTAAATGTTTAGCATCCTGCCTGGTTCTTAGAAGGTACTTGATAAAAATAGGGTGAATGTAGGAAATGAGGTTTTACTGCCCCCCATAGGGAAATGAGGTGTTTACTGTTGGTCAACATCAGCACCCCTCAGTGATCCCAACCACACATCTGTGTGCTCCAGGACCACCTGCTCATTGGGAGCCCATTAGGCCCGGCTACCCCTCTGTAGGGGGTAACTGGAGAGTCTCCCCTAGAAGTCATAGGATTATCCTCTGCCTTCAGGGTTACAAGGGGCACCTAAAGAATGCATGCAGGAGTGCTTAGCAGAGGAGGCCCAGCATCCAGCTTGACTTACTACTGTTACAGTCCTGAGAGTTCTAACCCACGTTCAGCCAGAGCAGAAGCAGCTGGCTCTGTCCCCTCCTCCTTTGGAGCCCTTCCTTCTCTCTTTCAGTCCTCCCTCTGTTCTGGGTCCCCAGCTCACTCCTTGCTTCCTAGAGTAATCCAGAGGGCCGGTCAGAGCTGTACTAGCTGCCAGTTCAGACCATGTAGGAGGCCCAGGTAGGGACTTCCTTGGCCATATCCACTGTGGCAGAGCCCTAAGCACCCAAGGGTGCTAGTGCCAGTTTTGGAACCCCATCTTTCCTAGGGAGCTAGGATGAGTGTCCTAGGCCTGGAGCCAACCCCCATTCACTTTCAGGTTTGAGAGAAGGGTCCACATTTCCCCCACATGGCTCTCCTCCACCAATAGGGTAGGGGCACCCACCCAGCTGTCACAGGACTCACTCTCAGGAGGCCCTGGCTCTGCAATACAGCAAGGAAGCAGGGAAGGAGACTATGCCCGCACTCACTGCCCTCTGGTCTCCACTCAGTCCATCAGAGCAGGCCTTCTGACTAGCCGCAGATGGAGTGAGGGGCAGCACCTTCTGTGTGCCAGACATCGTGCTGTCACTGTGCACCAGCTTCCCATCTGCAAGGGTGATGCTTCTGCTTCTTTAGATTGGGAGCAGAGACTGGGAAAGGTTGGGTACCTGGCCCATGGAGAGTGGCGCCTGGTGCCAGACCCCCTGGTACATAATTTTCTTCCCTCTATGGGGGCTCCTCCATGAGCAAGAGGTGGGGGGGACTCACGTAGATCTTGTGCTGTTGGTAGCGGATCAGGAGGTTGTGCACCATGCCTGCCTCATTCAGGTCCCCCAGGCGGATCATGTCATCCACACCTTCGGCAGAGTTGGGGTGCATGGGGCTGAGGGCACCAATGTCCTCTGCTCGGATCCAGTGTTCCTGAAATGACAGACACAGACTCTTCTGAAGGCAGCCTCCACACACTCCTCTCCTCCATGTTCTTAGGAATAAGGCAGCCGTCAGGGTCACAGATCAGCAGACCAGGAGCTGGTTGCTCATTTCTGGCCAGGTCAAGGGACACTGGTGACAAAATCAGGTCCATCTATGGCATTGGTCAGGGTACCTGTCTAGGGTCAGGGGTCTTTGTGTAGCTGGGGCTAGAGCTGAACTTCAGACAGGGACAGAGGAGCTGATGGCTGAGACTTAGAGTTAGGGTCAGTTTGCCACTGGGAGCCTTGTAAGTAAAAGTGGTTTTTAAAACCACTACAGCATCAGGCTATCAGAAGGTACTGTGGTCATTCTTTTACTGGCTTCCATAATCCAGAGTGCCTAGGCACAGTCTATGACCTTCTCCTTGGAGACCATGTCTGCATGTACCTCTCCCTGCAGCCCCAGGCTGGGCCAAGTTGACCTGAGGTGGAGTTAAGTGACCAGCTGGATACTCACAGCCTTTTGTCTCCCCTCACTGTCTTCAGCTGCCCCTGCCTCTCCAGGTCTGATGAGTTTCTGGCCCCAGCACCCTGAGCCACCCTCCTACCACCTGGTCATTTTTGCCTCTTCCTGTTCCTCCACACATCTTTCTCAGCCAACTGTCTCTCCGCACACCAGCTTTTGGTCCTCCCTCCTCCCTGCTTCAGCCCTCTCCACCTCACTCCTTCCTGCTCCCCTCATCTTGACTGCAACTCTTTCACTTTATCATTTTTACATTTACTTACATGTGTATACATGATTTGGGCCATCTCCCCTCACCTCCCCAACTGCCTCTGCAACTCTTGAAACATGCCCCAAGACAGATGTGTGCTGTTTACTAGGGCAGGACTCCACTGGGGTCTGTCCTGCCACAGTGATACCTCTTGGGCTTGGGAACCCTTGGTTCTGGGGAGCAGCAGAAGGGGCAGGCTCTAGGGTTGGGGGCAGGGAGCCGAAAGAACTAATACTGACCTTCCCTTCATCATCTTCAACCAAGATCTTGCTTGGCTTTGTTTCTTTGATGATGCCCCCAATCGCCACACCAGTCTTGTTGGTGGAGGGAGGGTCCAGCCAAACATGGTCACCCTGGAGGGCAGAGAGGAAACAGTGGTCTGACCCCTCTTCTTTGTGGTCAGAGACTTACCTGTTCTGGGCTGTCACTTTCAACCTAGAGCTCCCAGGCAGCTGGAGCTCATCTCTCCTTCTCTTTCTCTCCTCTTTCTCTCTCCTCCCTTCCCATCTCCTATGAACATATGTCACCTTCATTGCTCATCAAACACTGCCTTTCTCTATATATCCTGTCTGGAACATAGGCTCACCAAGAACAAGGGCTCAGCCTTTTCCACAGCACTCTGTCAAAGAGAAAAAGAAAGAATAAGAAAAACAAGAACAGCAACCAAACTCAGTGAGGCTTAGAGCAGAGTGCCTCTCACTTAGAATGGCAGCCCTCTGAGAAGTCACCATAAGCAGTGAGGAGGATGAGACATAGAAACAAAACCCCATTGTCAGTGAAGCTGGAAGGTGGCTGAGCCATAGAGCAGGCAGAACGGGGCCATCAGAGGACGCAGGAAGAAGCTGAAAAGATGGCCCCCACAGTGAGTCCAGAAAGAGCCAGAAAAGTTCATTGGTGCAAGGTGGGGTGGATTTACAGGAGCACACAGGTGACAGTGGGAGCCGAGGGAATCCATAGTTACAGGAAATAGTTTGTGAGAGGGGACAAGAAGAGCTTTGCCCTGTGAAAGCACTCAGATACCCAGATCCATTGGCTGGGAGAGGTGAGGACTGAAAACTCACAGGTGAGTTTTCTGCTAGCTTGCAACATAGTATTGACCCCCCCCCATAAACCTCCTGAACCAAGAAAGCTTGCTCCAAAAGCAGTGATCCCAAAAGAGCCAACACGCTGGGGGCGTGGCTCACGTGGTAGAACCCTGCTTAGCAAGTACAAGGTCCTGAGTTCAAATCCCTGTACCACCAAAAAGAAAAAGAAAAGAAAACAAAAACCCCAAAGGATTAAGCACATCTACCTAGGAAGATACTGAAATCCAGTGGGAGGAAAGGAGACATCAAATAAGACTTAGCAGAGGAGAAAGCTGCTAGAGTGTGGGAAGCTGTGACGAGGTATTTCATTATCATTTATAAAAACTTATGCAAGTGCAGGGCGGAGGCAAAAGAGTTCTCGACTAGAAAGTGAGAAAACTGAGAAGAGTGAGACAAGAGTTGGCAGTGCTCAAAAAAGTACGGCAAAAGAAATAAACATGATCCAGAAGTGAAAGGGAAATTGGGAGCAGGAAAATATTCACTGATTTAAAAACATGAAAGGACCATAAAGACAGGGAACTAGGAGTGGGCTAAACACAGTGACATGTGCTATAATAATAGACAAGTGGGAGAAGAGATTGGGAGGATTTGGGCTGAGACCAGTCAGAGTAAAAAGTTAGTGAGACCTCATCTCAACAAAAAGCTGGGTGTGGTGGTGCATGCCTGTCATCCTAGCTATGTGGGAGGTGTAAGTAGGAGGATTGCAGTACAGGCCAGCCCAGGCAAAAAGCACGAGACCCTATCTGAAAAACAACTAAAGCAAAAAGGGCTGGGGATGTGGCTCAAGTGGTAGAGTGCCCACCTAGCAAGCACAAGGCCCTGAATTCAAAATCTAGTAGAAGAAAAAAAAAAAAAAGGAGGAGGATGAGAAGAAGAAGAAGAAGAAAAAGAAAATGATGGAACTCCCAATGAATAGAAACACTTGATGTATTTAGGACAGAATTGGGGGTTAAAACAGTTTTTTAAAAAATACACAAAAGACTAAGCAGAGGAAAGACAATTATAAAGTATAGCAAAGGAAAGCCCGTGTATACTCACAGGTCTCGTAATGTTACATTTTGGTCAATAATGGAGCACATACGAAATGATAGTCTCCTAAGATTGTACCACCTCATGATGTCTAGCTGTCTCAGTTGGTGTAAGTATACTCTGTGATAGTCACACAGCGAAGTTGCCTGAGGATGTATTTCTCAGAAATCATCCTGGTGTTAGCAAAGCATGACTGCCGACAATATGCTGCATGGATCCCTCGAGAGTAGTGCTTACTTTGATAAGAGGGGGTAAAAAACTGTCTTGCATCTAATCAAAACTAGGATTTAGCACTTTCAGGAGGATAGAGAGTGACAGTAAGCATGTGAATGCTGGGCTAGGGATTCTGCATGAATAGCTGTCCTCTCGAACACAGAGGAGGACAGTAATATTAACAACTAAAATCAGAACATCAGAGAGACAGGGGAAAAGGGACCCATTTAAGGGTTGACAGTGGGAGGAAGAAGTGGGGAGCATGCCTGTACGATTTTAACAAATAGAAGCTAAATTAAAAGGAATAGCAAGGAACAGTTGCGCAGGAAGCAGAAGACACCATAAGGACACCACGGTATGGAGGGGACCAACTAAACCACATCAGCATCCTCAGAGACCTAGGACAAGCTTTCCTATGACAAGCTGAAATTTCAGCAGCAGAAACAGCTGGCCAGTCACCAAAGTGAGAAAATTAAATGTCGAAGATAGATGATCAGCATCTCACAGAAAAACTGATATTAGCCAGAGGTGTGGTGTGTGTGTGTGTGTGACAGAGAGAGACAGAGAGAGAGAGACAGAATATCTGTAATCCAGTCTGAGTGATGAGGTGTCAGTCAGCCTGATGGGAACTGAAAGAAAAAAATAAAAGAACCAGAGTGTGGTTTTTGCAAGGTAAGGAATGACTGATTTACCATTTGGCCAAAGCTCTACTAGGAAATAAGCAGAAAACTGCTTATTAAGAACTCTATTAGCAGAAGAAGAGGACTACACAGAAGCAGCTGAATTGTGAGAAGAATGAGCGAGAAGAGAAAAAAGGCTGAGCTACGGAGAGCAGAGGTAGCCAGAGCCTGCATTGCTCTTCCTGATAAAAAGCTCTGCTGCTGCTCCTGCTGTGCAGAGATGAGCCTGCAGAGGGCTCAGTGCCAGCCTGGGACAGAAACTGAGGCAGGGAAACCGAAAGGCCTGAAGCTGTCAACAACCCACTCCCAGGAGGTCCCACCCTTAGTTGCCTCTACACTAACATCTCCAAGATGAATGGACCTTGGCCCACTCGCTGACATGGCAGTGCACTGTGCTCTGCAGCTGCGTGTCCACCTGCCACATTCTTTTCTCTCAGTAGGAAAGATGGGCTGGCAGTGGCTTGGTGCCTGCAGCAGGGTCACCAAGGAATCTCCAGTGGCAGTACCTAGGGTCTGAGTCTCACTGCAGGTCTGTCAGCTGACATGGGCCCTGCCTTCCCACATGGCCAGATGGCTGATATGGAGGCCCTGTTTCTTCTAGAAATGCCCCAATTCTCTGTCATTAGATCACCTCCAGTCTGACAAGGTATGGGCTGGTAAAGGGTAAGCTCAGGAATAAAGTTCAAGGCATAATTAATAAGGGATGGCGTCAACCCAACAGAGAACGTGAACTAATTGTAACTTTAAGGTGCAAACTATTTCTATCCCCAGTCCCTCTGCATACACACATGTTTATGTTCACAGTGTTTATTTGGAAGGAAGGTGGGTGTGATTAAAGTGCTAAAAGCCATGGAGTGAATGGCAGCACCAGGTCCCTTCACTCGCCTATTAGGTGGGAGGCAGGGGTGTGATCACAAGGAGACAAAGTCTATTTGTATGTGCCTCCTTAAGTCACCTGTGTGTGTGCATGTGTGATGTCTGTGTGTGTATGTCTGTATGTGTATGTGAGTGTGTGTGTATGTGTGTGTGTGCATGTATAAATGCATATGTGTGTGTGTCTGTCCCTGATGGGATTCCTCAAAGTCAAAATCAGGAGAAAATGAATAGCAAGCAGGACCAATGTACCTTCTGTAAGGCTTCAGGATTTGTTAGGAGACTCTCTCTCCCCAGTTCTTAGCCACATGATACTTAGGGAGCACTGCTGCCACCCCAGGGCTGAAGCAAGTGGCCTAGACCCAGTCCACTCATTCCTTCCCCTTGGCCACTGCAAGGGGACACTGTTCAATTCAGAAATCTTTATCCTGGCCAAAGCCAGCACTGTCTAGAAAAACAATATGAGCCACAGGTGTGATTTAAATTTTTCTAGAAGTAAAAGTAAAGAAACGGGGGCTGGCAGAATGGTTCAAGTGGTAGAGTACCTACCTAGCAAGCTCTGAATTCAAACCCTGGTATTGCCAAAAAAAAAAAAAAAAGGAAAAGAAAAGAAACAAGAAAGTAAAAGTTTAGTCCCATTACTGACTGAATTGTGTGAGGCTCTAACCTGGTAGGACCAATGTTCTTAAGAAAAAGAAAAAGATTCTCTCTCTCTCTCCCCGTTTCTTTCTCTCTCCTTCTCCCTCTCTCCCTTCCATCCTCCCCCTCCCTCCCCTCTTTCCCAAGCACAGAAAGAAGGACATACAAAGATGTAGTGAGGAACCACTATCTCTCTGCAAGCCAGGAAGAGAGGCCTCACCAACGAGTGACCCTGAGGGCACATTCATCTTAGACTTGCAGCCTCTAGAGCTGTGAACATTAAGTGTCGTCATTTAGGCCCCTAACCTGTAGAGTTTTGCTGTGGAAGCCTGAGCAAACTAACAGAAAGCCCCTTTGAAGACAGACAGGCCTAACCTACCTGCTAGAGTTTGGATCTGGAATGTCCCTCCAAGGCTCGTGTAGTAAAGGCTTGGTTCCCGGCTAGTGCTATTGGTGGTGGTGGGATCTTTAACAGGCAGACCCAGTGGGAGGTCTTAGGTCACAGGAGGGCATGCCCTTGAAGAGGCCCTTTCCTGTTTCTTATGATTCCCAGCCATGAGGTGAGTGGATTTGATGCATCACAAGCCCCCCGCCATGATGTGCTACCCATCACAGACCCAAGAGCAGTGGGGCCAACCAGCCAGGGACTGAAACCTCCCAAACTGTGAGCCAAAATAAACCTTTTCTCTTTATAAATTGACTTTCTCAGGTATTTGTTACAGTCATGGAAAACTGACTAACACACTACTTCACAGTCCATGAGCTATGTGACCATGGGAAAGGCACTTAACTTCTCTGAGCTTCGATTTCCTCATCTTTGGAAAGTGATGATTCCATACGGCAGGTGTGGAGATGGAATGTAATACTGACAGAAGTCCCATAGCAGCCAGGACAGAGTGGGCGCGGGTAGACAGTGTGTCAGTCACAAACTCTCTAAGTGCCTGTCCTTATTCAGCCACCGCAAGGCTCTGAAGAATTCACTGATGAATAAGTCCATGACCCTTCCCTCAGAGAACTTGTGGTCTTAGAAGGTGGAGCAGATTCACTGTTGCAATTGTGACTAGCATGTGGCCCCAGGAGGCATTTGGGGACATCTGAGCTGGTGCCACCATGGAGCATTCCTTTGTGAAATAGATTTGGCTTTGCCTTCAAACTCATATCATGTGTTTGAGGTGCTAGATATGTTTACCTTGATTTTGAACCTACAGATGTATACATGTATCAAAACATCCATGATATCGCAGATATGTACAATTTTTATGTTTTTATATATTAGTCAAAATTAATCTAAAAAACCCTATATCATGCACCAATGTGGTGCCAAGTTCTAATGTTTGAGATGTAACAACCTGTACAAATCCTTTCCATGGCCTAAAAGGGTCTCATCTCTATTCTCTAGTTGAAAACCAACACTACTACCAACTCTAGCTGTCCATTCGGTGGGTCAGAAGCCACCAGACTCCCTCAGTCTTCCAGCTTCTCCCCACCAGGCACACACCATTCCAGACAGTCTGGAGGCCTGTTCCAATTCCCAGGTGACAGCAGTGCCTCAGTATTTGTTAACTCAACAGTAAATGTAAATTCCTTCCCCCCACGCACACACAAAAACACAGTGCTTCCTACAGACAGGGCCACCACTTAGTCACTGGGACACAGACATCTGCTGTGCAAAGGGAACATGATACAGAATCCAAAGTGGCACCTTGGCCTGAGGTCTAAGTCCCACCCTGTCCCTTGGTTTCCAGGTACCAGTTTTCTCTGGGCCAGCTCTCTGCAGGTGTCATAATGAGACAATGAGTAAGAACCCCTCTTTTAAGCCTGAAGTGAGGGACTCCTAGATGTGACAAAGCTTGTTTTCTTCTGATAACAGAATATGTCTTGTTCCTCAAACTCTCTTGTCTCTGGTTATTTTCCTTCTGGGGTATCTGCCTTTCTCCTTCTTTCCTTAGAAATGATTCAACTCAGCCTTGGGTAACTTCCACAAATAACCCATTGATGCAATAAATGCAATTCTTACCAGTCTGAACACCGACATCCTGGTCAGCAGTTCCCTGCAGCCTGTAAGAAGAGAGAAAGCAGATGTCAGTGCCCCACCATCTGACATTCCACACCAAGGGCAGGTGTTCTGTGCATTCATCAGCCCATCCCTAAGTGCCTGGCCAGGGCCCTGGTTCCAGAAATGGCTCTGCACAAACAGATGCATAGTCACAGTCTCATCCCAAGTGTAAGAAGAACCCCTGTCAGTCTCTTATCTTGTCTTGATTGAACACCCATTTTGCACTCAGCCCTGGGCTCAACACAGGGAGTGGGGTGATGCCCTGTTGTACAGAAGCCCAAATTTTATCTGATCCGACATCCACAAGAACCAGCCATCACCATTTGTCCTGGGAAGGGCTCACTAAGCAGTTCAACGAAGCAACATATGGTTATACTCTTTATCTGAACCTCACAGCATCCCCAGAATGTGGGCCTTCTGCTGCTTTTTACACAGGGCTCAACAAAGAAAAGGTGGCTCGATTATAAGTAGCACAACAGTGACCTGAACCTGGATCTGCCTCATTTAAACCTGTCCAGTAGCTGACTGCTCCAATGCTCTAGGAGCTCACCAGTGAGCCTGATTCACAGCCAGAAGGCAGAGGAGGGGTCAGGATCCCCATCTGCTCATGTGAAGGAAGAGCCCCTTGCCCACCATCCTGACTCAAGTGCTGGCATCTTCCCTGTCCTTGCACCCAGCAGCATGAGGCAGGTCTGTGGTGTTCACTATGCTGGTTCCTACATCTAGCAGAGGCCTGCCCCAGAAGGAACTAGTCAGTATTTGGCCAATGAAAGGGCACAGGAAGCTCCTGAAATTGGTGTCACTGTGATGGTGGTTTTGATGGATGAGTGAATCCACCAGACTCCCCCACCAGTCACACATCATTCCAGACAGTCTGGAGGCCTGTTCCAACTCCCAGGTGACAGCAGTGCCTCAGTATTTGTTGACTCAAATCCCTTACACACACACACACACACACACACACACACACACACACACACACACAGAGCTTCTTACAGACAGGGCCATCACTTAGTCACTGGGACACAGATATCTGCTGTGCAAAGGGAACATGATACAGAATCCAAAGTGGCACCTTGGCCTGAGGTCGGAGTCCCACCCTGTCCCTTGGTTTCCAGGCACCTGTTTTCTCTAGGCCAGCTCCCTGTAAGTGTAATAATCCTTTGGACATCCTCCAAAGGATACCCAGATGATGTCACCCCCATTCTACAGCTGAGAACATGGAGGCTGAGAAATACTGAGACTGGGCAGGGCATAGTGGCTCACTCCTGTAATCCAGCTACTCAGGAAGTGGAGATCAGGAAGATCATAGCTGGAGGCCAGCCTGGGTGAAAAAAAGAGTTAGTAAAGCCCCATCACAATAAATACGTTGGGTATAGTGGTGCATGCCTGTCATTTCAGCTACCCAGGAGGATTTAGGTAGGAGCATTACAGTCCAGGCTGGTATGGGCAAAAACACAAGACTCTATCAAAAAAAAAAATTAAGGTATAAAGGGCTGGGGCAGGGCTCAAGTGGTAGAGCACCTGTGTAGCAAGAGCAAGGCCCTGAGTTCAAATACCAGTACTGCCAAAAAACAAAACAACAACAACAAAAAGTTGCTGAGACTTCACCAAAGCTGTTCAGTGGTCAATGAAGGGGAGTCTTCTACTCCAACTCCAAGATCCACCCTCATTGCCCTGCATTCTCTATTTCTCGAACCTGTGCAAAGTGCAGAGAAGACCTTCACTGAATCCCGGCTCCCCAATAGCTCTTTTGAGAGGAGGCTGATCCTTGACCACTCTTTGCTCTGACATTGGGAACTTGTGAGGAGAGAGCAAGAGTCAGCTGAGGGAAATAGCAATGTTCCCGAAAGAGATGGACCATATCATGTGTGCCTATTGCATTCTATTTTTATATTTTATTTATGAGGATTATATGACCCTCCAAAAAAAAAGATTCCTAGGAAATGGAAATCTGTTAGATTTCTGATAGATTGGGGAAAAGTGGGGGATCAAGGGGTCATGATGCAATGTGATTGTTGCCCATGGGGCCCATCAGGCGCTGGGCACAGTGGCTGTGGAAGGGCAGGGCTGATGAAGCACAGTGGGTCACAGAAAGACCAGTGCAAGCCAAGGCTAGTGGAGGGCCCTGGAGCCTGGGGTATGTGACCAGCCATGCCCCAAGGTCTATCAGGACCAACAAGGAACACCTGTGAGACAGGTGTCAGTCAGCTGTTTGGAGGTCAATGCCACCAAGTGAGGAGGCCAGATGGAGATTGAGCTGGGGACCATGGGTGGCCCTCAAATTTCTACTTGGCATGGAGAAACCCAGAGCTGGAATCTGCAATGGGTAGGCAGAGTCAGGTTCTTGCCACACTGCATCTTCCCTTCCTATACCTCACTGAGTTATGTCTCCAGTCTCAAGGTATGGAGTATGATTTGAGAAATGCCAGAGGCTATGGTGCTAGCTTCCTGAAAATAGGTGGTTTGAGAATATAATTGGCAGGTGTAGAAGGAAGGTCACAAAAGACAAAAATCCTATCTCTATCTTTTTTCCAGTTTCGTTATTTGTGCTAAGCCACTTGGATTCATTGAAATCAAAGACTTCTCACAAGCCTGGTGGCTCTCATTCTGTACACATCCCCACTTTCCCCTGGGTACTTCCAGGAGCTGAGTCCCAAATCCACACCCCCCCCAAGGCCCCATTTCTCTGCAAATGTGCCACGGGCATGTCAAACACACTTTGACCAGAGCACTTCATCTCATCCCCAAACCTGCTCCATCTTGCATTCTTTCTCTCAATGAATGACCTTAACAACTGCTAAAGAAAACACTCCAAACCATCCTATTCCTCACACCCAAATGATCACTAGGACCTGAGGATTTCCTCTTTCAAAAACTTGAGGCTCACTGGGCATGGTGGTACAAGCCTGTAATCTCAGTACTTGGGAAGCTGAGACAGGAGAGTCATGTATTCAAGGCCAGTTTGGAATACATATTGAGACTCTGTCTCAAAAAAATAAAAACAAAACCCAAAAATCTTGTGACTCCTAACCACGTGTTCCTTATAAGAGATCTACATTTAGCTGGGTGTGGTAGTTTATGCCTAAAAACTTAGCTACTTGGAAGATGGGAATAGGGAGGGCCACAGTTTGAGACCAGCCCTGGGCAAAAACTTGAAAAACAGCTAAAGCACAAAAGGACTGGGGATGTGGTTCAAGGGACAAAGCACCTGCCTCGCAGGCAGAAGGCCCTGAGTTTCTATCCCTGTACCAAAAATACCCTGCCTTAGTTATAAAGACATACGGCTAGTGGAGGGGTCCAAGTGGCAGAGAGCCTGCCTAGCGAGCGTGAGACCCTGAGTTCAAGCCCCAGTACCACCCAAAGAAAAAAAGAAGAAAGAAAAAAGAATAAACAAAACAAAGCCAATTATAGTAGATTTGAATTAAAGGGATGGATGAAGACTTATAATGCTAACTTGTGCTAATCAAAAGAAACCTGGAGCTGCTGTTTAATTACAGAGAGCAGACTTCAGGGCAAGGAAAATCATGAGAAATAAAAATGATGATGGAACAAAGTCTCAAAGACAGCATGACAGTCCTTAATATGTAGGTGTCTAACAACAGGGTCAAAATATATAAGGCAAAAACTGACAGAACTACAAGGAGAAATAAATGAACCCACTATTACAGTTGGAGACTTCACAGCTTCAACATGTAGAAAATCAGTGAGGACCATAGATGACCTCAGCAGCACCATTAATCAAATATACAACCACGTGCGTATATGTGTATGTGACATTTACAGACTACTTTGCTCAACAACAGCAGAATACACATTCCCTTCAAAGTAGAACATGAGGAGAATGGAACATCCACAAGGATAAACCACATTCTGGGCTATAAAACACACTTTTACCAACTGAAAAATGGAGGGAAAACTAAAGCCATAACCACTAGGTAAGCTAGATCACCCTGGTGACAACAGACTGGGAGTCCTATCTGCAAGATAAGTCTTACAGTTCTTGTAAGCCTTACATTCAGTGGGAGGATTTAGTGTGACAGTGACTTCTCTTATGTGACAGGCCAACTGTTTAAGAAGAAATCCATTTTCTCTCTTTGGATCTTGGAGTGCTAAGACCATGTAGCATCTTGAGAGGGGGCCTATTGTTTGAGACTGAGATACTCTGGGAACCCGAGGGCAGAAAACAATTGCAACTCAGGTAGCTTGGGGACACCCTGCCACAGTACATGAGTGTAAGACAACCATGAGAGGCAGCTGAGTGAGGGGGAAGGTCAGACATGGACCCTGAGGAGTCTAACAGCAGGGAGTTCAGGCTGTGGAGGGCATGGTGGTCAGTGGTCCTGCCTTCTGTGGTGAGGAGTGAGATCCATGGTCTGAGAACTACTGTGGAGACTCAGAACTCTGAGCCCCACCCAGGGCCAGTGGATTGCTTGGACTCTGGAGCTGCCTCCTTTGTGGTTTGCTGCCACTTAGGACTGAGAGCTCTGAGCCAGGTCCAGGGATCCCTCCATTTCCCCAGCCTCCTTCTTCATGCAGGGTTGTTTACTGCTGGATGGGGTCTGACAGCCCTGAGATCAGCAGGCAATGTGGGGTTCCCAGGGTTCTCCCCTTTCAGTGAAGAGCTCAGTGCTCTCAGAACATACCCCTCAGCCTGGACATGTGCCACTCCTGCCTAGGTGAGCAAACTGGGGGACCTCTGGAGTGAAGGAACCTGCCTTGCCTATAGGTCACAAAGCTCACTGGGACCAGCCATGGCTCCCAGTATGCACAGAAAGGAAGCTTCTAAAGTGAATGCAGCCCTGAAGCAGACAATTGATCCTTAAGTGGCTTGACCCTCAGTCTACATACAGCCTAGACAGTAGGAACTACAAGACACATTAGATACAACTCACTAGCCACCCCCCCACATACCTGGAAGATTCTAATGTTATAATTTCTTGTATCTTATCAGATCATAATGGAATAAAATTAGGACT